GGCAAACCTCCACATACCTGAGTAGGATGCAACACATTGTTCACCAAAAGAACCCAGACAGAGATCTAAAAACTAAAATTATGAAATGGAATAACGCATTAACATATTCAAAGGTAGATTATGTAACTTTTCAGATTTGACTTCTATACCTTGAATGTTTCACAAGTGGTGTTACTCCACTGTTTGTGTTAAAACTGTGTAATAAAAGGCTTTGAGTTGTTTAATCTGCTTGTGCGATAGTCACACCAACTGAAAATAGTTCACTTTTAAATCTGACAACCGTTTGGCTGTCCTTGGTTGTTCAAAGCATTAGTTTTATCTGTTTTAGTTGAAGCTAGTCCTTCCTAACAGTAGTTCACTTGTTTACCCATTGTTATTGTGATGCTGAGAGTGTAATGATATAGAGCAGTGATTAACTGTTGCCAGAACTACCTGTATGGTTATACAAAAATAATGCATGATAGTTAGCTGGTGTGTATTCAATTACAGATATTTTTATTGATAAGATAATACATTGTAAAACATGCACTATTACTGTGAGCGGGCTCGTCTCTCCATAGACTTGGCCTGTAAACTTGCCATGGTGGATTCTCCTTATCCCCATATAGATACATTAGTTTAATACCATACTTTAGAACATTCAAGTAAAAACTAAGATCTCCATGGCGATAGGTAGGTGGCTGACACTAAGCACACCTTTTAAGAAATTAACCATAAGTGCCTATGATAGGTTTGACTTAATTTTATTGAAACACACTTAAGATCATTATTATTATATTTAATACAAACATTTATTACAAAATGTACTTTTTCCATCTTTTCCTATTTTTTGTGTGTGTGTTTTTTTAGGTCTCTAAAATCTCTTCTTCCAGTAATTTTTCACCCATTTTTCAACTTTTCTTTGCAAATTACTTACTTGATTTGTTTAAAACTATATATTTTCAACAGGTATTATCAAATGAAGTCAAAATTAGAGAACCATCAGAACTTCTTATACTAACTTTTCTGGTGGAGGGTTTGTCAAATGCTTTTCTCTATGAAAATGTTAGTACTTTGCCTGGAATGTTTCACAGTATGGTATTAAACCTTCGATATTCATGGAGACCAAACCAGACCAAATTACATGTCAGATCTGTGGAAAAGTGACCCCGCTCACTGTCAGAATACCTGTTTTTTGAGCTGTAAAACTACCTGTAATTGAAGAAATATAAGGTAAACCTGTTTAATGTCATACTGTGAAACATTCCAGGCATATCCATAGAAACAAGCAGGTGACGGACACCCAAACAAAAAGCTACCTAGTGCACCTTTAAGTAAACCTAACAAATTTTAACTCATAATTGAATTGTACCAAACAGCCACTCAAACACAGCCCACCTCCTCCTCATACTCTCTCATGCTGCATAAATGCCTGTGTCTATTCCCACACCAGCCGTCCAGTGTCATCATTTGGCGCGTACTTGATGCCTTTGTCGTCCCATTCAAAGCTATTAATTTGTTGATGTTGTTTGAGCAGCAGAGCCATATGGAGATGTGTTTTTCCACTGGTTAGCAACACGATGATTACTGTGGGTTTTTGGTGATGTCTGAGTGTAGGTGTAGGTGTGTGGGAGAGGCTAGCGTTCTGTGCATGTAATGAATTCAGCCTCTCCTCTCCTGACGGTTTGAACACTGCGAGAAACTGGTCTTTACTTCGGCTGTTAAAGAATCTACCAGCGACGCTAAACATGTGGGTTGATCTATATATACAGTGTGTTCTTTCTGGTCAGATTGGGTTAAAATAAAACTGAATAAAATGGTATTAAACTTGGCCATTTCCATAAACACAAGTATGTGATGCCACCAAGGTAAGTTACAGGTCAGATCTATGGAGACTCACAGTAAGAATGTATGTATTTCAAGGTATTTTTGAGCAATAAAAAGTACATTAATTGAATGAATACGTTTAATAGTGTACTAAGGAATATTCCAGACAAAGCAATAACATTATCACAAAGACAAGCAGGTGGTGGACCCCTCCCCCGGAAACTATAACTTTCCTGAAAAGGGAAAAAAGATGTTAAAGCTTTTTTAAATTGTCACAGCACAAGCAAGCAATTCAACCACATTTATTTTTTAGCCACCAACCTAGTGCCACTCCACAGCCAGGTCAGGTTCAGGCACCAGCCAATCATCGAAGAGCCGTATATTCAGTGTTGTCAACGATTCCCAAGATCGAGGATTTAAAGCCGGAATAAAGAGAATGTTCGGTGAATTTTATCAAGGGTAAAAACGTTATTGCCCTTCTTCCTACGGAATTTGGAAAAAGCTTAATATACCAGTAAGCGGCGCATTACATATGTGAGTACCAAATAGCAGCAATTGGTTAAATGATAAAAAGTACCCACCTATCGTCAAGCGAATGAATCCAAACACTGCGAGGTCAGACAGTTTGTATGAAATGAAATGAAGTAAAATCAGCTGATGAATCAGGTTAGTTATTTTTTGCTCAAAAATATCTTTAAAAAATATCCCTTCTAACTGTGAGTGAGGTCACCTCTCCAAAAATCTAACCTGTAATTTGGCCATACTGTGGAACATTCTAGGCACATCTCCATGGAGACAAGCAGATGACCGAGCCGCAAATGGACAAGTTACACTCTGCACCTTTAAAGGACTCATATTACGCTATTTTCTGATCTATGTTATAATGTTTCTTCATCAAAAACATACCTGGAGTTGTTTTTTGTTCCATTCACACAAGTTTAACACACAAATCCTGCATATTTAGGTTGAGATCATCTCTCAAACTAAAAACACTTCCTACTTATGATGTTATGTGGTAATACAGGAAATGTAGCACTGTGTTTTTAAACTTCATACACCTTCACTAGAGTCATCTGGATCATTTGAGGTGGGTTATTCTATATATACAGTATATGGCGCTTGCATATAGTGGGAATGGTGAAGCTGTAGTTGTTAGCATTTGAAAGTAAGTGGAGATATAAGGGGGGAATTAGAACATTATGGTTGACGTATGTGTGAGCAAGGTTTGAATTGATACTTTGCAGTGACATCGCGCTTGGGGTGTTCTACATGTATCTTAAATGATGGAATATTTGCCATGGTGACAAAATACACACATACGCAAACACTGTTGAAAAAGTTTCAAGATTGTCTGAAAACTCGAGAAAAAATACAAAATGGATTTACACGGCACATTCAGGAGTCTGTGATCAATACAAGCGTTCATTAACAGCACAATTCAGCTCACCTTAGTGTAGTTTCAACTAAGTAAGCACTTTCTGGTCACATTGTGTTAAAATAAAACTCAGATAAAAGTCTAATTTAAGTGACAGAGCTTCTAACAGAGTAGTGCTTTCAGTTAACTTCACAGTATCAATTTGAGTGTCTTTGTCTTGGCTGGCCTTGTCTCTAAACTTCTGCAGTCGGCCGGATGACTGTGGACATATGGTGGCTTGACAACACTTCAATATGGACTGGAGTTGTCTGTGTGCTGGTGTCACTGAGCAGGAGAGAGAGTGTGTGAGTGCGTGGGCATCCTCTTCATCACTGCCATGTGCTTCCACCCCCTCCTCACCACACGCGCCTACCTCCCCCTCACACACACACACCTACGCGTACACACACACACACACACACACACACGTACACACCTACACATGCGCGCACACAAAGTGACCACAATAAGAATCACTCAGGTGTAGGGCTTAGTAATATGACAACAATCTATCTATTTTTACCTCGTATTGACAAGACAGCAATTTCCAACATTACTTCAGTATATTTGCATTGGATCCAGAATACACACTTCTTCAATATTTAACGAAGATGTGAATCAAGTCACTGTTTTTCAAATAGGCGCGATTGACAGGTGGATCAGGCACACGCACGTTGTATTGGAAAAAATACAGTTTCTGATGCCACATTGATAATTTTCTTTAGACATTAGAATGTCATTTTCAGCATTAAATCATAATACTTTTGTTCATATTACCATGTGGCCTTATATCTGTGTAATCCCTCAGTGGTCCAGGTAGGGTCCATTGTGGTCCATGGGCGTATACTAGTCTATGTACTCTTATACTTGTTTTGATACAGCTCAAGATCATTCTAAAGCTATTCAGGAAAGGTTTATTTCTGTCCTGTCAATATGACTTTTTGTTTTGCTACTAGTTTTTGTATCGATTATTATCTTCCATGCTTTTCGATGCTTTTGACAACCCTATTCTCTATTGTTTATAAGACTGCAGATGTGTGCGGGCAGGTCGGTGCCTCTTGTGCGATCCTTTTTCAGTGCCTGCGTAGGTAGTGGGACATCTCTGTTTGTGTGGGCACTATATGTGTCTGTGCATTCCCAGTGTGCACCCTGTCACATTACAAGTGTTTTATTTATCCTGAAGGCCGCCCTTGGAGTGGCATTTGTTTTTGCCCTTTTTGCTTTTTTTCTATTTTTATCCTGTATTGACAGAAGCATCCATCTGCATCTTTGTGCCGAATTTAGCCATGAAATCCACTAGGTCTCATATCTCCTAATTGATTTAACCTAGATACTACTTATTGTCCCCATTTAGGACTTCAACAACAATGCAAAAAATACAGTCTAATCTAGGGTTGTCAAAAGTATAGAATAAAACATTTTAAACTCATTTGACCAGCTATACTGTAGATACTAAAAAATCACATCCACAGAAAAGAAATGAATGATCTTGAGCTGTACCAGAACAAGTATAAGAGCACATAAACACCCATGGACCACTAAGGAATTCACCTCGATGATGATGATCCATCTGGTCATGGATTTAAGACCAGATGGTAATATAAACAATAGTACTACAATTTAATTTTGAAAATCACTTTCTATTGTCTAAAGAGCAGTCTTCATTATCGTGGTATCAAAATCATAAAGTATTAAGGCTATTCCTTAGTATCGAAATCACATCATTTTTTTAATCGTAACTACACTAGTCTACTCTACTATCACACATTTGTTTTTCTAGGATCTTGGCGACAGCTGGGGCCCATATGAACATCCCAGTGGATCTGAGGACCCTACGTGCTGTCAGAGTGCTCCGGCCACTGAAGCTCGTCTCTGGGATCCCAAGTAAGTCAGAACAGAATTTTAAAGTAATATAGAATTGTTCTTATGTATTTTTATATTAGAAAGTTTCATTACAATTACAAAAGCATAAATTGATGCAACGTTATTATGATTTTAATGTGTATTCTCAAGATAATTATTCAGTTAGAAAGCAGAATAAGCTCCACACTTTGGGTACAAGTTTGCAATAAACCTTAAGTAAACCTTTTTATGATTGTGTCCTTTGCTTATTACACTTAATAGCATCTTATTAGTGTTTTTTTCTTTATTTTTATCATAGTCTGTATATAAATGGACATAGTTAACCCGCTATGTTCCAAATTCCAAATAGGAAGTGTTAAATTCAGCACTTCCAACTCCATCTACTCATCTGGTCTTAAAATTTTCATTTTAACCCACTCTACATGATCCTTGTGTTTTTGCAAAATTTTGTAAATACATTCCTATTTCTAATATGGAACTTAGCTCCAAATTTGCTCCTAAACCTGCAGCTTCAGTGAGCTTCTTTTGACTGGAGCCACTATTGGTGATGTCACACTCCCTTAGTCCACTTAGAGTACCGGTATATTACTTTTATCCAGCAGGAGCCCATGTTACAGTTATTAGGCTACCCTTAACTCATGAAAACATCCTTAAAGGAGACCAATTATGCCAAAATCGACTTTTCAAAGCTTTTAACCATGTTGTAATTGTTTTCCCTTTCCATGTAATTACTCAAAGTTGTATGTAGAGTGATTCATTCATGTTTGAGTAGTCTTCATTCTCCTGTATTCAAGACTTCATTGATTCGATCTACCCCCGTTTTCATCGCCACCAATACACTCCCACTGCTCTGTACTTTCTTCATTCTCCAGTTTGGTTTTCTTAATCGATGATACATGTGTGACTCATTTTGGCAAAAGTGGAAAAAAAAAATAAAATCTACAGCTCGCTAGCACAATCTGCGGTTATTCATGGGAGGGGCTGACAGCATGCACCACAGTATAAGAGCACATAGACCAGTATACACTGGGGTGTAACAATATCCAAGTCTCACGATACAATATCGTCACGGTATGAGCCTCACGGTATGATATTTATTGCAATATCATGGGAAAGTTCACAAAATGGTGGGAGGCTCACGATTAGGGCTGTAACAATATCCAAATCTCTTGGTACGATATTTTAATGATATACATCCCACAGTACGATATTTATTGCGATATTTTGTGGAGGCTAATATGCTACTTTTTCCTCTTAAAATGCTTTGACAAGACTTAATCCAAAGAACTAAGACTTAAAAGAACTGTTCTTGTAATCAGTACTGAAATGGAGCAAAGGATCATGGTCTTTGTAGTTCCCTCTGTCTATTTTTAGCTATTGCTGCACCATTACTCTTAATTTAAGCAAAGAGGCTTGTAATTCGATACATTGTGATGGTCCACGATATGATATTTTGGTTATTGTTACATCCTTAATATACACCCATGGAACGCAATGGAACCTACCTGGACAACTGAGGGATTACACAGACATAAGATTGCATAGTAATATAAAAGAAAGTTCTATGATTTAATGTTGACTCTGTAATGAGTGCTGAGTCTATTTCTTAAATATTACTTAATTACCTGTAGTATCTTTTCTGTTGGAGGGTCCGCAAAGACAACAGTGTTATTGCTTTGTCTGGAATGTTCCACAGTATGGTATCAAACATTTCTATCATCATAGAGACCAAACCAGACCAAGTTACAGGTCAGATCTGTGGAGAGGTGACACTGCTCACAGTCAGAATGCCTGTTTTTCTAGGTAATTTTGCGCTATAAAACCACATGTAATGTAATAAATGTAAGGTAGATCTGTGTATTGTCCTACTGTGGAACATTTCAGGCAGTGCAGTGACATATCCATAGAAAAAAGCAAGTCACGAACCCCCAACCAAAAAGTTACATAGTGCACCTTTAATAGTGAAATTGAGTTTGAAATTTTAGTATCATGACAACACTAATGCAAACACAGTCTCTGATGTTTTATTGTGCTTGTCCGTAGGTCTACAGATTGTGCTGAAGTCCATAATGAAGGCCATGGTCCCCCTGCTCCAGATCGGGCTCCTCCTCTTCTTCGCCATTCTCATGTTCGCCATCATCGGCCTGGAGTTTTATAGCGGGAAGCTCCACCACACCTGCCTGGCATCCTTCGATATTCTGGGTACAACAGAACAACAAACTCAGCCAAATTATAAAAGACAAGCAGAGATGATAATTGCTTTCTCAGCGGTGTGTAAGGAAAATATTGTAGCGCTGGTCAAACTTTGGAGCGGGTCCAAATAGAGTGGGAGTTTGTATGTTTAACCAGTCTTGCGTAATATTGTTATTTTACTGATGAAATTGTCTGTTTTAAGAAGGCTTTAATGTTATTGCTTTTACATTGTTTTAGCTTTTATGAAATAGGATCAACTGCTGGAGGAGCAGGCAACCATTAGAAAAAAAAACAGTTTGTTGTTATTGTTGCTATCCTTTTTTAAATGTCCCATATTAAAGGGACAGTTCAGAATTTTGGACATAGGACCTCATTTCCTAGTGAGCCAGAGTACTGGAGATGTTCGGAGACACTTTTTTAAATATTCCATCCAGTCCTTGTATTTGCAGAGGTTGCTGGTGCTAGGATAGTTTGCCTGCCACTAAAAAACACAAATCACAAAGCACCTGAGGCAAAACAATTATAATGCCAGACTGTTGATGTAAATGTCTGTGTCGACAGAGTAATTTTAGAAATAAAACCAGCCTTGCATTTGAAGGATTTATGTTTGAGCGACAGCAGCGAGTTTTACTTCCTGATAGAAAGCTTGGCAGTGGTGGACTGATATATGAGAAAATAGTCCCTCAACATGTGACAATTCATGTGATGCAAGGTTAGTTTTATTTCAAACATTTTTCTATCAACACAGACATTTACATCAACAGTCTGGTGTAATAATAGATTTGCTTCGAGTGCTTTGTGGAGTGGGTAAGACTGTTTTTAGTGGCAGGTTAACAATGCCCATTGACATGCACTAGCCTAGCACCAGCAACCTCTGCAAATACAAGGACGGGATGGAATTTTTTAAAAGTGTCTCAACACGTCTCCAACACTCTTCCTAACTAGGAAATGAGGTCCTATGTCCAAAATGCCGGTCTGTCCCTTTAAGCTATTGTCTTATCTATGTTATAATGTTGGTTCCTCATCACAAACATACCTGGAGTTGTGTTTTGTTTCATTCACACATATTTATCACACAAATCCTGCATATTTAAGCTGTGTTCTTCACTCGGTTCCACCTTGTTATGTCATATGGTAATACAGTTATTCACACATTTTTGAGTAATCCTTCATAATTAGCTTGTCTCATCTCCAAAGATCAAAATGCTCTGTTCCACCTTGTGATGTTAAATAGTTGTTTCCAGTTAACAGTTTTACCTTTTGTTAAAAGGTAGTCTAGTCTGGGCAATTCAAGGCTGAAATCATCCAGTGGAGTTTAAAAACACAGTGGATCACTTCCTGTATTACCACATGGCATTACAAGGTTATTTTTGAGAAATAACTCAGCCTAAGTATGCAGGATTCATGTGATAAACATTTGTGAATGAAACAAAACACAACTGGTATGTTTTTGATGAGGAAACAACATTATAACACAGATCAGAAAATAATGTAATATGAGCTCTTTAATAGCCTCAGCATCTCCACAAAGCACTGTAATATTTTTTATCCTTCCAATTATCTGAATTTCTAACTGTGTATTTCTTGGAGTGAAAGCAAATAAGCAGAACAAAGAGTGGCAGTTTGATAGATCACAATAGCAGCTTAGGGGTATTATTAGAGATGTTGTGGACTGTATTATCTCCTGCTTAATTATTCCACATGGACTCTATAATCAGAGGACACACCACAGCATTTACTGTCAGTCCCAGACACTACTCCAAGAAAAAATGAAAGGGCCCATAGTACACTATTTTCTGATCTATGTTATAATGTTTCCTCGTCACAAACATACCTCAAGTTGTGTTTTGTTTCATTCACACATGTTTAACACGCAAACTCTGCCTATTTAGGCGTAGTTCTTCTCGCAAACAGAAAACACTCTGTTTCATCTTGAATGTGATGTCATGTGGTTATACAGGAAGCACTCTACTGTGTTTTTAAAGTCCACACACCTTCCCTAGAATCATTTGGATCATTTCCCCCCTGGAATTTTGTATGTCTGCTAAGCAAAAGGTGAAAGGTGGCTGGTAACTTGAAACCTACCGCTTCGTGACATCACAAGGTGGACCAGAACATTTTGCGCTTTAGACATGTAGACAGACTAATAATGCAGGATTACCCAAACATGTGTGAATGAAACAAAACACAACTCCTGATATGTTTCTGATGAGGTAACAACATTCTAACTAAGAGTCAATTTTGCATAATATAGGACCCTTAAAATGTACATCTCACTAACTACTGACTCAGATTTTTCCATGATTTTCGGGTTTTCCAGACAATGAGACGGTGGATTCGTCGGAGCTGGCGTTTGCATGTGGCGTGAGAAAGTGTCCGGAAAAATACGACTGTAATGACACGTGGATTGGTCCCAACGATGGCATCACGCAGTTTGACAACATTCTGTTTGCTGTCCTCACCGTCTTCCAGTGCATCACTATGGAGGGTTGGACAGCTGTGCTCTATAATGTAAGATCCAAATATTTTGAAATCTTCTCATGATAAAAACTGAGATTGGCATTTATTTTTCCTCAACTAACTTTTTAAAGAAATTGTGCTTTTCTGATAGTGTTTAGACTAGAGCCCGACCGATATATCGGTTGGCCGATATTATCGGCTGATATGGGCAACTTTAGGCTTATCGGCTACCGGCCGATATGCTTGCTGATAGGGGCCGATATTTCACGTGGGCATGTTATACCTCGTTATAAAGCTTAGACTCTCTACATTCTGTTCATTTAATCCAATTTACAGACAGATAAATGTCCTAATATGTGGCTCCACATCAGTATTTATCTACGGAGTCATTTGTCTGTGTGTGTCCATACTGTCCCTGAACACACCACAGAGTCGCGTCACTCACGTGTGTTTGTTTACACCTGCAGACACAGATCCAAGGGTTAGGGTTAGATTATATATATATATATATTATATATATATATATTAGAGATTATATTCTTTTTACGGACAATCGGTTTGAGTCTGGATTAAAAGGACATTTATTAGTGCAGATTTGTGATGTGAGGAGGAGCCTGTATGAAGCGGTGAGTGTTGGAAATATGTCGACTCTGAAGCTAGTTTTTGTCATTTGTTATGGGTTAGCTGCTGTAGCTCCCGCACATAAACAGACTGTTTTCTATTGGTCTGTTCTAAAGTGACTATATTGGCCGTATATTTGCTACTGGACCTGCACTGATATGTAAATGAGCTGTGAATAGACGTGTGAATTATGACATTTGCGCATATAATTAATTACCGCGGCGCGCACGTATTTACGGCTAAAGGCTAATAGCGCCACTTTCTTTACTAGTTATGGGTCCGTCGCGAACGAAATGGCTCTTACAACCGGCTCTTTGAAGGGAACGACGGGAGCCTGATCCTTATTGGGAGCCGTGTTTTCTCTTTCTCTCACTTTTTTTCTCTTCACGCCGCGTGCAGATTCGTGGTTTGACAGCGGCAGCGGCTCAAAACGAAACTTTGAGAAATTTGCGTGTACGTAGGATTAAAAAAAAACAAAAACAAAAAAACGAGCATATTTGACTGTAGTTTAGCATAAAATAAATAAGTCCCGGTTTAGTCCTTTTTCAGTCCTGGTTTAGACCTGGTTCAGTCCTGATTCAGTCCTGCTTTAGACTTGCTTGCAACAAAACAATCTGAAGAGCCACTTGGGAGCCAAAAGAACCAGCAGCTTTTAGTGAGCCGAGCCAAAAGAGCCGGTTCTCTAAAAAGAACTGGAATACCAATCACTAGTGTCTAGAATGTGATGCAAAAATGCCATTAAGCCAACCTACTGTCTGTAAATATGATGTAAAGAGGCAGAATAACAATAAATGTTGCCTAAATAAACCCAATTTAAAATCCACCAGAGCCAAACCTAAGTTTTTTAAACAATTCAACATTTACAGTGAATTTTTACATCACTAAATATATCGGCGATTATACTGGCTATCGGCAGCTCCGACTTCCATTATCCCGGTTTCATATCAGCCACAGCAAAATCCATATCGGTCGGGCTCTAGTTTAGACACCTTGCTTTTTACTCCAGTAATATATTTTATAGTGTAAAAGTACTCTACTTGAGTAAAAGTTCTGGTTACTCCTCCCACTGTGAGTAAGTTTACAAGTGACAAAAGCTTTATGTTGACAATCATAAATTATTTGAACCTTTGTATTTCTTGCATCGCTGCTTCAAATAGGATTAATCTTTTTTCTTTTCTTCTTAATTTCTGTGTTCTTAATCTGTGATCTGCTCTTTGAAAATATCAGATTTTGTTCATTACTTCCAATTAATTACCTATTACCATTTCTAAATCTGATACGTCTTGTCAATTTGTGTACAATTACTCTTACTTAAATAGTTTCCACACATACTATTTTACTCTTATCTGAGGAGTGTCTTGGAGCGCTACTTGTACTTTTACTTAGGTAATATTATTTTGAAATAATGTTACGCTTACCTAAGTACAATTTACTGTAGTACTGAGTTACATTAACTTTTTAAAGTTATTGTACTTCTTGGAGTACTTTTCATGCTAATATAATACAGTTTATGCTGTAATAGTATTCTCTGTAAAGGTTGGGTAGGTTTCTTTTCACTTTAGGTAATATTATTTTGAAATAACATTACTCTTTCTTTAGTAAAATTTTTGAGTACTCTATCCACCTCTGAAATCAAAGTTATTGAATGTTACATTTCTTTTCTTTTAGACCAATGATGCCTTGGGCCCCACGTGGAACTGGCTGTATTTCATCCCACTCATCATCATTGGCTCATTCTTTGTACTCAACCTGGTTTTGGGTGTACTGTCTGGGTACGTATCACTCTTAATTTTTATACAGTATTTTTTGTCACAGTGAGACAGGGGTTGGCAATACTGACAAAAATAATTTATTTAGACCTATCACAATCATTACAATATGGACTTGTCACTCAATATATGAAAGCTGGAACTATAATTTTAGGGCTCAGTATTTATTGTGTGAAGAGTTTCTTAGCAATAGTGCAGAGATTTTAGCAATTTTTCTGAACTGTGATGAGATTTGCGCTGTATAGGATAGAATAAATAACTTCTATGGCAAAAAAAAAAAGCTTAATTCTGATATTTATATCTTAGAGCTCAGGCCTTTTAGTGATACTGTATATTTAAAAATGGTTTACTGGGATTGATCTGCTTTGTGTCAGTGGCATAATGTAGTTTCAGTATTATCGTTTATTGCAATATTTAAAGGTGCATTGTCTAAATTTCTTGTGGAAGGTTTACCAAATGCTTTTCTTTGTGGGAGCTTTGTTTTGAATGTTTCACAGTATTGAATTAAACCTTTCTATCTTCATTTAGACCAAACCTGACCAAGTTACAGGTCAGATCTTTGGAGAGGCAACCTCGCTCACAGTCCCAAAGCCTGTTTTTCTAGGTATTTTTGAGCTATAAAACCACCTGTAATTTAGCAAATGTAAGGTAGAGCTGTTTAATGTCATAATGTGGAACATTCCAATCAGAGCAATGACATATTCATGGAAACAAGCAGGTGACGGATGCCCAACCAAAAACGTTTCAAAAGTTAAAGTGCATCATCAGCTCTTTTTGCAGGATATTTTGTTATAAACAATATACGTGTCTGTCTTTGTCTAATGATTTTTTATGTTTTTGTTTCTTCACAGTGAGTTTGCCAAAGAGAGGGAGAGGGTAGAGAACAGAAGAGCCTTTATGAAGCTGCGTCGCCAGCAGCAGGTGGAGCGAGAGCTAAATGGGTACAGGGCCTGGATTGACAGAGCAGGTATCACTCACACCTTTTAAAGAAATATTTAAACTTTTTAACTGTTTGTTTCTCCTCTTATAGATTATTGGAGTTTTTTTGCCATCATGATGTTAGCTAGTAAACAAGGGCATCCTTTTGAGCCTGGACTTAAAGTAATATAGATTCTCAAGCCACTACCATCAATTTGCTTCTGGATTGAAGCCTGATTGCAAAAACAGCATCCAGATGACCACTGCTGAACCCTTCTCTACATTTTGACACTATATATAATATAATTTATATCTATGCATTTAGTTGAAATATATTTAAAGGCACACTATGTTACTTTTCTTGAGACAAGGCATTCACCTGCTTATCTCCAAAGATGAATTTACTTACTTTACTTACTAATTCCACAGTATGGTATTAAATACCCATCATCTTCATGGAGACAAGCAGGTGAGGTCACATAGTCAAGTTACAGGTCAAATGTGCTGAGAGAAAGCATGTTTTTCCAAGTTATTTTTAGCTACGGAAACACCTGTAATTAACTGCATACAAAGTAGTTGGCCACACTGTGGAATATTCCAGGCAAAGCAATAACATCTTCATGGAGATAAACATGAGGCGAAACCAGAATAAGGAGTCTGATTGTATGACCTGAATTTGTCATTAAATTTTGACATCATTTGGTGATTTTCTTGGATGGATTATAAAATTAGTAACTGTGGGTTTGATCTTGTCTCATTTGTTCCTGGTTTGAGCCCAGTTTAGTCCTGATGTTGACTTGGTTTGGTCCTGATCTTGTTCTGGTTTTGTCTTGGTCCTGTCTGGGTTTATTTCCATGTTAAGACCCAGTTTGTGGTTTGTGTGCATGTGTAAGAAATCCTAAGTAATATGTGACTCATTTGTAGACACCTGCCCCTATATGAGACTGGTTGTGTTTTGTTTGTTTTTTTTCTCTCATCATAGACTTAGACTTAGACAAACTTTATTGATTCACAAGGGAAATTATTTGGACACAGTAGTAATAATTTCTAAGTTAATAGCAAAAATAGCAAGAGACTGGGGTCAGATAAGGCATAATTATATAAATGTTTAGCACAAGTCAAAATAAAATACAGAAAGAAATATAGCAATGCAAATATATCTCAGCTCATATCAGCTTACATTTTGTATATGACAAGCCTGTTTCTCTTGACATTATAACTTCCATCAGAGATACTCGTATAGATCCTCCAAGTGCCTGTAGATTGAATACACTGGTCAGATGTCATTTCTCAGTTCGCGTGGCTCCCTCTCTGCTACTAGGCTCAGTGTTATAGAGCTACTGTATATCTGTAGAGCCACACACACATTCAAAGATGTAATGGCTATCCACATCGCTGTCACCCACGCAATAGAGAGTGAGGAAAGGTGATATTGACTCACTTTCTTAAATTTGTGTTTGTGGCTATGCAGGCGTGAGAGAGAGAGGGAGGAAGAGAGAGATGGAAAGAGAGAGAGACGGAGAGATGGGGGGGAGGCAGAGACACAGATAGGGAGAAAGAAAGAGGGAGGGAGAGAAAGAGAGAGGGAGGGAGTTGTTGTGCGTGTTATTGAGTGCAATTCGTGGGAGAGTGTAGGAAGGTAGAGACAGCAAATGGAACAGAGAAGAAGAGATTTTTTCTAAACAAGGTCACACAGGCCCTTGGATGGAGCCTTTTCAGCACTTTGGTCTCTGATGTTCAAAGTGTTTACAGACAGCCTAAAGGACATATTACCTCTTGTGTACAGTGTATGTGTGTGTGGTTGGTACATTATGGGATATTTATGGAGTATATTTCTGCGTTTCTGTTTTATAGAGGAGGTAATGCTGGCAGAGGAGAGTAAGAATTCAGGGCGATCTCCATTAGACGGTAAGTTAAATCTGAGCCTGCTGGAGCTGTTCAAAATTGTATGAATAAGAGCAGAGAAAAGTTAATACGGTACACTGAACTAAAAAATATAAATTACTGAGATAATCCTAATCAAATTTAGTCACTGAATAGTTGTTATCTGGACTATAAAAATCTACTTTAAACTGACTTTTTAAACAGACTTTAAACATGCAATTAACATGTTCAATTGGAGTTTTTTCAGCTTCATCTCGGCCAAATTTAGTACAAATCAAAAAGATGAATTGATTAATCCAGAGAATAATTGTTACAGCTAGTTTAAACGATTACCCAAAAAATAATCATTAAATACTAATATGATTTATAAAAATATAAACTGTAGGATACTAATAAATTCAATGCAACCGTTTAATGAAAAAAAATGAATTTAACAACGTACATTGCTATGGTCTGGAATTTATGTACCAGTATATACTGTATTATAAATGATCATCTTGTACATTTGTTTTATTTGATATTATATTCCAGTGCTGAAGCGAGCCAGTAAGAAAACAGGAGCGAGAAGAGGAGCCCCGGGAGATGACAAAACTTACACAGACATGTCCACTGCCAGTGAGTCTGTCATAAATTCACTTTGGTTTATGTGGTTATACAGGAGTTATAATAATTTATATCTTGGAGTAAAACTGCATTATAGGTTAGGTTTTAACATTTTTTGCATTACAATGTAGTGTGAGAAGTCCACTTTAAACAGAAGCTGGTAAGATAAGATAATATAAGGTAAGATCAACAGATGTTTTACTCATAAGTGAAAATTCCGTCAATTGATTTTTCAGAATAATTGTACTACTAATAATTGCTAGTCACTTAATACTTAACTGGTAAGAAGTATTAAATGTATTAAGTAACAGTAAGTAAGTACCGTAAGAAGTGGTTCAAGTAAGTAAGTAAGAAGTGGTTCATAAATATTTATTTGGGCCTTATTAGTCTCATTCTGCATATCCTTATTCTACTGCTTCTTTGATGCTACTAGCACTTCCCATCAATAAAATTATTCCTGCTGCTTATTATTATGATGTAAAACATTTTTGTACTTGAACTATGAGTGTTGCTAAGGGGTAATACCACGCAGCATAATGGTATGCTGAATAAGATGTTAATAAGAACAAAATAAACTCAGAATTGTGCAGCTAGTTAGATATTAATGCATGTAGCCTAAAATAAAGTGTTTCAGATGTTTTATATTTGTAGTAACTGGTTTCCTGCCCCTGTGTGTCTCTGAGGCATGGTGCAGGATGAATTTCCGTAGCGGTTGGCAGTGCATTATATTATTTGTACAATAAGTGGCTGTAACTATGGACTATATACAGTGCATCATAAGGACAGATTAAATGATCAAATAAATAAAGAGTAACAGTGAGTTGAGTGAATCAATTGAATTGTACCAGTAAAGATATTCTTGGTCTTGCTCCTCTCTCCCTGTGTCTCTGAGGCATGTCCCGGAGCAGGATGAATTTCAGCTCAGTATATTACATTGTTTGTACAATAAGTGGCTGTAACTATGGATTATTTACAGTGCATCATAAGGACAGATAAAATTTTTCAATAAATAAAGAGTAACAGTGACTTGAGTGAATCGAGTGAATTGTACCAGTAAAGATGTTCTTGGCCTTACTCCTCTCTCCCTGTGTCTCTGAGGCATGTCCCGGTGCAGGATGAATTTCCGCAGTGGTCGACAGCTCAGTATTTTATATTATTTGTACAATAAGTGGGTATAACTATGGATTATTTACATTGCATCATAAAGACAGATTAAATTATTCAATAAATAAAGAGTAACAGTGACTTGAGTGAATTGAGTGAATTAAAGATGTGCTTGGTCTTACTCCTCTCTCCCTGTGTCTCTGAGGCATGTCCCGGTGCAGGATGAATTTTCGCAGTGGTCGGCGAGGTCCGGCTGCATACCTGCGCCGTAAAGAGAGAATGTTACGAATCTCTATCCGCCGCATGGTTAAGACAGACACCTTCTACCTGCTCGTGCTCAGCCTGGTGGCCCTCAACACCATCTGTGTGGCCATCGTGCACCACGACCAGCCCGACTGGCTCACCATCTTCCTCTGTGTGTACTACCAACTTATATTATATGTCAGAACAATATTACAATATTTTATTATGTCATGATGCTGTCTCATCAAAACATACTTGGAGTTATATTTAGTTTAATTCACACTTTTAACACACAAAAATGGCATATTTAAGATGAAGTTCTTCTCTCAAACTGAAAACACTGTTCCACCTTCTGATATCATGTTGCAATACAGGAAGTGCTCGACTATGTTTTTAAACTTCATACACCATTGCTAGAATTATTTGGACGATTCCTGCCTGGAATTACCTATCTCTACCAAGAAAAAGGTAAAAGGTAGCTGTTAACTTGCAATCTACCACTTCATGCACAAGGTGGAACAAATACAACTCCAGGTATGTTTTTGAGAAGGTAACACTATTCTAACATGGCTACAAGCTCAAAAGAGTCAATTTTGCATCATGTTGGACCTTTAAATGGAAAAATATAAAGTTATGAATTTTAACATATGATGTTTTTTTCCTCCACAGACTATGCAGAGTTTGTTTTTCTGGGTCTGTTTCTGGCGGAGATGTGTTTGAAAATGTACGGCCTTGGATTCAGACTCTACTTTCACTCATCTTTTAACTGCTTTGACTGTGCGGTGAGTTCTCATATTTCATACTCTGATGAATTAAATAAACCAGAAACCTATATCTCCAAATACTTTCAGAACAAGATAGTTTGCTAAGAGAATTCTAAAAAGTCATGTATGCAGTGTTCAGATTCTGATCAAAATATATTATTTTCTTTTACCGTGGAAACAATTTTATCAACTGTTAGAGATAAAAGAGAGGGTATTACACTTCTATGGGGTATTAATTGCTAATAGATAACATTATTTAGTAGGGATGCACCAATACCTATGCTAGATGAGCTGGATCAGATATTGGTTCCCTTATATCGGTTAAGCTGATATCCAGGTTGGGCCTTTAATTAGATATAATACAAGCTAATTTTGACCTAGAACATCGCATAATGTTTGAACTCTTATTCATACAAAGCTGTTCTGTTGTGATGTGAAGGATAAATAACAGTTGTATAGCACAGTTTGATATCTTGTGTGATAAGTTGTAAACGGTAATTGTATTTAAAGGAAATAGTTGGATATCTGCAAATACTTAATGATATCGTTTTCGGGACTGAGAAAGCTGTATTGGTGCATTTCTTATATTTATCACCATGTTACCTTTTAGTTTTAGTTCAGTTTACTTTTTGATGGACAAAAGGTTGATTTAGCATAATACTCCCAAATTAAAAAACATTGAGAAAATACTAGGATGACATGTACTTTGTCCAAATTAATGCATTTTTAAATCATGTTTTTTTTTCAGGTCATTATTGGAAGTATTTTTGAGGTGGTGTGGGGTTTTTTCCGGCCCGGGATGTCTTTTGGGATAAGTGTAATGAGGGCTCTGAGACTGCTGAGAATTTTTAAGATCACAAAGTGAGTGCATAAGTAAATAGGGCACAAAGCGGGCACTTACTGGAATCCAAAATAGTAAATATGTATTTCTTCTGCAGGTACTGGGCCTCTCTGAGAAACTTGGTGGTTTCTCTGATGAGCTCTATGAAGTCCATTATCAGCCTGCTCTTCCTCCTCTTCCTCTTCATCGTGGTCTTCGCTCTGCTCGGGATGCAGCTCTTTGGTGGAAGGTACTGAAAAAAAGTTAAAAGACACCTTCAACTCCTCATGCACATACCGCAACACTGTCTGTCTGCATTGTTTACAGTATAAGTCTGTGTATTTTGAAAACATTTGAATGACTGGATTTGAAAAAAAAATGAATTCACTTTTTCTATGCCTTGCACAAGTTAATAATGACAATTTCACATGTTTAAAGGGCCCATATTATGCTATTTCCTGATCTATATTACAGTGTTGTCTCCTCATCACAAACAAATCTGGAGTTGTGTTTTATTTCATATTTTCAGGTCTTAAATTTCATGTTCTAAAATAAGACCTTAAAAAGTCTTAAAATATGTTGTCCAAGTCTTATTTTTTTCACAAAGGTCTTAAATTTCATGAGCCTATTTTTTTTTGTATACTCACCCAGGCTGCAATGCAATGTTAAATGGAGGGAGAGGGAAATAACACAGCGTGAACTCATGTAACGTGAATAAACATCTAATTTGGAGTATGCATAAACAATACTTCGGTTTCTGGCACCAGTGACAATGAGTAAACAATCAGTACAGTCGGAGGAAGACGTTGGATGGATCTTGGGGAAGTGTAGGTTTAATCCACAGTGGCTCTTAGATTCTAGATATAGTACCGGTAGTTGGTTGGTCATTATTAGATATGGATCTGGTGTTTTTCGCTCGCATAATGGGTGCGATGTTGGTCTTAAATTTCATTTAAGTGGTCTCAAAAAGGTCTTAAAAAGTCTTAAATTTGGGGTAGTCAAACCTGGGGATACCCTGAAAATGCTATGCAATCACTACTGAACTAAAGGTAAAAGGTAGCTGTTAACTTGAAGACTAGCATTTCATGGCATCACAAGGTGCACAAGAGCATTTTTGAGCTTAAGAGATGTAGACAAATTAATAATATTTTAAATGAAACAGGCATGTTTTGAGGTGGTAACAGCATTACATGTCTTAAAGCTCACAAGAGTCAATTTTGCGTAATATAGGACCTTTAAAGTGTGTGCTTTTGATTAAATAATTTATTGGCAGTTAGAACGGTGACAGATTGTTTGTATTGCCTTTAGCCTAAATGTTCAATGAAATAAGTGGAATCTCCTATGTGGTGAGTCAGTTGTGAACTTTAATTTTAAACTAATTGGCACAGACTTATCTCTGGCTTGCATCTACAGCGGGGAAGGAGACTGTAAATAGGTGATGAGTCAAGGAGCTGTTTGAATGAAAATACACCAGCTCCTCATCTCGTCTGAGCTCTGATTGGTTGCACGCCTGACCCCTCCGCTCCTGTGTGTTTCCCTTTTAGGTTCATTTTCGAGGATTACACTCCCACCAACTTTGACACGTTTCCAGCTGCCATCATGACCGTGTTTCAGGTTCGCCTCTTTCTGGTCTCTTCACATGACACATCCACACTGCATGCTGTGAAATTTCTCAACCCAAGAACAGATTTGAACTGCTCTCTATCCATCTCTCGCTTTCTTTTGCCCTCTTTCCCACTTTCTGTCTCTGTATTTCTCTCTCTCTCTCTCTGTCCTCCTTTTCTCTCTCTCTGTCATCGTCCTCATATCTTTCTCTTTATTTATATTCTCTGTTTATCTCATTTATCTCTCACTCTCTATTTATATATTTATTCTCTCTTTTTTCTCTCTCTACCTGTTTTTCTCTCTATCATCCTCTCTCTATCTCTTGCTCTCTCTATCCTCCCTCTCACTTTTTCTTCCTCATCCTCTCTCTATACACCTCTCTCTCTCTCTTATCCCCTTTCTCTCTCTTCCTCCTCCTCCTCTTTTTCTCTTTTTTCTCTCTCTTTCTCTTTCCCTCTCTCTCTCTGTCCCCTCCTCTCTTTCTCTCTCTCTTTATTTATTAAATTATTTATTTATTCCCTCTTTTTCTCTCTCTATCCTCTGTCTCTGTCCTCTCTATAGATTGTCTTTCTCTCCCTCCCTTTTTCTCTCTCTTTTTATCCTCTTTCTCTATCCTCGTCTCGCTCTTCTTCTCTCTCTCTCTCTCTCTCCCTCCCTCTTTCTCTCTCTATTCTCTCTCTCTTTCTCTCCCCCCCCTCTCTCTCTATTTATTTATTCCCTCTTTTTCTCTCTCTCTATCCTCTGTCTCTGTCCTCTCTATACATTGTCTCTCTCTATCTGTACTGCTCCTCCTATCTCTTTCTCTCTCTCCCTCCCTCTTCCTCTCCCTCTGTCCTCTCTTTATCCTCCTCTTTCTTTATCTCTCGCTTTATCTATCCCCCCTCTCTTTTTTCTCTTCCTCGTCTCTCTCTCTCTATCCACCTCTCTGTCTTTCTCTCTCTCTCTTATCCCTCTTCTCTCTTCTCCTCTCTCTCCCTTTTCTCTTTTTTCTCTTTTCTCCTTTTCTCCCTTTTTCTCTCTATTCTCCCTCTCTCTGCCCCGTACCTCCGCTCCCCGCCCACACAGAACATGAATTCAGACATGAACAATTTCACAAAAGACCCACTGTAAAACCAGTCCTCAGTGTTTTGATTTTTACACTTTTTTTTTTTACACATAGTAATTACACACCTTCAAAATGGAAAATGTTCTTAGTTAAATACATTTCAGCACTGATTTTAAAAAATGTCAGTGCCTTATGTATTTTTTGTCTGTAGATCCTGACAGGAGAGGACTGGAATGAGGTGATGTACAATGGGATTCGCTCACAAGGCGGAGTGCAGTACGGCATGTGGTCATCTATATACTTCATAGTACTCACCCTGTTTGGAAACTGTATCCTTGTCGAGGTTTTTTTTTACTAAAATGGAACAATAATTTTTGGGGGTCAAGATTTATTGTGATTTGTATTTTTTTCTTTGTATTAGTGGAAATGTTGTGTTATATTTTCTACAGTGTGATAAGATTTTAGCTGTAGAAGGTTGAATTATGAACTATACGTCTAATTACTTAATGATGCATTGTGTAACGTTTCAAATGAAGGGTCCATCAAATACTTTTCTCCATGGAGATATTATTACTTTGTCTGGAATGTTTCACAGTATGGTATTAAACCTTTCTATATTCGTGGAGACCAAACCAGATCAAGTTACAGGTCAGATCTGTGGCGAGGCAATCCGTGAGCTATAAAACCATCTGTAATTTAAGGCAAGGTTCATACTGTGAACATTCCAGGCAAAGCGGTGACATATCCATAGAAACAAGCAGGTTACCTCAATCAAAAGTTACGTAATACACCTTTAAGTGTTCTGAAATGTATGCATTGCAGCTTAGAATACTTACTGGGGGATAATTCTGCTTTATGGTTTGGTTTCAATATTATCGTTTCTATATATATATAAATTTCATATATCATTTCAAAATTTGTTATCATGACTACTCATGGGGTTCACCATACTGAACAGGCTGTAAAGCTGCTGAGGATGCACAATGTAGTGATGAGTTTCAAATAACCCTCATATACCATACAGTCTTGGTATAAAATGTTACATCGCGTTCTTAACAATCTCGTGAACAGACACACTACTGAACGTCTTCTTGGCCATCGCTGTGGATAATCTGGCAAACGCACAAGAGCTTACAAAGGTCAGTGTACAAAAGCACATGTTGTGAAATTTTAAATATTTGTGATTTTATTAATGAGATTTAGCTTTTAATGATTCAGTGAGATTTTTTTCGGATGTTATGATCTATGTTATAATGTTGTTTCCTAATTACAAACATACCTTGTCTTGTTTTGTTTCATTTACACATGTTTAACACACAAACCCTGCATATTTAGGCTAAGATCTTCTTTCAAACAGAAAACACTCTGTTCCACTTTGTGATGTCATGTGATAATACAGGAAGAGCTCCAGGGTGTTTTTAAACTCCATACACCTCCATAGAATCATTAGGATAATTTCAGGCCTGGAATTGCCAGTCTCTACTGGACAAAAAGTAAAAGGTAGCTGTTAACTTGCTTCAGAACATGACAAGGTAGAACAGAGCATTTTCAGTTTTGGAGATGTACACAGACTAATAATAAAGAGTTACTCAAACATGTGTGAATGAAACAAAACGAAACTCTGGTGAGGTGACAGCATTTTAACATGCCTTAAAGCTAACAAGAGTCAATTTTGCACAATATAGAACCTTTAATGTACATATACTCTTTGTCAGGATGAAGAAGAGGAAGAGGAGTTTTTCAACCAGAGGTATGCCAGAGGCAGAGACGGCTTAATATCGGAGTAAGTTACTGGTTTTATAAAGTTGTGTGAAGGTGATCTCAGCATCCAACATTCCTTGGCATTTCTCAGTGACTTCTGTCTGCATGCTGTAAGGAAAACACGGATCTGCATAGTATAACTCAGTATGTTCAGTACAGTTTAATTATGAACTCATTTTAAATTTGTGGTTACATTACAGATTCATTTTAATGCTCTGTGTGGACCTCTAGGCCTTTCTGCATGGACAAAGGCATGTTTTGGGCATTATTGACTAGATGCAATAAACACTGAATGATGCCTGATAAAAAGCATGACTTTACATGTATTTGGCCACCCCAAGTATTAAACATGTGTTTCCATGGTGATTTGATTCCATTGGTGTTTGTTGACTTCCTGGTTCACCTGCACTGATGATCTTTTTGTTTCATGAGACGTTATGTTTTTCTTATACAGAAGAAGTATCTCAGTTTTGTTATGAATTCTTTTGCAAATCTGACTCTGAGTGTTTCATCTGTCTGTTGTTGTCTGTATTTATATGTTGGTCTTATGTTGCAGATGTCTGGAGACTGAACTTGCATTTCTGTGCTCTGCTGAACTCATCCTGTCTTGTTTTATGACTGTTTTACTGCACTGACCAAAATGGTAATTATTATCATTATTAGAATATATTATTATTGCCACTGGATTCTACATACTTACTGTTCACAACTGTCTTTATCTTTAAAAGCAGTATCACTCAATAACAGAATGGCTCTTACGAGTGTGTTTTGGTCAGTGTCAGAGCAATGTTCTGTGTCCAACTCTAATGTCTTGTTTTCAAATGGTCACTCATTGATTTCATGGACAACAAGAATCTGAACACCAGTAAGTACAACTGTATGCATCTCTGTCCCACCGGCATCTCCTTCTTTTTCTATTTACCCTTCTCCGATATTGTTTACATCGTTAGAACTTCAATCCTGCACTTCCTTTTGATTTTGTGCTATTTTTTACTTGATCAGTCAAATATATTTTAAATTCTATGTATGTTTTGTGTTTAAGTATTTCACATTTTTATGGATAATGTTTGTTTTGGTTTCCACTAACATGACACTAACCTACTGTAAGTGTCATGGAAAAAGTTTTGATTTTGTTTTATTTCAATTATTTGACTGTTGAAAAAATTAAAGATGCATTATGTATCTTTTCTGGTGGAAGGTCTGCCAAATGCTATTTTTCAGGGAGATGTTATTGCTTTGTCTGAAATAGTTCACAGAATGGTAATAAACATTTCTATCTTTCTGTCTAAGTCACAAGTCAGATCTGTGGAGAAGCAACCCATCTCACAGTCAGAATGCCTGTTTTTCTAGATATTTTTGAGCTATAATTAACTGTAATTGGATAAATGTAAAAGAGTTGTTTAAGGTCATACTGTGGAACAATCCAGACAAAGCAGTAACATCTCCATAGTGAAAAGCATTTGACAGACCCACCTCCACCAGCAAAAGTTACACAATGCCTCTTTAAAACATAATGTTGCAGTTCTCGTTCTAATAGAACACTGTATTGTTCTTTAGTGGCAGACGGAGACCTTACCTGTACAGGAAGCGAGCCATCCACAGAGGTCGACCTAACTTCCCAGAGGAGGCCGATGGAGGGACTGGAGCTGCGGACGAACAGCCCCTGAACAGCTCCAGAACTTTCGCCAATCGCCGCGAAAGACGAAGGAAGGTCAATATGTCCGTGTGGGAGCAAAGGGCCAACCAGCTACGCAAACGTCGTCAGATGGCCAGCCGAGAGGAGCTGTTCGGGAGCCCCACAGAAGACACAGCAGAGACTCCCACTATCCCCCACGCCCCTGCCCTGTCCTCTGAAGTGAGTTCGGCCCGCTTCCCCGAATCGCCCATGTCCGAATCAGACCCACAGTCTATAAGCATTCCCATCCCAGAACCCCCCACCTCTGAGCCTCTGGTGAAGATCTCAGAGGAGAAAGCACCCGCCTCCAACCACCGCACCACTGGGGGGAGCCGTCACAGGATGGCGCGTAAATTCAGAGGGATTGAGGATGGGGCCAGGCACAGGAGACACAGGCACAGAGAGGCCAGAGCAGAGGCCAAGAGTCTGGACTGCACGCTGGCTCCGAATGAAGGGGCAAAGGTCAAAAGGTCACTCAGCCAGGACCCGAGGGTGCTGGACGAGCAAGATGAGAAAGAGGAAGAGAGAGAGAAGACTGAAGTTGTACAAGATGAAGATGGGACGTGTATTGTGAATCCATATGCTGATGTGGGAGAGGAGAGCAGAAAGTAAGGCCACATATTATTATTTTTGTATTAAAAAAACATTATAAGTTATGGGCCATATCACTTCATATTTTTATTAGGTCATTGCAGTTAGAAAACTTACCATTTGCTCTTACCAACTTACCAACTCTCTAATACAATATTACTACCCAAAGTATTATATAACTCTCTAATATGTGACGAAATAATGCATAGGTTTATTAAATTTTTGTGATAAAGATTACAGATTAAATCCTTCTGTGACTTTTATATAATCACAAATAATTTGAATTGTATTGATCTGCTATGTTGTCTTAGACTGAATATCTCTGTGATTGTGATATAACTGTGATTTTTTGGCATTGCTATTTGAAATTAATTTCTAATTTATAAAAAATTGGATTCTGTTCAAAGTTCACATTTTAAACCTATCCAGAAGAATTGACAAAAAGGCTAAAATATGAACAGACAAACTAATACAAGAATAACATTTCAGAACATCTTTGTACAGATTTAAACTACAGGAATAGCTGTTTTATCCAGATAATGCAGGATATTTAGTTGTTTGCGAAGGAAATTATGTAGTTAAACAACTGCAGCCTTTGAGATTTGCTAATTGCGTTCATATAAATTTCATGATTCATTTTGCCGCTCTAATGTTGTTATTTCATCATTTACTGTTCACTAACCGTTTTATTATGAATTCCAGAGCTTCCATCGAAGACCCAGATGTCCCAGACCCCCCTGAGTGCCAGCCGCTGGTAGACTGTAACTGGCCGGGGCAGACGGATGCTCAGTCAGATCAGTACGAACACCAGAAAATCCCCATAGAGACGGCACAGGAGGCCACGGAGTACAGCCCCAGCACCATGGAAACAGAGAACCACCCCAGGACCATGGGGTCGTTCAAACATCACAAAATGGAGAGTAGCGTGGCAATTGACATGTCATCACAACCTCTGCTGGAGCTCACGCCAATGACAGGTAGCACTTTCCTCATCACAGCAACTTCTGAACCGTGATCTTCTCCTTGTCTGTGCAGTGGTCTGTACAATTAGCAGTTAGCAGGGCATCTGTGGGAATTGTGCACAAACTTAAAGGTGCACTATGTAACCTTTTAGCTGAGGGTTGGTTACCTCCTTGTTTCTATGCATATGATAGAATGTTCCACAGTATGGCATTAAACAGATCTTTATATTTACAATTTACAGGTTTTATAGCTCCAAAATACCTAGAAAAACAGGCATTCTGGCTCTGAGTGGGGTTACCTCTCCACAGATCTGACTTGTAACTTGGTCTAGATATTTTTGAGCTGTGAAACAACCTGCAGTTTAATAAATGTAAGGTAGAGCTGTTTAATGTCATACTACGGAACATTTCAAGCAGAGCAATAATATCTAGCGGACCCACCAGCAGAAAAGTTGCACAGTGCACCTTTAAATCTGATTGTACAGCCAAAAATAACCGCAAAGTCAAGTAATGTAAAGAAAAAGTACATGTCATAAATATGGACCCCAAAAATATATTGTTCCAACTTCCATATATTGAACGTTAAGTCGATATAGTAATTATCGCTACTCACGCATGTGAAAGTGGTTGGTTTTACTTACAAATAAACAGAGGCTCCTGAACTGTGTGTTGAGGCGAAAGGATCTTCTCTCTTTGTTTCTGACATGATAACTGAACCTTACATGAGCCTATTGCACTGGTGACTCACTTGCCCTTTGTGGCAGCCTTTCACATCCAACTATAACATTTTCACAGCTATTCTCACAAATGTCTTCTGTTGTAGGGAGCAGTAAAGAGCTGGAGGCATATCAGTGTGAACAGAAAGAGAAAGAAGATGACGAAACAGACGAAGAAGAGGAGGAGGAGCCACCACCCTTACCTCCGCCCAAACCTCCAGCTCCAGACAGCATGTTCATCTTCAAAGCTTCTAACCCGTAAGACAGTGTAAAAACCAATATGATATCTCAAGATGTTTCAGGTTTGTGAAGCTACTGTGTTCTATCTGCAGCATAAGGAGGATTTGTCACTATGTGGTGAATCTGCGATACTTTGAGATGACCATCCTGCTCGTAATTGTGGCTAGCAGCATTGCACTGGCAGCTGAGGACCCAGTCTGCACCAATTCAGAAAGAAACAAGGTGCGAAACTATGATCACTAAGTCTAATCACTACTAATGACTACTTATTGTCCAGTGAGTAATGTTAACATATTTGCTAAAATACTAAATCACAAGATCAATACTTTTCATTCACACTTAGAATTGTCTGTGTTCTGGGTAGCTTGAGATATTTAGATTTAAGGTTAAGGTACACTTTATATATTATATATATATATATATATATATATATATATATATATATATATATATATATATACATATCTCTGTAAATTTGTCTTTTGCATTTGACGTTATTGGGGCAACCTGTTAAGAGCAGTGTGCACCCGGTGACCCATCTCCTGATCCTGATCTAGGCTTGGTCAGGAAAACCTTACCTGGAGGATTTTACCCATGGTGTCTGTTTTGGGTTGATGGATGAAACCTGAGCAGCTGAAGGAAACTCACCCAGTCAAAAGAGGAACATGCAAACTATGCACAGAAAGGCCAGGGTAGCAAAGGAGTTAAATCCAGAGCCTTCTTGCTTGCTAGCTAGTCACTGTACCTAAAAAATACTGCATGCCCTACCAGAAGATTTAGTAAATTGTACAGAAAGCAAATAGGAACCAGAATATTTGAATAACTTGTTTTGTAGACCCCACACAGTTGGCTTCTCATAGCTAATAATGCTATAATGCAACACATCTGACCTATTTATGTTAATAACTATCATAAATTCAAAATTCAAAACATTCATTTGGCCTAAAAAGAGACACTTGTAAGTATAAACTAGCTTAGATGGTTGACCAGGCTTATTAAAAAGGGGAATTATGCAAACTAGATTTTTTTTTTTTTAGCTTTTTACAATGTTATTCCCTCATCAAAAACATGCCCGAAGAGGTTTTAAATTTCATCCATGCATGTTAATACAGTTAGCAGTAAAATTCTATCCAGTGCTCAACCCACAAGCCTACATCATCCATGCTCCCACTCGACAATTATTCATAAATATACAAAAAACGTGATACAAAACTGTACACAGCAACTTGACAAACCTGATGTGATATGCAGTAGATTTATTAGCGAGATGCACACTAACTGTATTGTGATGGCGCTCTGAAAAAGGAGTTTATGCATGGAGAGCATAAAGGCAGAAAGTACGGAAGACTCAGAGCATCAAAAACAAAAATTACATGTTAATATATTGTTAAAAACATGTTAATATGTTGTTTTCTGTGAATATCGCCTGTTCAAAACAATAAAAGTTAATACCCCATAGAAGTAAAATACCTCCTCTTTAATTCCTCTAGCTAATTTTCCACATTTTTATTTTCTTTGCTTTAGGTCCTGCGCTACTTTGATTACGTCTTCACTGGAGTGTTCACCTTTGAGATGATCATTAAGGTGAGAGCTTGCTTATACAGATATTTGTCTCATTCTTTTATTGGAGTTAGACTGTGTGCATGTGTCCTAACCTCCAGATGATTGACCAAGGCCTGATCCTCCACGACGGTTCATATTTCCGTGATATGTGGAATCTGTTGGACTTCATCGTGGTGGTGGGAGCACTCATAGCCTTCGCCCTAACGTGAGTCATGATGATGCTGCTGCTGCCGATGACTAAAGACTGACTCACCGCACCATTGTACTCAACAACCTTCTTTTTAAATCTCCAATCTGATTTTTTATTACTTAAAATACTGGGGATGCTGTAGCGGTATTAAACCCCCACAGATATATATATATTTTTAATAAAATCTTTATCTTCTCAGTTTTTAAATTATACATAACGATACAGATATAAACAAATAAATAAACCTTCAGAACCCACCCCTCTCTCCATCTCGTCACACACACAAAACTACACAAAAAAACAAAAACAGAATTTTAATGTGATTTCTATGGTACTGGAAGTGTGTACTGAGAATACATATTCTGACTACACATTTTGAGTATGGTAATTATATTCCACTACAGATACTCTTTGGTGGTGTACAGAATACAGTTACTTTTCTAAAATCAAAGGAATACATTACGTACAAATGGGATTTAAAGTGCACAGAATCAGAGACTAAAAGTAGACATTAGACTGCGGTGAGTGCATGTGTGGTTTTTCTATCTCAAATCAAGTGATAAGAAACGCTTTAAAAACAGTGAAACAAATATAAAGCTGCAATTAATACTATATTACGTTTTTACACTCTAATTTAAATGCAACTCGATGTAAAAGTATTCTAAATATTCAGAATACAATACTCTGATATCAGAATACATTACAAAATACACTGGGCATGAAAATGTATCGGTGTTAAATCCCCACAGATATTTTAATGTGATTTCTGTGATATTTTACTTTACCAACCATGTGTTATTTTGCTGTTGTCTATTTCGGATTTCAATGTGGCAATAATTAATGATTTTTGTTCCTTTTGTTGCACTGTAGATTTTTCCGTGATTTTATGTGTTGTGAATATAGCTGTGATCCTCAATTTTTCTCTTTTGCCTCAATTTTTTCTGTTGTTCCTGTGGATTTTGTCACTGTTGGGGCTTCCAGGAATGTGATGGGGTAAAATTTCACACTAAATGTTGTGCGTTGTCTCCATGTTTCCCAGTTTCTGTTTGTATTGCTGTTGGTTTCCATTAAAGGTGCATTACGTAGCTTTTCTGGTGGAGGGCCTGTATCTGCCACCAGCTTGTTTCCATGCCGATGTTATTGCTTTGCCTGGAATGTTCCACAGTACAGTTTTACCTAGCAATTATCTATCTCCATGGCAATAAGGAGGTGGTGCAATCAGGGAAAGTTACAATTCAGATCTGTGGAGAGGCAGCCCCAATTACAATACAAACACATGTTTTCTTAACACTAAAAGCAACTGTAACTGAATAAATGCAAGGCGGATATGCTTAATGCCATTCTGTGGTACATTCCAGGCAAAGTTATTATTTATATAAAATCAGGTGCAGATCCCAATCAGAAAACTTACATAGTTCACCTTTAAGATCTTCATATTGTTCAGTGGTAGTAGTTTTGGTAGTTGTAATTTTTGTTCAGTAGTTTGACGGCATTGGCAGGTTTAGAGGTGAGTTTAAAAGATTTGTCACATTAATAACATAAAGATTAAATGAACCGTCATCACTCCAATTCTGTAACTGTTGTTGGTAGCATTGTGCCATTATTTTATCATTTCCTAGACCTGCTGGATCCCATACAGAGACATTTACGTTAAAATCTGTCTTCATGTTCATGTATTTCAGTTTTCACCTGAAACTATTTATGTATTTTGTTACCAGTGTGTCTGTGACAAGTCAGTGTCACCGCAAATGCATGTCTGATTTCTGATACTTAATTTACTCAGAAACAACAAAGGAAGAGACATTAAGACCATCAAATCCCTCCGAGTTCTTCGAGTTCTACGCCCACTGAAAACCATCAAAAGGCTTCCAAAACTTAAGGTATGCTTTTGAAGTTTATAAAATATATAATGTAGGACTATAGTTGACCAAGAATTTATTTAGTCAGCTACAGCCTGATATTGCAAACAAAGACATGCCCTACTGATCGATTAGTTAATGAAAAAAGGGGTGTGGCAAAAGTTCTGAAAATGATTGTGTATGTGATTCAAATTGCACTCAAGATTAGACCAGCACAGGAGTTCATCCAAAACCATCTATTTATACAAAAGAAGTACTAGGAAACAATATTTACAAACTAGACAAACTAAACTTGCATATTATGAGTTTAATCTACCTTTTTACATATAAATACCAAGAAATACCAAATCTTCAGATAACTCACTCACTTAGTAACTCCTATTTTTTTGCCATTTAAATATAATAATAATACTACATAACACTTGTATGGCGCTTTTCTTGACACTGAAAGACACTTCTCACAGTTCAAACAGACAAAACACAAATGAAGAAATAGATAAAAATTAGATTATGCAGTTATTTGAAAGCAGTTTACTACTCAACTTGTTAAAAAGTTTCAAGACACCATCAATGGATTCATCAAGCAAACAACTATGTGTGTATATTTCTAGTTGGATCCTTGCTAACTCATATTTTCTCTCCTCTTCAGGCTGTTTTTGATTGCGTGGTCACGTCTCTGAAAAACGTATTCAACATCCTGATCGTTTACCAGCTCTTCATGTTCATCTTCGCTGTGATCGCCGTGCAGCTTTTCAAAGGGAAGTTCTTCTACTGCACTGACAGCTCCATGAACACAGAGAAAGAGTGTCAGTAAGTCCCAAACTCACACTTTCTGTTTGGTGTAAAACAATCTGCTACAACTTTTCACTGGCGCTGTTTGTGGTGAATCTGTGCCCTGTTACAAAGAGGTATTGTGATGGCATGTTCTGTTCTCCGCGTCATGGAAAGCGCCTGTTTAATCAGTGAAAGTGCGAATGCTAACATCTGGGCTGCTACGCTCCCCACAGAGGCTACTACATCGACTACAGCCGAGACAAGAAGGAGGTGAAGAGGAGAGAGTGGAGGAGACATGAGTTTCACTATGATAACGTCTGTTGGGCTCTTCTCACGCTGTTCACTGTGTCGACGGGAGAGGGCTGGCCACAGTAAGTTTAGGGTTTAATAATAATAATAAATTAATAATAATAATAATAATAAAGTGTTTTTCATTGTATCACAAAGATGCTGGTAGGTGGTAGAGTAGGCAAAATTGTACTCAAGTGAAATGTGATTGTAAGTATAAATCATTAAGTACTGCACAAAATCTGGTATTTTCAAAGGATAAATATAAAAACTAAATCATATCTGAAGGAGTGGTGCAAGAAATACAAATGTTCAAATTTACAGCATAAAGCTTTTGTCACACAATGGGGAGAGTAACCAAAACTTTAGCTCAAGTAAGAATATTGTTACTTCAGTAAAAAAAATTAAATAGAGTAGAAGTATGCAGCTAAAAAGGTGTTCTGAAAAGTACAATTTCTTTAAAAAGTTACTAGTAAATGTAATTTCCCGTCACTGTTCACACTATACCTTACCTAGGTTTCAACGTTTATCAGTTATCTCAATAATTTCAGATGGTAAAAGACAACAACAAAAGCATAAATGCTCAATTTAATCGTACTAGTCCTAAAACAATAAAACCAGTCATATCAAATAAGAGCTAAACCATAAAATAAATAAAAATAAATCCAAGATGATGTCAGTGTGTTTGCAACGCTGCTTAGTAATATGAACATTGATGTTTATTTCTTTTTAATAAGCCAAAATCAAATCAGAAATTGTGATTGATTTTTGTCATATCGCCCAGTCTAAATTATGACCAGCTGAACTGTCTGTTATCAGCTCATCAGAAATGTCCTATAAGCTTTTGTACTCAGATTTGTTCCCATTTGCAAAGGCATCTAATCTTATACAAATCTAATCTGAAATGTATGGCCTGACAGCTCCATCAGTGAGCATTTTTTGAACAGAGGACTTGTGCTGCTCTCTGAAAAGCAAAATGTTGGATACAGACAGATTGGGATTGGCCTGGCACCAAGTCAATCCCCTTCACATGGTGAATAACTTTGGCTCTGTGTCTGCTTAGCAACAGCACCTGAATCAGTGTGTTGCAGTGCCTTTACTGGTTGTTTTTATTACCTCTGTCTGAATTGAAATATTAGTTTTTATATCTAACCTTTTTGCATCAAGGGGGAAATAACTGTTGAGGATAGTTGTTGCTTGAATATTTGATAGGGTACTGAATCTATGGATACAAGTTACATTTTGCTAAGGGCTCCATCTCACTGGCTTGCTGTGAGACTATGAGATACAAACTTTTGCATTTACAATGGCAGCATATATTGTTGTGAAGCAGAATGTTTTATGCTGTGTACTGAACATGTTTTTTTTTGTTTTTTTTTATCTCAGGGTCCTGCAGCACTCTACAGATGTCACAGAGGAGAACATGGGCCCGAGCCGAGGGAACCGTATGGAGATGTCCATTTTCTATGTGGTCTACTTTGTAGTTTTTCCGTTCTTCTTTGTCAACATCTTTGTGGCTTTGATCATCATCACCTTCCAGGAGCAGGGAGACAAGATGATCCAAGAGTGCAGCCTGGAGAAGAACGAGGTAATTTTTTTTCTTTTTCTTTTTTTTTTTTCAATTAGTTCAACTTGAGATTGGGAGTGATTGCCTCTTGATTTGGGAGAGAACCACCTGCGCTTTAGCCTTCGCAGCAGTGGGCTGACACTTGGTAGCCCCACTGTTACATTTAGTGAGCACTACAGTCACTAACACAAAGCCCTGTAGAAGCTACTTGGTTAGTAGCAAAACACAGGCTGTAAAAGCTTAGTAAGTCAAGTTGTTTTAATTCATATTTTGTTTTATACATCCTTTTAAATTGTAAAATATTTATACATCATGTTAAAATGTTATCCAGAGTTCCACAGTTTTACTTATTTAACAGAAACACACATTTGTTGTCTCTAAAACTTTTATATCCAATAACTGATAAATCACTTCATTTCTCTCTGTATCCTTTTCAGAGAGCTTGTATAGACTTTGCCATCAGTGCTAAGCCCATGACCCGCTACATGCCCCAGAACAGGCAGACGGTCCAGTACAGACTGTGGCACTTCGTGGCCTCGCCCTCCTTTGAGTACACCATCATGGTCATGATCGCTCTCAACACTGTGGTGCTCATGATGAAGGTGAAACTCGTATTGAGTGTGTCAGTCCGTAGCTAATTATTTTATTTTTTTATTCACCTCTACCAGACATTCAAACAAATAGAAGGTTTCATTTTAGTTAGTTTAGTTTAGAGGAAATCAATCAAGCAAATGTACTGATTCACACACACTACATTAAAGGTCCTACATTATGCAAAATTGAATCTTGTAAGCAATAAGTCATGTTGTAATGTTGATACCTCATCAGAAACATACAAGGAATTGTGTTTGTTTCATCCACACGCATTGTTTGACTAATGCTTTGTTATTAGTCAGTCTGTATCTCCAAAGCTCAAAATGCTCTGTTCTGCTTTGTAATGTCATGTTGTGGTAGTTTACAAAGTTAACAGCTACTTTTTACCTTTAGTTCAGTAGAGATGGACAATTCGATGGTTGAAATTATCCAAATGATTCCAGTGAAGGTGTAAGGAGTTTAAAATCACATTGGAGCACTTCCTGCATTACCACATGACATCACAAGGTGGAACAGAGTGTTTCCTGTTTAAGAGAAGACCTCAGGAGAAGAACCTTGTTAAACATGTGTGAATAAAACAAAACACATCTCAGTATGTAATTGATGAAGAAACAAGATTATAACATAGATCAGAAAATAGCCTACTATTGTCCCTTTAATGCCAATGTGTCTTGAAGTAATTAATTCTGACTGTTCCCAGAATCTCCACTTAACATCACGCTCACAATACAGCACAGTGGTGAGACCTTGCTTTTCATCTGAGTCTTTAGATGTAGATCCCACTGAGACATGAACCTCATTTGCCCTCCAAATGAAAGGCAGTGCTTTTCAATGGGCTTCTCACAAAACACTTACCAAAGGGCCTGAAAGGGAGCTGAGTGAAGAGATTTTCAGCCCTGTAGGGAATATTGTGTAACACAAATCTTATATTATTACGGTTACTGTTCTTGTAAGAAATTACATTTACGTATGATAGAATGTTATATAATTTGGTTTGTTAGACTTGTATTACACTAAGGTAATCAAAAGTTAAAAAAAAAAAATAGATACTAATCAATACTGTATCGAAACTAGATACTCACTCATTTGGGCAGATATTGAATAAAAAAAAAATCATACTCTCAGGATGGAAATGAACCTTTCGTGAATAGCTTGAGCTGTAGCAAAATAAGTATAAGAGCACATAGATTAGTATACACCCATGGACCATTATGGAAGCCACCTGAACGACTGAGGGATTACACAGATATAAGGCCATATGGTAATATAAAAGAAAGTACTGAAAATTTATGTTGAAAATCACATTCTATTGTACACTTCCTATATTACCACGACATCCCAAGGTCGAACAAGAAGTGTTTGTTGAGAGAAGACCTCAGTTTAAATATGCAGGATTTGTGTCTTAAACGTGTGAATGAAACAAAGCACTACTCGAGGCATGTTTTTGATAAGCTAACAACATTATAACATAGATCAGAAAATAGAATAATAGAGGCCCATTAAAGAAAAAAGGAATAAGCTAAAGTCATGTGTTTCTGTAATTTCAGTACCACTCAGCTCCTACTGCATACGACTTCGTTCTAAAGCATCTGAACACTGCCTTCACTGTACTGTTTTCTATGGAGTGCATCCTGAAGATCATGGCCTTTGGTTTTGTGGTGAAGATTTATTAACTGAAGATTATATTTAAGTCTTGTTTTGTTTGTGTATTGACTTATTAAAGACAATTTATTCTCTTTTCACAGAACTACTTTCGAGATACTTGGAATATTTTCGATTTCATCACCGTACTTGGCAGCATCACGGAGATAGTGGTAGACTTACAGGTAATTACCACGGAAACAATTTTTATTTTCGTTCACAGCATTTTGTCACTAAAACTGACACTTCTAGCCTTGTTTAGCGCTAATCCATTCTTCCTAAGTTAGCTCTTGTAATACTCTCTCTACTGTTGAATTTGACCATCTGTGTTGTTTTGCCTGCCCGTGCCTGCAGTCTGCCACTCTGGGCCTCACGTTTTTGCTTTTTTTCAATGCCTTCTCGCCTTTTGCCACGCTCTCTGTACCCGCTCACGCGTGTGACGGCTTAGTCTGTCAACACCATCAACATGAGCTTCCTGAAGCTCTTCCGAACGGCCAGGTTGATCAAGCTGCTGCGTCAGGGCTACACCATACGGATACTGCTTTGGACCTTTGTGCAGTCTTTTAAGGTACTACAGTCTAATAAAGGCAGAATATAGTCACAGTATATTTCACACTACACTTCATGCATTGTACCCAAGCTTGTTGACAGGCAAAAAGCCTCACGTGACCCTTCCTTTGCCCCCCCTATCTACTGCCCTGATTGTACTTATATCATTAAAGGTGCATTATGTAACTTTTCTTGTGAAAGGTACAGTACTATATAGAGATGTTATAACTTCTCTGGGATGTTCCATCCTTAGACATATCTATCCCCCCTGAAGACAAGCAAGTGACACAGCCCGACCACATATTACATATAAGATATGTGGAGAGCTTATACTTCTCACAGTAAGAATGCATGTTTTTCAAGGTTTAACAATAAAAACACACTTTATGAAATGCAACATATATTACGTTTAATCCCATACTGTGGAATGCCAAGCAAAGAAACAATATCTCCATGGAGTCAAGAAAGTTGAGAACCCCTACCAGAAAAGTTACATAGTGTCTTTTTAAGAACAATGTACTGTGTAGTTGCATATGACTGCAGGTTGTACAAAGTACTTTTGTACTACTACTATTGTACGCAAGTTATTGTTGTTTTGTCCTCATTTCCAGGAAACAATATAATATCTCTAACATATATTAATTGACTTTTTTCCACCAGGCCCTTCCTTACGTTTGTCTTCTGATTGCGATGCTTTTCTTCATTTACGCCATCATTGGAATGCAGGTAATCATCTGTAACATCTGGCCTCATGTTCTAGTAGAACTCCATAAAAACTCCGCTTCTAAAATCATTAAATCAATTGTTTTGCAGGTGTTTGGGAACATCAAACTCAATGATGACAGTCACATCAACCAACACAACAACTTTAAGACTTTCTTTAGTGCACTCATGCTGCTCTTCAGGTACAATGTGTCTTATTCAAATTTTTAATACATTTTGTCTCAGGATGGACCTATCCAGCTTTTTCAATTCAAATATACATATAGAGATACTTATCCAATTGTGTTATTGTTATTTACCCTTCAAATACATACTGATACATATGTACCTTGGTATGAATAAAAAAAAATAAAAAAAATGAGACACTCTAGGCCAAAATCAGCCTGTAAATAATCTTATTACATTAAATTAAAGACTTAACCAGGATATCGTGGAATCGATACCTAATCCAGCTAATATTTCAGTGCATAGGCCTGTCTCCATAATTATTATATAGATTTATTGTTCAGTATATCAAAGATGGAACAACAGTTTTTGGGGTCAATACTTATCGTGTTAACTTTTTCTTTGCCCTTCTGTCAGTGTTCAGTATTCAATGGCAATATCATAAGATTTAAGTGATAAAATAAAGTGTTTGATTCTGTTGTTTATTTATTGCAGCTCATCATCTTTTAACAATATTGAACATTTAGAATAGTTTTTGTGGTTTGAAATCTGCTCTTGGGTTTTTGTGTCAAAGGCATATATTATCATTAATATTATCATTACTTCAAAATTTGACAAGCTATCAGTGATACTAGTATTGGTACCTTATTTTGGCTGAATTGTTTCTTTGGCTTCAGGAGTGCCACAGGGGAGTCATGGCAGGAGATCATGCTTTCGTGTCTGTCTGGTCAGGAGTGTGAGCCGGACCCCTCCCTCGCCCCCTTCACCATGTCGCCCGACCATGAGGGGGGCTGTGGCACTGACTTTGCCTACTGCTACTTTGTCTCTTTTATATTCTTCAGCTCTTTTCTGGTAATTGAAACCTCCCTCATGTTTTTGGCCCAAATGATCATAGCCATTATTTTTTACTGCAAATTCAAGTATTTCTATCTCTGTATTATTTTATTGCACTGTGATACAGACCTAAGTTAGGCCAGGAATTAGTGTTCCAAGACTTTTTAAAGGTGTCTATTTGAAAGTCTTACTCTATTGACCACCAATCTATGGCACTCGTCTGTAAGTATGTTAATATGTTACTATAAGTTTGGTTTAGACTCTGAGGGGCCTCCATAATCTATTAATGGGAAACAATGGATTGCTTATTTGATATGATTGCTTTCTGTATGTCTTTATTTCGATTATTTTTTTTGTGTAGATGCTGAATCTGTTTGTGGCTGTGATCATGGACAATTTTGAGTACCTGACACGAGATTCCTCCATCCTCGGCCCTCATCATTTGGATGAGTTTGTCAGAATCTGGGGAGAGTATGACCGTTTAGCATGGTAAGATTCAGTTGTTTAAATAATAATAGACTGACCAGTGTGAAAATGTTGCCTTCACAAATCCCAAATACAGCTGCTAGGCTTGTGGTTGGTCACTAGTTGGTTACTGCTGTCAAGGTTCTTTTTTGTTTGAATTACTGTGAAGGACTACATGCTTACATCTCTTTCTCTTATCAGCTATCAAAATAAGGCCTTTAGATAGAATGAAATCAAGGACACTATGTAAGGACACAATGTATCTGAACTCAGATTATGCAAGCACAAAGATAACTAAAGATAACTAAAACAACGTAATTTGTCACAAAAACTGATTGCACAAGTAGGACAAGTCTGTATTTTAATTTGCTACACTGGTATGATATCTGTTGAAACATTGCTGAGAAGTGTTATGTAGCCTGTCTGATTAACATATTCCCAAATGGAAAACCAAATATTGTTCAGTTTTGTGTCAAGGATGCAGTTACATTATTATCCAAAAGAGGGCAGTCAATGTGCACAAAATCTTATGTTTGGATGCTGTTCCCTTTTCCCTTCTTCTCACAGTGGGCGCATTCACTACACTGCTATGTATGAGATGCTAACACACATGTCGCCTCCTTTGGGGTTGGGTAAAAAATGTCCAGCCAAGATTGCATATAAGGTAAATTGTAACAGCCTTTGTGTATGTAGACAAGTACAAGTGTCTTGAAACATGACATGCTGTGTATTTATCCGATCAGAGGCTGGTATTGATGAACATGCCTGTGGACGAGGACATGACAGTTCACTTCACGTCCACTCTGATGTCTCTCATTCGCACCGCTCTGGATATCAAAATCGCCAGAGGTCAGAGGTCACAAAATCAGCTGTAGTTTTAGTGCGAATATAAATTTTTTTCATTTATTTTTCTTCTTTATTTCCATAATTCTTGGCAATATAGATTCTCACTGAAGGCATCAAAACTACGAATGACACATATGGAATGTATAACTTAAAACTTGTTTTAGATAAAAAAATAAAAATAAAAAAAGCCACCCTTTGCTTTGATCACTTTTGGTACTTATGGCAATTCTTGACCCCACAAGGCACACCTTTGAAGTGAAAACCGTGTCAGGAGTCTTCATCAAGAAGCTCAGTGAGAGAGCCAAAGGTTAGCAGGATTGTCAACAAAGCAAAGGGTGGCGTCTTTGAGGATTTGAATATAAAATGTTCAAAAGATTTTGTTGAGTTATTTCACTTTTTTTCTTTACTACATAATCCCAAACATGTTGCTTCACACATGTGTTTTGTATCTATATAAAATGTAGAAAGTAGTAAACATAGAGAGTGGTAGTGTATGAAAACTGATGAATTGTTTTTTTCTTCAGGTGGTGAGGATCGCATTGCTCTCGATTCTGAGCTGCAAAAGGAGATCAGTATTATCTGGCCCTACCTCCCTCAGAAGACCTTAGACCTGCTTGTGCCCATAAATAAAGGTAAAAGACCCTTTTAAAATTGTAAACAAAAATAGTTTACATTTCAGAATAGAAGCAACTAAAATATTTGAGTATTTTCTTCATCATGAAAATAACTATGAAATCCTCTCTCACAGATACTGACATGACCGTAGGAAAAATCTACGCTTCAATGATGATCATGGACTACTTCAAACAAAACAAGGCCAAGAAGCTTAGGCAACAACTTGAAGCACAGGTAATGTGGTGTTAAAGAAATATTGTCCTGAAACATCTGATTTGGCCTTTATTCTAAAATAAAATAATCATCTAAAAACTTGCATGAAAACTGATATCTGTTTCTATCTGTTATTTAGAAGAGTAACCTGATGTTCAAACGCCTGGATGCTTCTGCTCTGCCTGAAGACATTCTGTCCAACACACAGCCTCTGCCCATGATGGCCCACAGCGCAGGATCTGCTTTGTGAGTTAGAAACATATCTCCATGGTAGGGGCGCTCAACATATCACAAAAGTATCATGATACTGACTGACGCATTAATAGGTATGCAATAACACCAAGGTTCAAGGTTAAAGGCTGCCAAACACTCCAGGATTTTTGTTTTTAGACAGTTTTTAAAAGTGCTACAAAAAGTCCACACTACAGACACGAGGAGAATCGGATGAGATTTTAAATCTCCAGTCGCAAAGACTGCTGAGAGATATGGCAACTTATCGTAGGCTACAAAGTTGTGTGCACACCCGCCTGGTAGTCAAGTTAACTGCTCCTCGGTGGAGCACTTCCTGTATTACCACATGACATCACAAGGTGGAACAAATGTTTTCAGTTTGAGAGAAGAACTCGTCTTAAATATGCAGGGCGTTAAATGTGTGAATGAAACAAAACGCAACTCTGGGTAAGTTTTTGATGAGGAAACAACATTATAACATAGATCAGAAAATAATATCGTGACATATTCCATGACTCGAATATGATCGGTTGTGTCTTTATGTTGATGTGCCCTTTTTCCAATGCAGGACCAGAGGAGGCTTTGTGGCACTGAGCCCCATCTCACCGCAGGAGCTATTTTTGCAGCCCATCAGCTCTGACATCGACTCTAGTCAACCGGAGAATCTGGTAAACAAACAAAGAAAAATATGTATCTTTATTTTTAACTATGTCTCCCAACACTGACACAATATCATTTCTATTCAATATGAGACGAGCACAGCAGGTTGTTGTCAAGTACTAATCTAACCTTAATTCAACGTACATTCATTTTGTGGATTTTTGTCATATTTTTGTATTTGAGTTTTTTCTGGCATAGCAGCTCTTGTGTTGTCTGATTCTGTCATTATTTATATCGCTTTCATCTACTCTTTCAGTAGATTTTGACAGCAGAAAATATTGTCCACGCTCCTCAAACAATCTTGTCAAACTTGATTTTGACACTTGATACAGATTTTGATACTTGAATGATATTAAAAGATTTTGGGGGCAACATTGTCATTTTAAATACTAAATAATAGTATTTGTTTATGATATGTGGTCAAGATTCAAACTAAGGTCAAGAAAGGTCAAATTTTATCCAATTTATGTATTTTTTTTAGTATTGATACCTCCTCAAATGAGTATCTAGTTTAATTAGTGTAATTTTCTATACTTTTGACAACTCTTGATCATGGTGGTATGAATAAGTATACTTGTGTCTCGCGTTGGTTGTACTCGTCTTGTCAAAATTTGTCTCCTTCTGATTGAGTCTAGCTATCTTTTTGGGTTGAACTGGTAATGTTGTCTGAATGGTTAGCGGTCAGTTTGCCATGGCCTGGGGCGGTCCATGCGTCTCGATGCCCTGCTCTCTTGTGTGTGTGCCAGGTGGTCCAGTGCACACGGGGCCTTGTGGTCCCTCTGGAGCTCCTGGGCAGGGGCCTGGGTTTACGGGCCACTTCTATGCCACGTCTGGTGGTAGACCTGCAGGTACTCACTCAGATCTGAGGGAGCTCTGTCTGCATGGCTTCAGAATGCCTGGGTTCTAATGTGAAGACATTTAAAGGGGGCTGCTTCGAACAGGAGATGTTGGAATGCCATGACTGCATTGTTTTTCCTGCATTTTTATGACATCTCTCTTGATATTTCAGAATGCTCTTTATTGCAATGAAAGCATGAAAGGTTTCAAAGGAAATGATGTGGTTGCCTGTGCAAGGAGAAGTGATTCAACTTTGTGAAAATGACCGCATGTCTACATTCATTCTCTTCAAACACTTTACCAGACTTTGTAGGCACTGAATGACTTTTCATTTGGTAAAATGTAATTAATAAGCTCTGTGCACAATAGCTCCCGGCAGCCTCACTGTTAGCGTCACTACTTCCTTTCCAATTTTATCTCTGAGGTTTTTACCAAGTCGCGCTAAAATGAATGAACATGTACTCATACTAAGTATAAAAATAAATGGGTAGTTGTTATTTTAATTTGAATTTTAATAGGTTGTTTATTTTATGTTTTACATTTTTAGTAAAAGTGACTGTTAGCTTTGAGACACAGTGAGCTGACTAATGTGCTGCTGTGCACAGAGCCTATTAGCAAAGATTTTTAATTAAGTTTCCTATAGTTTAATATGTAGATTTATTATGCCACAACTATGAAATATAGTCTTACTTCTCCTTTAAATCATCAGTATATTTAATAAACTCATGACTGTGTTTCTTCTTGTGTTTGTTTGTGTGTACTTGTCAAACCCTAGCCAGCGGAGGATGCCAGCGAGTCCCTGAAGCGTTCAGTGTCGACTGTGGGCGACCAGCGGGTGAACGGGCTGTGGCAGGATGAGCCGAGTCCAGAGAGGGTGTACAGGCCCCGTCACAAGAGCTACAAGGCTGCTGGTTAGTGCTGTCACTCCAGACCGCTACCCTCCGCTAACTAGGCGCTAATTTACTGCTCTTATTTACCATGTGTCACTGCTCTCCCAGTGTCCCGGTCCGAGCGGCAGCAGGCGGAGAGGGAGCGCCGACACCTGCTCTCTCCCGACAGGTCCCGCTGTAACTCTGCAGACAGGAGCCAGCAGCCCTCACGCTCCTCCAGTGTGGAGAGAGCCAACACAGAGGACAAACAGGTGAGACCTGTACTCCCTGCTCATAGGGACCAGAGAGGAGACTCAGCAACCATGAAAACATTAAATTATGCATGAAAAGTCTGTAGCAGTGAATTTAAGGTACATTGGTGTATATAAGCTTTAGTGATTTGTTGATATTGTTTGATATTTTAATGGGTATATGCTGTTCGCGGGCAAAGAGTTGAATGACAGATCATTGTACTAATTTCAGCTGTTGTTTCATTGCCCAGGGTAACAGCTCTGACAGCCCAGTGCCCTCCACATCAGAGTCCAGCACCCCCAGTGGTCGGAGGCCCATGTCGCGGCCGCACATCTCTTACTCTCCTCTGGCCAGCCGCCCTCAGCCTGAAGATGAGGACGAGCCCGGCAGCCCAGAGACCATCAGAAGAGTGAAGTCCAAGAGGGAGTCTAAAGACAAGAGGGAGTCTAAAGAGAGCAAAGCAGAGCGGAGGAGAAACCCCTCTCCTCCGCGTCGCTACCCCTCAGAGCCTTTCCTGGCTTCTCAAGAGCAGGACGACGAGCAGAGTCCCGACCCCACCGGCCCCATAGAAACTCTCACGTTTGAGGCGGCTGTGGCATGCAGCCTGGGCCGTGCCAACACTATCAACATAGGCGCGCGCTCTCGGACTGGCTGGCAGGTCCCCAACGGACACTTTCGAAAGCGCCTCGCCCAAACCACATCTGTGACAGGGTGTGACCCCCTCAGTGACACAGAGGAGGATGACAGGTGCTAGGGACTGAGCACCCACAAGGAAACCCCTGAGGTGCCCCCTGAGGTGCCCATTATCAAGCAGTAATATTTATATGCTGGGATTCACATGATTTTATGAGCCTGTAGTGTTTAAGTGAGATGGAGACTGACAAAGTTACCATTGTTTTTTTTTATGTTGATATTACAGATAATAAGATAATAAAACATAATGGCCATCAGTTAATGTAGAAATACATTTTTTGTATTCCTGCTTTTTTGAGAGAAAGCACCTTTTATAAGTCCACATGATAAATGTTTACTACATTTAACAATTGAGATTTATTTAAAGCATTGTTTTATTCATGAATTGCTTTCATAGACAGACAGCTAGCTGTCCAGTACACTAACTACACCAGTGTTTCTCAAACTTTCCACACCAAGTTCCACATTAGATAATATTTGTCTTTCCGAGTACCACTAGATATAAACCCAGACAAGATAAGGGCTACATTAGAGCTAAACATGGTCTGAAATTAGACTATACAAGGTCTAAAAGGAGACTAAACTATGGATACAGTAATTTTAAAGGATGATTAAGCCAAAGGAACTTTAATAGATTTGTCTCTAATAAAACCAATACTCTAAACTGCAAAGAGCCTTGTGCCATAGTTTGAGAAACACTGAACAACATTACCAGTTAATAAAACTTTACACTGATTGAAGTTATTTAAATGTGCATCTTTAATGATTGCCCTTACTTCCTGATAATGTTTCCTGACATGTACTTGACAAAACAGAGTAATAATATTATCTGTAGGAGACAAGGGGGGAGATAATCACTTTTGTTGACTTTTTTTTCTTTCTCAAGATGTTTTAAATGACTTGGTATTGCGATAAACAGTATTTTATCTGTAAGGTGTGTGAATATGTAACTAAATTTTCTTATAAATAATTGTTTTGTAAATACATTATGATCATCTCATCATTTTCACTACGCAAAGAACAAATCCAGCCACATTCTGGGGATAAAGAAAACCAGATGATGTGGACACTAATAAAAATATTCAACAATGCTGGACTTTTTTACAGTGCAAATGAATGTGCAACTTAAGCAATTAAAGATTGTTTCTTTTACATTTTGCACCTTGTTTTAACAATAATGTCTAGAATGAACAACGGATATGTATTTTATAATTTTTTTTCTTTTAAAATACAACTCAGTTAAAAATGCAAAACATAAAACTCACACCCTACATTCACACTTGTTTTCATCTTTTAATATTAATTTTGATAAAGCTGAATCATTTGACTTTGAGAGCCACCAGCTGTGTAACTAATAGCAACCAGACATTATCTTTCTGTCCTCATTTTCAAACAGAATGACTGTAGAGAAACAAGGAGAATACACTAATTGCTTTATATGACGAATACAGTTTTTTGACATTGGGGAAAATAAACCATGAGCTGATGTGCTTTAAAATAAAAGGGTATTTGAATGTTTATTTTAGGTTTGTGCTATTGTTTTATTTGCAAAAAAAGGCCAATTCTGTGAAACTCTAACCAAATAACATGAGATTGTATCATAATTACTGGAATGCAAATAATTGTGTTTTTAAGTGTATCATAGGTGTATATAAATAAAGGTGTCACCAAGTTATTGTGGCCAAATTTGTATTTATTTTTCATGTATTGGTAGAATCTCATGTAGGATGTTCTAATATTTCCTCATCAAAAACATACACACCATAAATGTTAATGCTGATTTCCTCTCTCAATCAGAAAACACTGCTCCACTTTGTGATGTCATATGGTAATACAGGAAGTTCTCCACTGTGTTTTTAAACTTCATATACTGTTAGTAGAATCATTTCGATAATTTCAGACCTGGAATTACCAATCTCTTCTGAACAAAAACTATGAGGTAGTTGTTAACTTGAAAATTACTGCCTCGTGACATCACAAGGTGGACATCAAAGGATTACTCAAACATATATGAATTAACAAAACACATCGCTAGGTATGTTTTTGATGAGGTAACAACATCCTAACATGACTTAAAGGTCACATCAGTTAATATCGATATGGGGCTTTTAATCTTTTTTATAAGCTATTATTCAGCATAGATCCATGTTGAGCACAAAACAATAAATGGGCGGGTCTAAATGTGTGAACTGTAATCTTATTGGTCATTGTTAAAGTCATCAGCCAATCACCGCTCGGATTTACGTGCGTATGTGGACGTCATATCCTGATAACATGTCCTCCTGTTAAAGAAAGAGCTAACAGCTGAGAAAACACTTTATTTTCACATACCTGCCTTAAATGGCGGGTTGTCGTTCGGTCTAATCTCTCTCATATCGTAGTGTAAAAGTCACAGCTGCTGTTTAAAGAGCTATTCCGTGACTTTAGTGATTAGAATTTTGGGATGAGCGATACTTGTCGAGGAAGTATTCCAGCTGGCTAGCAGAGTTAGCTAGTTGTTAGCAAGGGAGTTCTTTGTTTTGTATTTGAGAGAACATGAACAGAAACTGTTGTTGACATTAACGAGGTGTACGATCGTTATGGACAGGGCACATCCGGCGACAGCAGCGTTGTAAAATACGAGATTTACGGAGTAGCTTGTAATACGTGGACAAACTTTAGAAAGAGCAGTGTCGGGTTCTCCGCTGGACAAAGGTAGACCATGGGAAACTGTCTCAAGTCTCCGACATCGGACGACATCTCTCTGCTCCATGAGTCCCAGTCGGACAGGGCCAGTTTTGGAGATGGGATCGACCCCGACCTAGAGCCACCTCCACCTTATCAGGTACAATATAGTGATGTGTTTAGCAGGTCAGCTAATGTTTACTGTACTCTCAAGTGTTAGGTTGGTGTCAGATTTCATTACTTCAGTTTTGGGTCAAACTTTTCTACCTAATTTGAGTGATTTAATTAATCAGTTCGTCAAGGTATACGCTGGTTAGATTAAATAGAAAAATGGTTTAAACAGTTTTTATATTAGTGAGGCATTCATATATATATTTGTTATCTGATTTCAACAGTATGAAACTGTTACTTAAGATGATGTGATTTTTCTGGATATAACTTCACTACATTGATACTCATCACTCTCAGTAGTAATTTTGGAGAACAATTATGTAATGACCAGACATAGGAAGTTTCTTTTTTATGCTGTAACTGTGACTGAACCAGTCCTGTGAGGTGCTGTGGTTCATGATTGTTGTTTGGTTGCCTCAGGAGCCCGCTCACATGCCACTGTACCACCCCACGCCCAGTCAGACCCGCCTGGCCTCACAGCTGACGGAGGAGGAGCAGATCCGCATCGCTCAGCGTATCGGCCTCATCCAGCATCTCCCCAAAGGGGTCTTCGACGGAGGCCCCGACGGCTCAGAGAAGAAGATCAGAGAGTGAGTGGTTTGCACTTTTCACTGCACTTGTGTGGGAATCACTTTAGCTACAGCTACACTTTTTCTGACCCACATCATCAAAATCCTTATCTAAATAATGGGTGAATTATTGGCAATTAATTAATCTGAGTGATATTCATCTGGAGTGTGTCTATTAATCAACCACAACCAGAATTTGGGAGTTTTCGGAATACCCACTTAATCCTATTAGGTGCCGCCTGTTGGCATACCCAGAATATGACTAATGCACCATTGTGTTGTTATGTTCACATTTCCAAAACATGCAGAAGTTGTTTTTCTTGTTTTATATATATATGTATATGTATATGTGTGTATGTGTATGTATTTATGTATATATAGATAGATATAGATAATTAAATCTGCAATAAATAATTTTTATTTCTGTGTGTTTTGTTTAACAGGTGTGTGATCTGCATGCTGGACTTTGTGTACGGCGACCCCATCCGGTTCCTGCCCTGTATGCACATCTACCACATGGACTGTATAGACGACTGGCTCATGAGGTCCTTCACCTGCCCCTCCTGCATGGAGCCTGTGGATGCTGCCCTGCTCTCCACCTACGAGACCAACTGAATACACAGCCCCTCTCCCTGTTAGCTCCAATATGGCTGCTCCTCCCAAAACACAAACCCTTATACTCTTATCCTCTTGTCCAGCGACAAAAGAGGAGCGAAAATATCTTTGCTGTTGTCTTGCACTTTCAAAAGTTACTCACCTAATGTTGGCCTTCTCTGCCCCTTATCACGATTTAAGAAACAAGCATAAAATAAGCTGGTCTTGCATTTAAAGTCCACTATTCGGTAAGAAAGTGCTTCCAGACAACCATGCATGATTGTCCGTGTGTAGTTGTGAAGTTGTGTTTGCAGTGAAGGGAGAATGTACTGTATGTCAGGAGAACTGTGGAACTGCCCACCCGAGCAGGACTCAGGGGGGCTCTTCATGCATCTCATAAACCACTTACATTCCTAGTTATGTGGCAGTTAGAAGACTGTATGTTGATAGACGAGCTTTACAGTTGCTCTTGTCTCCCATCATGCCGTTGGTGTGGAGATTCAGATGTTTTTTGAAGATCACCACTTTAAGGTACATAGCTTTTTGTCCAGATATCGTTGTCAGCATTATTGTCCATGTCCACTGATATTTTAGCCGGAGGTTTTGCTCTTTGTCAATTATTATATATACATTTATATATATATAACATAAAGAAATCAAAAGCATAAATAATGCATTATACAGAACAATATTGAGATTTAAAAGTAAATGCATATAGTATTTAAAGTGCTATTCTCAAAACCTTCCTCTGGGTTCTTTGAGAGAAAATATCTGCATATGTATGTTTCTGTAGCCCAAAGTCAATTCATTTTGACATGATGTACTATTGTCTGATATTATAGGGAACTGTATTGAAAAGAACATTGGTTTATTGGTGGTTTTTCAGATTCTAAAATATGATGTCGTACTCTCAGATGGAGGACACTAGCCAGGTTTTCCTTGTAATTACATTGACTTTGCCTAGAAATACTCGAAAATGTAAATGCACAAATGTTGATCTTTATCATTTCTGTCAGTCACTAGACCCAAGAACTTAGTGTATTATGACAAAAATAAGAATTTTAGCAATATTCATTTTAGCTGCCCCGTCTATATTAATTATTATTGGCCTTAATGAGGTAATGCCATCTAAAATCCAACAATTCAATTATGCAATCAAATCCTGTAGCCAAATTGTTTGTCAACATACAGTCAGCAGTAAGCATTTTGATACACATCATTTCTAAGCAAACAATTCACTAAATAACTAAAAATGTTGTGTACACTGAACTTGTTTGTCACAGTGACCAAGATTACAAATATATTATGCACACTAGAAGATAATTAACCCAAAGTTGAAGTTGAAGAAGATGGTAAAAACCAGTGGTGTTGCATGAATGTTTTTAGTGAGTGTGTAAAGTCAGTACAAAGGGCTCATTCGTGCATGAGCAGGCTAACATTACAACGCTTGCACACTCTTTCAACTCATCCAGAAAATTGCACTTTACTCATAGGACAGTATCTAAAACAATATATTAATATATGTACCTTATAACCTTGCACTATCTATTTAATTCATTTGTTGTTTTTTTTCCTGAAATGCAAAAGTTGGACAGTTGATAGATCTTTATCACTTGTCATAGTAAAATAATTCTGATGTTATCATGAATATGTTGTGCTCGAAAAGACTGTCTATTGTAAGTCAGTGGGACAGAGGCTTGATGCAAATGAAAGACATGCTAATGGAAGTATTTAGCAGCTTTTTTGTTGTTGTTTTGTGGTGTTCGCTTGTCTTAACTTTGGGCCTAATACATATGACCTATCACAAGAGAGTAATCAGAAATGAGATACTAAGTAATACTAAAAGTAGTATCAAACTTAGATATTCATTTGGGCAGGTATCGATACTAAAAAGTCACATTCACAGGACAGAAATTGAACTTTTCGGAATAGCTTTAGAATGATTTTGAGTTGTGTCAGTACAAGTGTAAGAGCACAGACTAGTATACGTCCATGGACCGCTATAGAACCTACCTGGATTGCACAGATATATGACTGCATAGTAATATAAAAGAAAGTACTATGATTTAATGTTGAAAATCACATTCTAGAGAAATAGTGTTTTTAATTAACATTGTGATATCAGAATTGATATCGAGTCTATTCCTTAGTGTCAAAATTAAGTTTGAAACAGTAATTTAGACTCACCAAGTCATTTAAGTATTTTAGTTGTATCTTTATCTGATAATGGTGGAATATATAGGTGGGAACAGAATGCTGGCATAGATAAAATAAAATAATCTTTTTTTTTTTTTTTCCGTCAAAATTCATTGTAGTTGGGACAGCGCTCACAGATTTGTTATTGACGACATATTTTTATTTACAATTTTTTCAGTTTTAGCAGCAGCCGGAATTAGTGCTTTAAATTTTAAACATAAATTGGTGTTTGATCATGTCACAATATGAAATTAATAATATTTAAGACTGAATGTGTTACAGGCCTTGACACTTCTTCTGAGATCTTAAACTTGTTATACAGGCTCTGAAGTACTCATTGTCTATATTTAATTATATCTGATTGTTCACACCTGCACAGGTTTTGGCAAGGAAAATTTTGACAAAAGGACAAGTTAAGCTGACAAAGACAAAAACAGAAGAAAAAATGTTAAAGATTGAAAGAGCTATTAAAATGCATTGTACTTCGTCTTCCAAGTACAACTCTCAAAACTCAATCATAATCATATTTCCCTAGTGCATGTAAACACATCAAAACTCAGATCTAATTATTGCATTATCTGATTATTCCTAGTTCTGATTTTGACTGGCCATGTATTAGTGTTACATTTTTGCTTCATTGTTTTTCAGTGTGTCTTATATTCACTGTACAATCCTCTGTCCCTTTGAATCTCTATTGGGTGTACTATTTCCACTGTTGTGTTTAGTCATCTTTATGTTTTCGGACAACTTGTAGTCTCTGTTACTTTTCTTTTTAGTTCCTTTTCTGAACCATTACAAAATAAAGCAGAAATATACTGTAGTTTAATGGGTTTTTGTGTTGTACTTCTTCAAATGCCACATTACTAGACTGACTCATGCGTGCTAAAGGGCAGATTTGTGGTACCATCGTCACCACATTGGAGATTATGGAATTATTGGCTGCATTGCAAAATAGTTAAGCCATTTATTGATGCAATCCTAATTAGCTGGGAGAATCTGAGAAACGTGACTGTGTATCTAGTACATAATATTGAAAATCATACTAATCAATACTAAAACTAATGTAGTGAAGAAACTAGATACTCATTTGAGCAGGTATCAACAGTAAAACATTCACAGGACAGAAATGAACCTTTCCTGAATAGCTTTACAATGATTTTGAGCACAGACTTGTATACACCCATGGACAACTATGGAACCTTCCTGGATAACTGAGAAATTACACAGATATAAGACCACGTCATAATATAAGAGAAAATGCTATATTTAATGTTGGAAATAACATTCTATTGTCTAAAGAAAGAGTGTTTTTTTTAATTATTATTATTATCAGCAGCATTTAGTATCGACTATATTCCTTTATATTGAAATAGAGTTTGAAATTTTAGTATGGTGAGAACAGTGATATCTAGTGTACTCTTAATATATCTAGTGTAATGTTCAATATACCTGTTAATTGTTAAGGCAACAATCCTAATTTCTCCTCATTCCTAAACAAATGTATAATAGAGAATCACACCATGACTGTTATTGACTACGGTCTTGTGTGTTTTGCCCTTCCAGATTTAATGTTGAAATGGTTAATCAGCTTTTCAGGTTTACAAGATCAATAATAATCTTAAATTGTAAAGGTCAGTTGTTGAAATTTGGCCATAATGCGATTTGGTGTGAAATTCTTAATCAGGTCAAACATTTCAGGAATCTGTGGATTAGTTTGTCTCAATTTTACTACTTTTATCTTAACATGTAACTTTAATGTAGACATAAAAGTTTACGTTAAATTAAAATACGATGAGAGAACCTTTATTTGTCCCACAATGAGGAAATTCCAGTGTTGCAACGCACAGTTTGTATTTCAACAAGTCTATTTAAAAAATGTTTTATTTATTTATTTATGCTCTTATAACAAGTAAAAAGAAACACATTATTCTTTGATTTTACTCAGTTTATTGTTCCTACCTTGAGACATTTACAGAGCATGCAAATAACAATATAAAATCATGTATCCTGACATGACCATACATTTATCATCTTTATTTCAAGACCACTGGCTCGATTGAATACATTAGACATGGGGCATTTCAGGGTTTGTACATCCCGTGGAAGGTGACAGGGAAGGTACACTCCACCTCAGCCCTGGCGATCTCAGACAGGTCCTTGGCGTTGAGGATCAGGAGGTACCCAGGCCTCTGAGCGCCTGGGTTCACCACAATGGTCAGCAGTACTCCTGCAGACAGAAATAAAAAGATATAGGACTTAAAATTTACTAATAATTCATAATAAGGCTAGATGAAACTCATGTTCACAAGTTTAATCTGTCTTTATATTAGAAATGCACTGATATAATACGCTGATATTGAACATTTTGATGGATCAGATATCGATTCGAAGATATAGGTTCGGTCGATATCCCATTTTGATCTATAAACATGGTGTAATAAAACAATTTACTAGTCAGTGTTGGCCCAAAATACCTCATAATATTGAACATGTATTTTTTCAAAGGTGTTCTGTAGTTGCTTTACATGATAAATAATAGTTACAAAACACACATTTGGATGTTATTATATTTTCAGTGTATCTCTTGTATCTATTGACATTGGGGATCAGTAGATACTTAAAGCCAAAGTATCAACATTAGTATAGGAACTGAAAAAGATGGACTGGTGTATCCCTACTTTATATAAATACATTGTTTCATAATTATTTCTGAATAATAACTGTTGTAGATGAACTCTCCTGCAGGTGTAGTCTTGTGAGTGCAGTTTGGGTCAGATCCATAGAGATACTGAACAGTTTTGAGAGCTTTTGCCACGCCCCCTTTTAGTTGACTAATCGATCAGCAGGACATGTTTTTAGTTGACCAAGAATTGATTTAATTACTTACAGCCCTACAATTCACACTTCATTTGCTTTTCATTTAGATATGGAAAGATACACCCTAATTTGCTCTTATTATGCTGCTATATCATATTCCAGTGTTTTGCCTTCATTTTAATCAACAAATCCATCATTACTATTGCTTATGTCCATTCAGATTTGTTATTAATTTTGTGTTTGGCCATCCAGTGACTATATAACCAACCAAGTATCTGTATTTCAAATCCACAAGAGAAATGCCCAAGAGAAATCTGTGCAAACTGCTAAATGGAATTCTTACAGACATGAACAATAGAGCAGAAGCCAAATTTGTTATGCTGTCCAGTGCCAGTGGTTTAAAAGCTTCTGTCAAGTCATATGCTTAGTAGGCACACTTACTGTCTTGTTTCTTAAATGCAAGAGGCTAGTCTTGCATTTTATTGGTTTGTGCAGAATATTTTTTCTTGGAAATGTAATTTTTTAATTCTTGATTTACCGTCATCCTCATCCACTCCTTCAGGGGTCTGAACAAATAGGGGCTCTGAGGGGTAGGAGTCGGGCTCTTGCCAAACCCAGGTCTCCTTGGTCTTCACATTCAGCTTGACAATCTACAACACATTTAGAAATTAAGTTACTTAATATAGTAATATAGTTTCTGCACATATTTAAGATTTATTTTATACCATTTATGTCTGAGCTGTTTATTGCTTCCATAAAAGTGATTCACTTACTCTGTCTGGTACAAAGTGGTTGAGACCCAGACCATAAGCGTATGTGTAGTTCTTTCCTGCAAACCTCCCATAGTTGATCTGAGGGAACTCAAATGCTGAAAAGAAAACACACATTTTGATAACACAGTAATATAATAAAATAATAGGGCTGCTAATACCCTTCTGCCACAAACTGACTCACCCTGACGTGGGCCAGAGAACAGGACCTCAGGCTCCAACCAGATCATTCCATCAGCGTGCATGACGGCCGTGGCTGTGGTGTAAGGGAGGCTCACCAAGTTCTTTCCTTGTTCTTCCTAAATTAACAACAAAGCAACAGTAACTCAATAGTCAATAGTCAATATTATACCTCTTGTAACCTTAAGAGATATAAGCTAAGGGCGCATTCTAGGGATAGTTTTATTACAATGTGTGTCTCGGGTGATGCCTTCAAAGACACTAGAAATGGTGGAACTGAATGTCCCGATAAGACAAGTAATGTTTTTTGTGATTTTATTTATCTATTAACAAATTGGGTGTTCCCTATCCCATAATTACAAAGCAGTAATAACAATGTAATAAGTTTGTGTTTGATACATTTTTTAATTGGCTTGTTTTTTTTTTTGTTTTATTGTTTCTAAATTGTGAATGGTGTATGGTGACTTGGATGGTGGAATGTTTGTTAGTTTTCTGTAACATAACATAACCATAATAGCAACTAAATTAGGATGCTTGTTAGAGAGACATTCCATGTCTTTGCTCTATCTAGGGCCTCACTGCCAGCTCACTCCTTATTATCTTGGCCTACATCTTCAGAGGTATAATACTCCCTACAACAGAAGCATAGACTAGACTATACTAGACTAGACTAGACTATGACCAGACTTGACTAAACTAGACTACAATGAACAAAACTATCACAGTGTCTTGAGGATTATATCTCCAGGTCAATTACCGATTGTCAATAAATTTCTCATAGAATTCCAATATTATGCCTCTTCTTTCAACTCTCGAGCTACTACAATTTATTCTACAACAATGCTGATGCTACTATTGGTGTTGCTAGAATATCTGTGACTGGTCAGTTACCTTGTGCACATCCAGTGGAATCACATATCGACGCACTTCAGGCTGAGGTGCCATCATGGCCGCCTTCTTCACCTCGTCCCAATTGGCTCTCAGATTGGCCAGCCATAGGTAGTTGTAAACAAACTCAAAGCTGCAAAGAAACTGAGTCAATACTAAGGCAAAAACACTTGTACTTAATGGGTCTGTATTACACTATTTTTTGATCTGTGTTATAATGTTATTTCCTCATCACAAACATACCAGGAATTGTGTTTTGTTTCATTCAAACATGTTTAACACACAAATCCTGCATATTTAGGCTGAGTTCTTCTCTCAAACTGAAAACACTCTGCCTTGTGATATCATGTGGTAATACAGAAAATGCTCAACTGTGTTTTTAAACTACATAGATTTTCACTAAAAACATATGGATAATTTCAGTGGTGGTATAGCTAATCTTTACTGAATTAAAAGGTATAGAGTAGTTGTTAACTTGAAAACGACGTGGGACAGATCATTTTAAACTTGAGATGTCGATAGAATAATAAGAATAAAGTTACTCAATCATGTGTGAATAAAACAAAACACAACTCCAAATATGTTTTTGAGGAGGTAACAATATTCCAACATGGCTTAAATCTCACAAAGGTCAATTTTGCGTAATATAGGAGCTTTAAAATATGAACTACATTATTCTTACCCTTTCCAGGCACAAAGATCAACCACGATAAAGCCCTGATCCTCATAGGTGTTGATGTGGTGGAACATGCCAATGGGGGCTCCTTTGAACTTCAGATCTATGTACTCCGCTGGCTCTTTTCTGGCGATGTGGAACAGTGTCTACAATACATTATGTCATTAAAACTTTAGATAGAATAATTCATGAGCAGCCATTTTAAGCTCGTTTTCCGCCTTACTCCTTGGCTTTCATTGGACTCAAAGCAGTCCATGTAGTTGGACCCTCGGATGCTCCACGCGCTCAGGAACTTCAGCAGGTTGATTTTGACTGGAGTCTCCACAAACACAAAGTAGTTGTCTGACATGCCAAAGCTGAAGTGAATGATATTATAGATTCAGAAAATGAAACAATATTTAATAATTAATAATATACTGGAATACACATACCTGTGGACATAGGAAGGCTTGAATCGCTCATGACTGGGGAATTGCACCCACACCTTGGATTTCTCAATTGGATCAGACTTATCTAAATATGAAATGAAACAAATTGCCATTAACATGTTTTTATTCAATTTAAAGAAAGACCTACCTAATCTAATGGCAAAAAACACCAGTCTATTCATAGCTTTCAGACAAACAATTGCTTCCTGATTTGAAGGACTTTGAGGACCCATAGAGGACTGCTCCCCATTCAGAAAATACAATACTTAGATTTGAATTGCTTAATTGCTATGAAGCTCATGAATAGTTACGTAATTACTGTCTAATAGTGCATTGATAGTTAATACCTTTCTGTGTTGGTGGGATCCTGACAATGTTGTAGGCCAGCGTGGCTCCTTTCCCCATGCAGTTTCCAATGTTCCAGACAGTACCATCTCTCTCGATGTGAGGATGGGCAGTCACTCCATTGATGTTGACGTAGTTGCACATATCAACCTGAAGAGAGAGAGAAAAAAAACAGATTATCAAAGGTCAAAGCTAAATTTCATAAGATATTGCTGCATATTGTTGAGGAGCTGTACCTTCTTGAGTGTCTCCAGATTCTCCGTGTTGACCTTGGTGATGTAGTTGGTTTCTGTGACCGCATAGTAGTCCTCTCCTATGGGGTAAACGTTCACCAGGCAGTTGTCTGTCACCTCCACACCCTTGAAGTACGAGAAAAACCTGCAAAAAAAATGAAACATTGTATACTAAAATATTCCCAACTACAATATTTGTTTTACTTTTATTGGTTGTTCAGATGTTCAGATCTTAACATTCTTATGTATTAATAAATGTTTTAGTTTCACATAAAAATCTAGATGGAAAATCTCCAAATTATGAAACTGTTATCTTTGCAATTTTGTGCATGGTCTAATAATAGGACATCAGAACTCACCATATTAAGAGTATAACATTTAGTTAACCACCATCTCATTTAAACAATGTAAGCTTATCAAATATGTAATTTAAAACCAAGCAAATGGCTATACAACATTTGCTTACAACATTTTAGAATTCAATGTCATAAACTGAAATAAAGGGCAAATGGCTATAAAACTCTATTGGCTGATTTGGTGGAAAAACAAAAAAAATTTCACAGTTTAACAACAAATTTACCTCAGAATTCTGACTTACTCTATAGCTAAGTTTAACATGTCAGTCAATTTAGAATATTATGGAGTGACATAGACCCAGCCTATTCTAGTTTCTAAGCAAAAAACGGTTATTCATTAATCAACAGCTACGTCTTATACAGAAATAGGTGCTACATCTACTTTTTGAATCATTTTTGCTTCTACAACTTACCTGGAGAAAATATTTTTGCAGGGATCTGGGTAAGCAAAGGTCCCGAACTCAGTAATCACCACACGCTTTTCAGTAATGGCTCTCACGTAGGCATCTGTTTTCACATACCTGCCAAAAGAACAATAAGTAATTATTCATACAAGTATTTAGTTTGACGAGTATTGTATAAAAGACGTCAATAGCACTACTTCTTCTTACTTTCTGTAATAAGTGACCTGGCCATTCTTGAAGTCAAATTTGTGCATGAGAGCCTGTCCATCGAAAAGATGGTAGAAGGGCTCATCTCCAACTTCAAACAACCCAGGCCCCAGACGCAGGAGACTTCCCTTCAGAAATGAGGGAATCCTACCTGTAAACAATGGCAGTATTACATGGTGAATATTTCAACCTAAAATAATAGATACATTTCTTTTTGCAGAAAATAATACTGAGAAAAGAATTATGGTTTTAAAACTCACCAGTGACAGTAGCTGGAAGTGGTTCAGACAACTCCTCACATGTTTCGAAGATCTTCCTGTAGCCTCCAGCTGGATGCTCAAATCTGTCAATAAAAAAATTTATAATTAAGAAAAAATTATAAAAGTATGATTTTTGACAAACAAGAATTCAAATGTAATTTCTGTAAGTTATTGTGAAAACAGTCAAGACAGCTTTTAACAAAAATATGTTCTTATGTTTCATCCATCCATTTTCTCTGCCCCAGATAAGCAAACGAAAATGGATGGATGGATGTTCTTCATGTAAGACCTGAATGATACAATATCTACAATATATACAATAAGAGAAAAAAATATATATATAAAAAATAAGTCTTTTTTTCTTCTTCTTAAAAAATGTATTTAGAACTTATTTAAATCTTGTCCTTCATAAAATTCATTGTAAATAAAACATATTTCCTTCTTACCTGCTAACCATAGTTGTTCCTTGTTGCTGAACCTCTCAAAGCTACTTGCTGGTCACTGGTGAACTGGACTCCTCTGACCAAGCTGGATTTAGCCTTTTTATCCGTGAAGGCCCCCCCTTAAATGTTGACTGCAATCTTTGGTGTAAAACCTTTGCCTTGGCCAATCATGTCTCAGTGTGAACAAGAATGTCATTGTGCCCATATCCTCTGTTGGATGGCTCAATAGCCACACTGCTGAAACCGGATTTATTTATTATGGAGTATATTTATTACAAGGGGTTATGTTTTACAAGTGTTGCAACTGGCCATGTGATTACTCCTGTGCTGTACCAACTGTTTTTAGTTAATGTTTTTGTTAATGCTGTGTCATGCCTCTTAGCTTTTGCTGCACAAGTATGTGTTGCATGTGTAAGGTCAAATGTATTAAGCAAGACGAATGCTAAGACTGAAGATATAACTAGGCTACTATTGTGGGTAAAAATGTTAGTTATTGTTGTAATCTTGTTGAGAATAATATTAATGAAAAATATATAATTTAAACATTAGCTTTAAAACACACGTTTTTTTTTTAAAGGTGTACCATGTAAATTTTCTGGTGGAGAGTTCGCCACCTATGTTGGGGAGATGCTTTTGCTTTGTGTCAAATGTTACACATCATGGCATTATCTTGCATTTTTTCAATTAACGGTGTCTTTTTATTGCACAAAAATACCTTGAAAAACACACATTGCTACTAGGAATGGGGTCACCTCTCCACAGATTTGACCTGTAACTTGGGTAGTGACGGTATTACCTGCTCGTCTCCACTGAGGTACAGTATATACATTTAATAAAAATACATTGGATAACTCAGGCAATAGACAGAAATAGTTTGTATTAATAAAGAAACATTAAATGAACAAGAACATAACTAAGTAGAAAAACAAAACAAAAAATGGAGAATGAAGATAGTTCAAGCAATAACATCTTAATAGAGACAAACAGACGGCGTACCCCCCCTCCAGAAAAGTTACATAGTGGAAATTTAAATTGTTATTACCACTCACACACACAATGTCAATTAAAAACAAGAGAATTCTGGCATCCTTTTGACAATGTGTAGGCTTGAGATGAAATTAGCCTTACAACAATCTTCTGTAGCTGAAACAAAAACATGGACAAAGTTGAACAATTGAAGTGTGTCCGGCTTTAATTTGCCTGTCTCTGTGCAGCTTTAATCCAGGTGTGGGGATTATACAGAGCGTGGCCACAGAACAATAGCTCTTTGTTTCTCCTGAGAACAAACTCTATTAGTGTCAGCACTTTGTGAAACCTCTTTTAATTCATAACATCATATCATGTCTTTACACATAAGAATGTAACATGAGAGTCATACGAATATATGCATGTCCTGGAGGCACGTTTAGTAACTACGCTATTACTTTAAAGCCTGCTAGGATTATTATTAAAGTGTTACACAAAACGTCATCACAAACAGGCTTAAGTCTAAATGCAGTTTTGAATGGGACTATATAAATATAGCTTACTCTTAGCCATGTAGCCTAGATATGAGAAAGGTGCACTATTCTCTTCATGAAGATGTTATTGCTTTGGCTGGAATGTCCCCCACTATGGCATTCAACTTTTCTATCCACATGGTGGAAGCAGCATCACCAAAATACAGGATGTGTAGATTGTGTAGAGAGTTGACCCTGTTCACAGTAACAGTGTTTTTCAAGGTTTTTTTTTTTTTAGCAATATGACACCTGCAATTAAATATATGCAAAGCCACAGACAAGCTGGTAGTGGCCCAAGAAAAGTTACAGTGCTAGAGTGACCAGACGTCCCTATTTACATGGGACAGTTCTACTTTTGAGCCCTCATGTCCCCTGTCCCAGCAGATTTAAACAAAACCAGTGATTTGTCCCAGTTTTATTCAAGAAATGCCCCAGTTGTCCCCATTTTTGACTAATTTGATCCCCACCAACAGTAGTAAAGAGAGGAATATATTGTCATTTGTTTAGCTAAAATATATGGCCATAAGACAAAGGAAAAAAATGCAACAACAGTCCCTCTGATTATGACTGTGACAACTGAGTCGAGAATGGACTATGTTACATGCTCTTTTCACGATTTTATTTTTTTTACCAAGTATCCCAACCCAGGTGTGTCCCACTTTTTAATTCTGAAAATCTGGTCACAGTGCAACTTTAAAGATAAATGACAATGTGTCGACTTCAATGCCAATTACAGACTACAGTAAAGTAGCCTAATTAAATATGTAGTGAAGTAAATCCCTTGGGTTTACCTGACTTTGTAGGTTAGCTGGAAAAACATAGGGCGACATCTGTTGGAAAATGAACAACATGACTGGCAACCATCAGCAGATCTTCTCGCAGACACGTTTTGCTATAGTTATATTTTATCACATAATTTGATCATCTGTCTGCGTTTCTGTCTCGGGGATCTAACACTTGGGTAGAAAGCGATTTAAAGTATATAACAATTTGGCTTTTTGTTGATAAAAGTTGAGTTTTGAATTTACGCATTGTTTGTTTGGCGTTCATCCCGCGCATGCGCACTTGGAGAAGGCTACCCCAAGATGGCGGAAGAGCGGTCGGGCTGCAGCCTATAGTTTACTGTAAAAAATAGAGGTTTTGTGCTTCAATATTGAGTGTTTCTACGTATACTACTTGTTTTACTAGTCTTTTCGGTTATTTCTGTTGTTACGTACAAGTCTAGTTTTGCTGATTGATCGGCAAAATGAATTTCAACACGAAGGTAGTGCAGGTGACCAATGTATCGCCGAGTACCACGTCGGAACAGATGCGCACACTATTTGGTTTTCTCGGAACCATCGAAGAATTAAAGTTATTTCCACCAGAGTAAGTAAACAGTATACACTATATCTTTTCTTGAATAAATACAAATCTTTGGCTCGATCTTGTTTGAAGATAATGTGGGGTTACGGCTTTCATAATGGCGCGGGCCTGGTGTGCTAATGCTAATCTTAACGCTAGCCCCCACCGCTTACAATGGCGCTAGCTTCAGTTGCACTCAGATCTTAGAATCTTAGAAGAATGTGTTTCCTTAAGGTTCACGCTCTTATTTCATTGACAGTGAAGTTTTACAGGTATTGTATAGGGTGATCAGATGTCCATATTTACCCGGGACAGTCCCAGTTTTGAGCCCTGCGTCCCCAGTCCCAACACATTTACCCAAAACCATTGATTAGTCCCAGTGTTGTACAAAAAATGTCCCAGGTGTTCCTATTTTTGAGCAATTTGAAACCAGTCAACAGAAAAAAGAGGCATGCATTATAATTTTTAAGGTAAAATACAGAAAAGCATGCTTAAAAATGACCAAAACACAAAGAAAATGTGACTATATTGTCTCACATGTTATGTCATGAATGGTCTCTACATAACAATCTTCCTTAATTACGCACTCATTTCACAATTGTATTATTATCAACCACCAAAAAATCGGGGATATTCCAGATTTTTATTTTGAAATTCTGGTCAACCTAATATTGTAGCTTTTGTGTTGCTTAGACAATGTGTACTTAATGTTGTATTGTAGTAGGTAGCATTGTAAAACAAAGGCTGACTGTAATGGTAATGGGGTAACAGTCCCATTCAAACTCATTTGCCCAGGAAAGAAATTGGTGATTGTAATAACTAAAAGGGAGACCAGACATCTTGGCACTATAAACGGATGTCTCAGTGACTGTTATTTCATCACCTACCCCTGGTTCCTATTAGGCCACAAGATTTGCAATTAGATTAGCTTTTTTTTTTTTTTTTTAAATAAAATGATTCAAAGGGCACAGAGCGCCTAGAAGAATTGACAAAAAACTGGAATATGAACTGGTTGATACAAGAATCATATTTCAGAATCTACTTGTACAGATCAAAGCTACAGGGTTAGCAGTTTTAATGCAGAATAAGGCAAGATATTTAGTTTGTGGAGGAAATTATGATGGTAAATTGCATTCATTCAAATTGTAATTTTGATTGTGATTAATCTTGCAGCTCCAGTTCCTACCAATATCACATTGTATACAGGACAGATCACAGAACAGTTTTCATTGTATCTTTGTCTTAACATCGTTGTCCATGCTCCACAGTGACTCTCCGATGCCGGTCACGTCCAGGGTGTGCTTTGTGAAGTTCCAGGAGCAGGAGTCAGTTGGAGTGTCTCAGCATCTCACCAACACAGTCTTTCTGGACAGAGCTCTGATTGTGGTCCCTTTCGCTGAAGGTTTGTATACACCATCCCCAAAGCTGTGTGTGTCCTTTGATTGAATGACATCATTATTCATCACCATCACTTTACTAAAACCAGAGCTCTTATTTCTTGTTATAAGGCCCGGATTAATGTGAACTATATTTATTTTGCTGCCTCCAAACCACAGAGTACCTAAACCAGGTTTGGCTCTTTAAAACACCACAAATCAGTATTGACAGCTAAATTGAGCAATTGTTTTGATTAAAAAATAAATGCATTTTATTTTATTCACCCATGTTGGACTTTCCTCTGTTAAACTTCTCTTTGTTATTTGTGTGTTGTGTGTATGTGTGTGTGATTTTTGTAGTGAAGAAGGCAAAAGGTGCCCTCGTTGATGGCTCACAGTGCTCCTCTGCTGCCAACAGGGGACTCTAGGCATTTGCAAAGGCCAGCACCATTCAAGCCCCACCCTGTCTTTTTGTCTCTCTCCCTCTTCCCTCTCTTCTGTCTTAATTTGTCTTTTCCAGGTTATTTACCTCATTAAGGCTGGAATGGTTAATACTGCACCTTTTTAAATACATTCAAAGCCATTCATTACCAGCCCTTTATTACAAAGGGAAGTATAGACATTTCTATGCAAGACGGTCCCATCAGCACTTAGGTGACAGACTAAACATTAGGTAGAAAATAAGCGAAAGAAATAAAGCAGAATCTGTAAGTGGTACTTTTTAATAAAAAAACCAAACAAACAAACATGTATTTTGATTTAAAAAAAAAAATATATATATATAGTTATAAAAAAAGATTCACACACTAATAATTTTGGTTAATTTCACCGTTCTCTGTAAGTAATCACTAAAGCATTAAAATTTATCATTACAACAACTAAAAAACTGAAAACTGCCACTGCCCAGTGCATTGAAACAATCAGTACTGTTTGATTAGATCTGAAATGAGCAGCCCTCGTGTTGGTACAATCCCAGTTAACGCTGGTCTCCTTTTGTTGTTGTGTTTTGCAGCCAGTCCTGTAAACCAGGCCCTGCTGAAAAGGCCACCACTGCAGATTTCTCCTGTTCTTTATTTACATGTTGTCACTGTTTTGTGCCTGTAACTACAGTGGTTTCAGGTGGAAGAATAATGATAAATGTTAATTCTGGTGATAATCTCCAATACATTCCACTGATGAAGCACAAATTCAAATTTATAATTTTAATCATAGATTTTGATTTGCTAAATTGAAGCAGTGACAGGTAAGAAACCAAAACAATGACTTAATGCAGGCACTCTAGCATTCCCCATTAAGTGTCAATGTCATGCAGCACATATTTTGTTTTGGTATCATTTTTGACAACTCCCTAAATTTCTCTTTTGTGTGTATCTCGATTTTTCTCTGTGTGCTTTTTAGTAGCCAAGCCGCCCACGTGAGTCGCTTGTTTGAGTCTAAAATTGAGGGCACACCCAACTGGAGAAGCAGCTGTGCTTGCTAACGTTTGGTTCATGACTTAAAAAACACGTTCAGGTGATTTTTGGCAGTGTTCATTGGAGTAGTGTGGTACTTTGCAGCAATAGTTATGTCACTGCAGTCATTATTTTGGGACCTCAGATCTGTAAGGTAACCATTTATTTGAAGAAATGCAGTGTGAGGACTTTGTATGCCTCTGCTCTGTGTGTGTGCAGTCATGTTCCCGTCTAATGCTGCTTTGATCCTCCAGGTTCCATCCCAGATGAGAGCAAAGCTTTGGCACTGCTGGCACCAGCTAATGCTGTTGCAGGAATCCTGCCCGGAGGAGGACTTCTGCCCACTCCCAACCCCCTTCCCAACCCGGTATGATTCATAATAAAGATGGTTTTATTTTAATCATAAGATGTAATTTGATTTGATTTGTGAGTGTATGTATAAACATGTAAAAATTTTCCTGTTTTTCCCCATGATCTTTCAGTTGGGTGCGAATCCGTTTGGTGCCCCAAACATGGATGCTCTGGCTGCTTTTGGATTTCCTGGAGCCAACATGAACCCACAGGCGGCGGACCAGTTACTGAAATTCATGACAGATCCAAAGTAAGTCAATGAATGTTACCTACAAGTGGCATCACCTCCTCTTTTGGTACAGTAAGTCAACAAAGTTTTCTTTATCCAGGCTAAATCCTCTGGCGGTCGGTTTGAACCTGAGCGCAAGCTTAAAGGCTGATGCATCAAACAAAGAAATTGAAGTTGCCATGAAGAGAGTCCGAGAGGCACAGTCCCTCATCTCTGCAGCCATTGAGCCAGGAAGTGAGTAACGCTCAGTTTAGCCACCAGTGTAGTGACTATTTATAGTGAGAGTTCAAGGGTCTCATAAATATGAATGATAAATGTGAATGATTCTCAGGCAAGGACAGCAAAAGGCGTCACTCTCGCTCACGGTCCAGGTCCAGAAGGAGGAGGACCAGATCTCGCTCACGACACAGGTACTTCTTGTTAATGTTGGCCAGCTGACCAGACAGATTTAACGACTCATATTAATCTTGTACATGAATAACAACAGGCGCACGAGGAGCAGATCAAGGCGGCGGTCAGGCTCTCGAAGCAGGAGGCGGTCCAAGAGTCCTCGCCGGAGACGCAGCCGCTCCAGAGACCGCAAACGCTCCCGCAGCAGGTCACTGTGGGCTCTGTGATTAAGGTTAATATAATTGAAAGAGGCCAGATGAGTAATTGTTGAATGTTTTTACAGAGAGAGAAAAAAGGATGAAGGAAGGAAAAGATCCAGGACCCCTCCCAAAAGCTACAGTACAGCAAGAAGATCACGCAGTGCCAGTCGGTGAGTGCCCTTATAACTTGGCCATCAATACATTCATCTGAAAAAGACTAAATATGTATGTAACTGTAAATCTTTGCTCAGGAGGCGGCGAAGAAGTCGTAGTGGCAGCCGATCTCCAAGAAAATCTCCTAAGAGGTCTCCATCAAGGTCTCCCTCTCCTCGAAGGTCACTACAGTGACTCGCAGCTCATGTTTGTTTGCTAAACCTAAATATTCATAGTCAGTATGTTTTTGTTTAGACATAAGAAAGAAAAGAAGCGTGATAAAGAGAGGGACAGAGAGCGCAGGAGTGACAAAGACCGTAGCCGTGATGACCGTGAACACACTAGCAGCAAGAAGAAGAGGAGCAAAGACAAGGACCGTGACCAGGAGAGGAAGCTTGATGGGGAGAAAGACGTCAAGGTTGGTTAATGGCACTATTATTTTTCATTTTGGATCTTTACTACATGTCCTGTGACCTACAGGAGACAGTGCTTGTTGATGCCTAATGTACCACAGGTAAGAAGATGAAGCCAAACTAAAGAATCTGTTCAGCTGAGTTGGTAGTCATTGTGATAGGTTGTAGTGTTTCAGTTTCATGTTTGTGTGTGATCCTGCCCCCTTTAAAACTACCTTACCTTGTCTTTGTAGCTAATGCTCTTCCTACAGCCATAAGATAGAGTTATGAGTTGATGAGCTAGAGCTCCATTCATGACATTTATAGGCTATTGAAAACAAGTACAGAATTTGCATTTTTCATTTTAAATTGTTGAAATAATGGGCCCAGATAATAAAGGATAGGCCTATTATTTCTATTACAACTATAAACAAATAAAATATACACAAAGTAAACCTCACATCCTTAGATTTTGCTTATGCCAATCTTAGATGCAAGTGAAAGTCCTTTCCCCCCTCAGTTCTAAACTCCAGGCTCTTCAGAATGTTGTGGGACTTGGCTAGTGAAGTTGGCATCTCTAAATTCTTGCCCCAAAGTTAAAATGTCAAAGGGTCTCACCATCTCATTTGCAGGTCACCAGAGACTATGATGAAGAAGAGCAAGGCTATGACAGTGAGAAGGAGCGCATGGAGAGGAAGGGCTCTGAGGACTCCATGTCTCCTCGCTCTGAAGACAATGGCACGCGGATCGTGAAGGCGGTCAAAGTCAACGGTTCTGATGACCACCACGAAGAGGACATGGATGTGAGCGACTAGTGCTGTCCTTTCTATATCGCCAATGTTTAGTCAGTCTGAAAATGTGATTGGTTTCAACTCTTGTTTCTCATACTCAACTGTCATCTCTTCTACAAAATATAATGCAGATTTTTAAGTTATTCTTGCCTAGGGATTACCCAATGGTTTGTCAAGTCGCATTTTAATAGCCTTTACTCTGCTTGCGTCTGCTTCGTCCTCTTCATATGTGATATCTTTACATTTCAACTTTGTCATGTGTTAACCTATCCTCTATTCACATTGGACAGTTGTATTATTGAGTCATGTTATTTGGAAGTGTTTTATCAATGATTACGTTTTTTAATTAAAGTCTCTCTGGACAAATGATTGTGGATTATTTGACATATAATGGAAATTGTATGTAGTATATATTTCTCCAGTCTATTTAGTCACATGAAGAAAGCCACTCCCTCTATAATACAGACTTGGGCATTGTACAGCTCCCTTTGGTTGACTCTGACCGGCCGTTTAAGCTCATTTAGAACTACAAAATAAACATTTTAGCATTTTACCTCATGCGTGGACTAAAGCTGCATTGCTTACATTAGTATATATATATATATTTGTAAGGCAACCTCACTTTTTTATTGCTTAGTCATAACATTTACTCTTACCAGCTCATCAGAACAATGATATTTACTGCTTTTTATTAAGAAAAAGAAATTTAATATATAAAGAAATACAATTAACATTATGCAGAACTGAGTTATGCATTTTGGCCCGGTGTCAGCTCTCTGCAGTATTTTCAGTTTCTCATGTGGCCCCATGGAAAAGATAATTGCCCACCCCTGATATTATACAAAATTGACAAGCTAAAATTACAATTAAGATAAAACTATCACTGCTATTCAGAACAGTAATTACTACTTTATATTGTATTTCTGAGCTACTGTGTTGAAGTAATTTCTCTTGTGCATTAGTTTCTCATAAGTCTGAGAATTTAATGAAAAATATTCCTGAACAAAGGAATCTTGTACATGTACTTGTTATCAAATGGTTCTCAGTTCTTGGTCTAATTGAAAAATTCCTGCCCCAGAGAAAAGACTAAAAAAGGTCCCCAAGTGTAGTATCCCTTGTTACTGCTCCTGCTGAATGTCTGTTAAATGGGTCCATGAACAATAACAATACTCGGGGCAGTAGATGGGGGTTTTCGGGGCCACAATTGGAACCGCTTCTTATAAATAAAAAAAAACATTAGAGAGGGGCTCCATGAGAGTCTTCTTGCCCCCACTCCCCGAGCCCTCACATTTCTGTCGATGGGCCTGCCAGTACTACAACTGGACCTTATTGGTATATGTGATGCTATTATCTGAACAACTAGAGTGCTCAAAATCTCAAAGGTAATTCTGAGCACAGCCTGTACCAATTATTTGTGCTGGCACTGGTTTGGTTGCCTGGCAAGTCCATAATCGTGATCTATTTTGTGTGTGTTCTGGATCCCAGGCAACTGGATTGGGACCCACCTTTCAAAACACCCACATAACTTAGGACAGACAGTGGTGGTAGGGACATTTTGCTTGCAGATGTGAGATACTAGCGTTTGTTGAAGATGAGATAATCAGACATTTTTGTGGAATATGAGACAAACAACAAGAAATTAAACCATGTGAGTTGAAACATGATGCTGGTGCTTTATTTAAAGGGATGTGAAGTAGGTATGGTTGCAGAAAGCCAGAGACAACTACGTGGATTGCAATATTTTTCCCCCTGTTTTTTTTTAAATATCCAGCAATTTCAACTTCACAGCTTGTACTCTCCCTGGATTACAAAAGTAACAAAATGAAAACACAGAAACTACCATAGAGGAGAGCTTTATATGAGCACTAGAAATGTGTTTCAAAGTATTAGTGTTAGAGTTATTTTCAGATAATATAAACAAAGAATATAATATAGCTTAAAGATGCATGTGTGATCCTTTAGGCCTCCACAGCCGTAGCATGCCTTATTTCAGTGCAGTTATAAACTAAATATAGTTTACCTGATTCCCAATGACGTTCTCTCAATTACAAACACACAACAGAGCTGTATACAGTACTGTCCACTCACATCATATTTGTACAACACAGAGGTAAGATGAGCTAACCTGAAGATACAGGAGGTTCACCCCACACTGGGAAAGGCGTGGATTTTCAACTTTTAGCAACGTGTGTATGCTAATCCTTGTCCCAGCGGAGTAAAAACATTCTGAAGTACTGGAAATGTATTGCTACACAGTGTTACTCCATTGAGTATACCATAGAATTTTATAATACATCATTTATAAACTAAAGTGGAGCAATGGGGAGGGGTTTGGGGCTGTAAGGAGCATATGATGATTGTGAGCCTTTTGCTTTTAAAAGAAAATACAGTTCCTAAAGCCATATTACTGTAGCATACATCATCTTACGTCATTAGATACAATGTTAAATGCATTTAGATACAGGCTGATCTCTGGATTTAGAACTGCAGCCAGAAAAAGACCTACTGACACACTGTTGATACTTTGCAGTTGATGTAAACAACATTCCCTGGGGTTGTGATGCTAACTGTACGCTCTGCTGTGTCTGAAGACTTTAATCTGAGTTTTAGCTTTCTGACTACAATAGCTGAGATGATTTGTACTGTTAAACAAGTCTCTCACACATAAAATTAGTCACAAACTAGATAGCCCAATCAACCATGAATGCTCATATTGATCACAGGCTCCTGAAAATTTGTTGTTTAAATCTATTTTTCCTTGAGATTTCATCTTAAAAATGTTTTGACTGTGTTTGCCAATGTCTGCATTCTGTGACCAAGGTAACAGCTAAACATTCTGCTACAGACATATGTAGAACACCTCCAGCCACTGCAAAGTATCAATAGGAAATGTTTAAATTACCAGGATTTGACAATGGTATATCAAGAACATTTTAGGCACAGAATTCTGCCCCAGGTGCCTGTTTAAATCCCTACAATTTTACCAATACAAGACATTACAATTTTAAGATTTCACAAGTTTTAACAGCAAAATTCAATAGTTTGTAGGCTCTACTATTACACCAACATTACAGAAAAGCCATACAGAGCTGCCTTAGGTTCACAGAATATGCCTCCATACACCCCCACACCACACACCACCTCTTAGCGTTAAACAATACCACTCTAAAGTTTTCTTCTTAAGCTCTATGGGCTGAGATGACGTATTTACATAGTGTCAGTGCAATCTCGAAGTGACAGTTCAAATATCATAGCAGTCCAATAGTTACACTTGATATAGTTATTATTACAAGAGAAAGAGTGGAAAAGTCCAGATTCTCGGACAGCAGCACAGCACGGACCACCAGCTGCTTTGTGGATTTCAGGTACAATGGAAAAGCTAGCGCTCTTTTTGACGACAACTATTCACATGGCACTCTTTTGCATTGACTTGCTTTAGGATCCGTCGAAAATGAAATGCAGCCGCGCCCCGTTCCCTTTAAACATACATATATTGATATTATAGAGATATAAGAAACAAATACAGATATGGAAGTTCGCTTTTCCCTTTGCTGCAGAAGTATTTGCTGGTTCAGAAAACAGGTCAAAGATCGGGGAAGCGACAGGGGTCTTCCTTGTACTCTGGGGGGATGAAGAAAATGGACTCGTCGAATTCGTCGTAGCGGAACTCCTGAAAAGTGACGGTTGCGGTGATGGTGGGGAAGACTGGAATATCTGAAGAGGAGAGAGAGATTTAATGTTAAAGGGGCTGTACCTGATTTTTACTGTTAAACATGTGAAAACAAAAATAATTCAACTGTTTACAGTGGTCCAAAGTTATTCCTCACTTATCTTAGGCAGTTTTGCAGTCGCAATAATGCTAACAACAACTAGCATGCTAACTGCACACTTCAAAACAATAAAACTCTGCAATTAAATACATATAGTACGCTGCTTATACAATATATCTGTACTAAGGCAAGACAAAGTTTGCTCACATACATGGAATAAAATACGAGTCCTTTAATAGACATGCAGGTCAGAATATTCCTAGACTAGAGAGTGTTAAATAATTTATGCTAGATTCACTGAAATAGCCAGAGATCAAGGTCTTTTAAGTTGCATTTGCTTTTTCACAGGAATAAAACTGTATTTTAGGCCAAGAAGTCCAAACATTCTTCATTTTTGGTACGTACCAAGTTTAACTGGAAACCCAGGAGGAAGTTTCATTTGGACAAACTCTCGGAGTTTGTTGAAGTGCTTAAATGGGGCAATGACTTCCAACACATTCAGTAACCTGAGAGAGAAAGGACAACATTATATTTAGTTACATTACAATGGCTGGACAGCATGAAGTGTGTGCAATACAAATCATCACAGCTACAACACGGCATCGTAGTAAAGCTCTGTGGGGGGTAGAATTTCCCTTCTCAAGATGAAAATAACATGAGCATATAGATTTTTTCCTTCCCCATCCAACATCCTATTTTTCAAATGTAAACAGGGTATTTATTGCAGCGTGTTTTGACACAGAGCAGTGAGGGGCATTTGAAGCCCTCAAGAACGCAGATGGACTAAATCTGTAGGATTAGTGAAACATACGCAAATGAAACTAAACATAACACCAGATGTGTAGATATCCAAATCTCACGGTACCATATTATCACAGTACATATTCATGGTACACTATATATACTGAAGTATTTTTGGGAAGCGTGGAAAAAAAATAACATATCCACAATACGTTAGGCATTTTAAAACAGAATTGTATGTTATTTCCTTGTCAAAAACTTACCTGGAGTTGTGTTTTGTTTCATACATGTTTAACATACAAATCCTACATTCTTCTCTTCTCTCATACTGAAAACACTGTTCTACCTTGTGATGTCATGTGGTAATACAGGAAAGACTCTACTGTGTTTTTAAACTCCATACACCTTCACTGGAATTATTTGGATAGTTTCAGCCTGGAATTACCAACATCTGCTGAACTAGAGGTAAAAAGTAGCTGTTAACATGAAAACTACTGTTACATGACATCAAAAAAGTGAAACAGCATTTTGGGCTTTGGAGATGTAGACAGACTAATAATAAAGGATTATTCAAACATGTGTGAATGAAACAAACCCACCTCCAGGTATGTTTTTGAAGAGGTTTAACAGCATTATAACATGGCTTAACACTAACAAGAATACATTTTTGTGTAATACAGGACCTTTAAGATCAAATGCTTAATTACAGTTATTGTCTACACTGAAACGGAGCAAAGAGTGATTATTGCGATGGCCCGTGATATTATTTGAGACCTTTGACGATACAAGAGCTTGATATTTCACTTATGTCAGTTACACCCCTATTGGAGGATCAATCATTATGGTTAAAAGGTTTGAGTCAATTTTGCAACATATCTATTCTCAAAGACAGATGCGTTATAAATCACGTTGGCCATTTATTAAAGTGAAATGTAACATTGTAGGAGTAGAAAGTATGGAGGCATATTTTGTCAAAACACACGAGGGAGAGAAATCACATTAAAAAGCCATTAAGCATGTTTAGGACGGGCGTTTGGAGCCGGAGCACATTAGTTCAGAGGAAGAGATAAAGCTATTTAACTGCATTATGCTCTGCTCATATTTTACAGCGCTGCCTCCGAACATGACAGGCATTTCATCAAACCACCTCCACAAACTTTTACACACTCCATTTGAATTTGGGATCAGTCTCTCCCCGTTGCGTGAACCCAACAGCAAAGAATATAATGTTATAGATGTCAAATTATACAGGTTTTCTCACTGCCTGGAGCTATGTCCAGGTTACACTTACGAGCCTGTATTTAAAGGGCATTTCCGCTGTCTCTTGGTATGTAATTATGTTGTTTTTGATAACTTTGCGGAGGATGAAATTGTAAATGCTAAGCTTAGTAGTTTGAGTTAAGTAAGACTGAGGAACTTCTGGTGCAGAAAGTAAAATTCCCAGTATTGATTTGAAGTACTGATTGAAACATTAGTATTTTATAGTAGTAGTAGTAGTTTTATAGTCATTTTGCAGCACTACAAAACTAATCAAACAAAACATAGACTACAACCCCATGAAGTTAAAAGGTACTAAGCAGGACAAGGAGTTGTGGAGGTTAAAGTTTATCACCAAAGTATATGTGTTTATGTAACAATGTCCATCACCTGCTTGTCACCACTGAGATGTAATGTTCCCCAGTATAGCTTTATACTATGTTATTACTATATTTATTCAAATTTCATGTATTTTATTAGACATGTTTTACTGCCCAAAACACCCCGACAAACATGCATTCTTGCTGTGAGCAGCCTGGCCTCTCCCCAAATCTGACCTGTAACTTGGCCTAATGGTGCCACATGCTTGTCTCCATGGAGATAAGGGATACGTTTGATGCCATCTTTGCATATTTAGTTTTATTTTACCTGGAATGATCCTATCTCCATGGAGTCAAGCACAGTGCACCTTTAAATTTACTTTAAAATACAGTAGTTTGCAACTAGCAAATCGCAAAGACTGCACTTTTTGAGGTACCATATTTTCCTTCACAAACAATATATTCTGCCTTACTCTGCATAAAAAACTGCTCATACTGTAGTTTAGATCTGTACAAACACATTAGGAAATTAGATTGTTGTATTAGTCTGTCAGTACGATTAAATTTGCAACGTTTTAAGTAGGATTCTGTTCAATAATAATAAAAAAAGAGATATTTTTCCATATTGCTCAGGTCTAATGAATAGTTTTTCATAAATATTCTGCTAGGAAATTCCTGTTAAACTCAGTTGCAGGATAAAACAGTGAAGGCCTGCAGACTAAAGTGTTCTAACTGACTGTAAATGGCTGAGCTGTGGGGCAGTCGTATCTTTCATCTTGAGTTTAAAAACAGAGCACAAGTTCAGGTTTACTGCTGTGACCCAAACGATGAGAGAGAAGGGGCTGTACTCACGACTCGATGCCCAGAGGGAAATCCTGGCTCATGGCCACCGTGGCTTTGAAGTTCTTCTTGCTCTCTTTGCACACGAGCTCTCTCCCCAGATGAGGAGGCCTGGAGGAGGAGACGCACAAGTGAACAAGATGGGCCTTTTTCATAATAAATGAACTTCACAGTCAGCTTATTTAACTTCTACAGTCAAGCACAATGTAACACAGATTTAATGTTTATGGGGACTATAACCCATTTCAATATTGAACGCTCTGCTTCACCATAACATGAAAATCTTCTTTGTGAAATGGAAAAACTTGTTCTGCTGTAGTTTCATAGTCTAGGTTCAGTCCTGGTTTTGACTTAGTTCAGGCAGATGTACTTGTTCGCTATATACATTGAATTTGGTATGAACACCATTTATCAACCTGTTCAAGGACTGCAGTTAGAAAGCAGCAATTTAGTTTTAACCTGGTGCAAACATATTACCTTTTTTGTGTATGTCAATGTTTTTATGTGCATTGTCCCTGTTAAATAAATAATAAAATAAATAAACAAAACTAGATGCAGATCTGCTTACAAATGATGGTTAGACTTGGGTTTGGCCCTAGAGTAGCCATGAATTGAACTGGTTAAGCTATAATTTACATCTAGGTTCACTCTCAGTCATAAAAATGATTTAGACTTAAGGTAAAAGAAATTGCAAATCACACTGTTATCCTAATGTTTCAGATGGCGTCATAGGAGATACATACTTTCCATGCTCGGCTGTGATGTACTCCTCCCAGGAAATAGTGTTTGGAGCCGGAGCGCTGAGGGACTGTCTCTTCACAGGCTGAGGGAGAGGACAACGTAAATAAATTCATCATTACATTTAAATTTATCACTAAACATATTACACATGAAGCTCAGAATAATATTTCTTGGATATGTGTTTTTTTTTTAAACAGCAATTTTCAAATCGTAGTATCTCATGTGAGCGGTAGGGGCTCAAATAGCATGACTCATTACACCTGAAAAATGTTACCGGCAGAATATTGTGTATGGGTCAGTTTTATATTCAGTGCTGATAATTTATTAAGATATAACACATTAAAAGGTGTTCAGAATTTGGAACAGGGATGCACCAATACCAACATTGATAATTTACTGATATCTTATTAACCGATACCAGTGTAGGGACTGAAAATGGCAGTCAACTTCACAAGTCAATACAATTAGGCAGCAACTAACTACTGAGCAGCTTTGTCAGATTAAAGGTTCAGACATTATGAGCTATTCTGGGCCAACACAAGACAGTAATTTGTTATATTAGAGTCATTCCACCTCAGTTCACCCCAGAAAATTACAATTTGAACCCTCACACTGTCCAATTACAAAGAAAATTGGTGAATGGGTAAGTCATAACCAAGAAAGCCAAAATCTCTAATTTTAGCATGATCGATTCAATGGTTTCCTAGATATCGCAATTTCATTTTTTTTCACTATTTTGCGTGGTCGCCGAATTTCAAATTGCATTTACTCAGCAGCTACTGGTCTGATATATATTTTTGCATTTGAGTACTTTTGAGATGAATGACCTTTTGACCTATATTTTGACCTTGAAATTGACAATATGGGACACACCCGACATCAATGACACCAATAGAAAAAAATGTAGCCCTATATGTCTACGACAACATATACAAAATCTGGACAAAGTAGAGTTTAACTCATTAGGGTGAACTGAGGTGGACTGACCCATTACATCTAATTAAATGCACAACCAGGACATCATTAATCAGCTGAAATGATATCATAGAACCGATTCACCATCATCACCATATCTGATACCAGGAGCTATTTTGCTGCATACCTAATTTGGAGCGACATAAACAACCTAAATTTGTACCTAAACCTGTGACGTACTATTAGAGCTGCCAAATTATAAAAGTACACTGATGTACTAATGTTTTCTATTATTTATCAGTAGCACCACCTGGTCTATCAAAACCTGTTTTATAGCAACAGGAATAACAACAGCTGTCTATATTAAAGTGGAACTAAACACTAAATCCACTTTACTGCTCCTAAACTGTGTATATGGGGTTTTAATAGCATTAGCTACAGTTCCAGGTCATTTTTGGCAATTTTAGTGCAAACTGGATGAATTTGCAACTTTCTGGTTCAAAACGCCTAAATCTAAGCTTGTGCTGTCTCCAGTGGCCTCTGTGGTTTCCAGTAGTTGGTGACATCACACAAGATTGCCCTGATTACAGACGGGTGTTTTTGTTCACAAACACCTGGCTGCAGGGGCGGAGTTTAAAGCGTGGATTACTCCCACTTTAAAGATCCTCTCTTGCACAACATTTACTCTTGTGAGGTTTAAGTCATGTTACAATGCTGTTACCTCATCATAAACATACCTGGAGCTGTGTTTTGTTTACACATCTTTGATTAACCCTTTATTATTAGTCTGTCTACATCTTCAGTGCTCAAAAGCTGTTCCACCTTGTGATATCATGAAGCAATAGTTTACCTTTACCTTTTGTTCAGTAGAGATGATCAATTCCAGGTCTGAAATTATCCAAATGATTCTAGTGAAGGTGTGTGGAGTTTAAAAACACATTGGAGCACTTCCTGTATTACCAGATGACATTAAAAGGTGGAACCCAAGTGTTTTCTGCTTGAGAGAAGAACTCTAAATATGCAGGATTTGTGTGTTAAACGTGTGTGTATGAAACAAAACCAAACACAACTCCAGGTATGTTTGATGAGGAAACAACATAAAAACATAGATGACAAAATAGCGTAATGTGGGCCCTTTAAACGTACCTCAAAGTTGTGCTCCCCGATGCTGCCTCCTTTGCTCAGACTCTCCATGATGGCTTTGTTTCTCAGGATGTCCTCCTCGCTCAGATGCTCACGGCGCTTTCTTGATTCCAGCACCAGACCGTTCACTGCGTAGAAATCTGCCAGGAAGTTTCCAACACGCTCCTGTATACAAACAGATGTGTGAGGCTTTCATCATGGAGAGGAGAGATCAGTATTCCCAAAGCTAATTCGGATGCAAAAATTCGTCTGGAAATGTGTCAAAGTGCAGCTTCAGGGATGGTAAAAATACACTTTCTCCATATTTATAACAGTGAAAGACAATCAGGGGTGTTCTCAGAGGAGTTGCACCCCATGTGGAAAATACCCCCAGGAGAGTCTTTCTTCTTTTATTTAATTATTGAAAAAATCTACAAGAATTGTTTACACCACAGCCATCAATGACTTATGTTTTTGCACTGCACTTTAGTCTCAGTATGAAACCTATTAAATACAAAAGGTTCGTGGCTTCTTCATGTGTGCTATTCATCAGTTTCAGCTTCCTGTTATATGCAACATTTTCAAGACTTTTTCCCACTCAAAGGATTACTTTGTTTTATGCTGTTAATCACTATGGTAACAGTAACATTTTGACATTGTGAAGCTAACGGACAAATGTTTTAAAGGTGCTCGGTGGGGTGCATGCCATGGAGATGTTGCCGCTTTGCTTGGAGAATTCCCAGCATTGCATTAAAAATGTGCCCTGAGTAACATTTCTAGTAGAGGGTTTGCCACCTGCTTGTCCCAGTGAAAATGTTATTGCTTTGTTTGGAATGCTCCACAGTATAGATTAAACCAAACTATCACAAAAGAGACAAGCAGGTTACAGCACTACGCTACATTACAATTCAGATCTGTGGACAGTGGCTTCTATTCATAGAAGGAATTATTGCATTTTTGAGCCACAGAAACACTCGTAATGAATAAATGCTAGATGGAAATATTTAATGTCATACCATGGAACATTCCAGGCCAAACAATAACTTCTAATGTATCTGATTTTTGGCCGGGTAAGTCTAATTATAGATGGTAGCTTTAAAACAGATCTAATATCAAGCATTTATTCAATTATAGATGATTTATGGAAGAATAAAAAACATATACAAATCTTGCCTTACAAATGCCTTTAATTGTATTTGTAAGGCAAGATTGATACAATGGCACCCTCGCCCATTCTAAACTTATAACAGAAATACTAGGTCATTGGGACACTGTTTTCCTTCACTGGTTTAGATTTAGTCTACATTTCATAGTACGCCAATAAAAACATTCAACCAACTGAACATTCGTTTTCGTTCCAAGAAACCAAACCGTAATTGGGTTTACATAAAAGGGTTGTTCACACTCTTTTTCTTAATGATTTATAACAGTCACTTCACTGTTCTGTAGTTTGGAGCGTAATTTATGAGTCACATTAATGTAATATCAGTGGTTACTTTATTCTGAGATGAGGTGCCCGAGTTTATTTACCCAAACATGGATTTTTCATGTACCGTTTACAAGACTTCCTGGAACAATTAAAGCGCCATTATTGCTCCAAGTTCCAGCTGCTGCGTAATTGGTTTTTATGACTTACACCTGGGTTTTCCAGCTAAAAGCGACGGCACAAGAAGAAGAACTTTTCACTTCAAATGGAGTCTAGTGACCGGCAATAATTCAACAGAGCCCACCCATTAAGAACACAAGCAGAGAAGATTTATTTCCAAAAAGAGTGTGCACCCAGTTTGTTAAAGGGCCTAAAATACATTACATGTCTATTGTACATTTTTAGTCAAGGTTGTTTTTTTTTTTTTAACAAACTTTTCCAATTCGATTAGTGCTGCAATTATATGATTAATTTACTGTAATTTCCTCTACTTTTTTCTCACACTTTGAGCCCTGCGGCTTACACAACGATGTGGCTAATATATTGACAGATTATTTGTTTATCAACACAGCAGATGCACACGCAGCCTCAGTGCAGAAAGCGCACCTGTCTGTGTGGTTAACATGAAGTTGCAATAAGTATGAAATATGACTGAAAGCTGTTGAAAATTACTGATTTCTGTCACTTATTTACTATTTGACAATATTCTCTATTTTGCCATTTTCATTTAATACCACTATCTTCCAGATAATGAATACAGTCATCAAAATACAATGTTGATTATTTTAATAGTTGACTAGTGACAATAATTTCAATTAATATTTGTAGACATTCAATACATTCAATAAATAATCCAACATTAAAACATTGAAATAAATAGACTCTTTCAAGACCAAAGTATGCCTAAAACTGAATCTGATGGAACCCAGGACTAAACCAGGTCTACACTTCAACTGACCATGGATTACACAAAGGACACAACTGGGACAAAATCATAACAAAATCAGGACTAAACCAGCAGAGGTTCAAGTTTCCTACCGTTTTATCCTCCCTGAAGAGCCATCCGATCTGACTGCGAGAAAACGTGATGGACTTGGTGGACAAAGTGGCAGAGTAGACGTCACTGCTCATGAGAATGTCCACCTCCTCCTCGGTCTCCATTTCAGACTCCTATGATTGATACAGATTCTTTATTAATCCCAGAGGAAATTTCAAAATGGCCAGCTGCTTTCACACAGACAACACAATCCAATCATTAGATTGGATAAATTAATCACTAAACACCCTAAAAAAACTTCATTTAAAAGGTTCTATATTACACAAAATTTACTCTTATGTGCTTTAAGCCATGTTAGAATGTTGTTACTTTATCAAAAACATACCCATTTTGTTTCATTCACACACTGAGTAACTCTTTATTAATAGTTTGTCTATATCCCAAAAACTAAAAGTGCTTTGTTCCATTTGTGTTGTCATGAAGCATGACTTTTTACTTCTAGTTCAGTAGAGATGGGCAATTCCAGGGCTGAAATTATTCAAAAAATTGTAGTGATGTTTTATGGAATTTAAAAACACAGTGGAGCAGTTCCTGTATTACCACATGACATCACAAGGAGTGTTTTCCGTTTAAGAGAAAAAAAAAATATGCAGGGTTTGTGTGTTAAACATGTGTGAATGAAACAAAACACAACTCCAGATGTGTTTGTGATGTGGAAATAACATAACAGACCAGAAAATAGTGCAATATGAGCTCTTTAAAAATGGACACATATAGGCATAAATACAGTGAGCAGTCAATAACAACCAGAGTGAAGAACATGTAACAGGAAATCAAAAGCTCTGTGCAAACCTCGTGGTGTATTCTTTGGTACACTTTGGCCTCGTTGTCCAAAACCACAAAGGACCGCGAGGGAGCAGCATCACCATCAAAAATGAAGCTGAGATCGCCACGTTGGCATTTCATATCATTGAAGTCTATGAGAGTAGTGTCCAGTCTAAACCATAGAGGATAAATGTATTAGAACTAGAGTCATCAAAAGCATCAGAAATCAGATACTCATTTGAACAAGTATTAATATTAAATAAAAAAGTCCCAACAACAGGACATAAATAGGCCTTTCCTGAATAGCTAGAATGATCTTGAGCTGTATCAGACCAAGTATAAGACCACATACACTAGTATATGCCCACTGACCACTATATAAGTGATATTATGAAAGAAAAAAACTATTATTTAATGTTGAAAATCAGATTCCATTGTCTAAATTAAGTGTTTTTTTTTTATATTATCATTATGGTATCAGAATTGGTATAGACTATTCTGACTATTTGAGCCATTTATTTTCCCAATTATTGGTAAATTATTGAATTGAATTATTTATATATATATATATATTTTTAATAAGGCATTATTTTGAGGTCAGTTTATCAGAATGAATAAACATGAGTTTTTTTTTCCTTCAAGGTCACGCTGTCAGAATATGAATATGAATTAATTATTTGCTCTTACATATTTAAACTCACCTGATATTGGTTCCCTGCTTGTAAATTTTACAAGCATCTGAAGGCAGCATTCGGGACAGCAAAGGCACTAGAATACAAAAAGAAACCCCACAAAATTAGCTCAATTGAAAAGCATAGTAATCTGTATTTCTTCTTACAAATACAAAATAATTAAATGAAATAAATAAACAAAAACTCACCCCAGCTCTGGAAATCCCAATGCAACTCCAGGTAGAAGTCTCCGAGCTGCAAAATTGGCACAATGTAAGTTGACGGGTCAGCGCAGTAGAAGCCAGTGAAGCTGTTAACATGTGCTATTAAAACACTCATGTATTCAGAGCATGTGGTGCAGTGGTGCGGTGATGACTGGCTCACATTAGCATACATGGAGTCGGGGGAGAAGGAATAATTAAGCTTTAATACAGGATCAGTGGGGAGGGAAACGGTGCGAAGTGAGGGGCCGCTGTGAGCTCACCTCGCGCAGAGCCTTCAGTAATTTTGGCCTTTTATCCTCCACGCTCTCTCTGGACTGCTGCTTCAGTTTACGCAGGATCGCCGTGACTGCAGACAAACACAAGGGGACGCTAAAGGGTTAGACTCAGAATTAGAGAAATATTAGCACTTTTCTTCCATTTTGGAGAGTCATTGAGGAGTAGTTAACAAAATAAATTCCTAGTAATAAATTTTACAAGAGGTTTCAAAGCTCCATGCATGGTCACAGTGCTAAAATAAGAAATTCAAGGCTTCTTTTGACAATAGCATGTACTTTTCCATCCCAAATACTAGTGGTCTTTAAAAGGTGCATTGTATAACTTTTCTGGTGGAGGGTCCATCAAAAGTTGGAATGTTTCACAGTATGATATTGGATCTTTCTATCATCAAACCAGACCAAGTTCCAGGTCAGATATGTGGAGAGGCAACCCCGATCACAGAATGCCTATTTTTCTATGTATCTTTGAGCTATAAAAACACCTACAATTGAATAAATATAATGTAGAGGTGTTTAATGCCATACCGTGGAACATTCTAAGCAGAGCAATGACATATTCATAGAAATGAGCAAGTGAATGACCCCCAACCAAAAAGTTACATAGGTCACCTTTAATATTACCATATACCAATTTTTCTATATATTTTCTTTTTGAGAAGATTAAGGAGCAAGTTTCACAAACAGTTGATTCTGCGTTTGCTTGACCACCAGAGTGTTATCTGTTCAAACCTCATGTGCACATACTGAACCAACCACACAGTTTGTGTCACTGCTTCCTGTCCGATTATATCTGTATGGAGTGTTTGCAGACTTGTGCTAAAATGAATAAATATTTAAAGATAAGGCAATGGGGTCATAAGCAGGGTGGGGGTGGATGTCGCTGACAATATGTTAAAGACTTTACAAATGAGGTGAAAACTAGAGGACACCGTGTTTAGATAGGAAGATTTTGTGGGAGTTTGTGTTCAGCACTGATGTTAATTTTGAGATCTAGTTATGAAATGTGATTGTTACATTTGTTTTCAGTTCATATTTCATTTATTATCTTTTTGGGGAATTCTTTAAAATGTGAACTTTGAGCAGGATCATATTATTTAAACATAAATCACAATTCTTCACATATAGTCAATGTATTTCCTTGAATAGTACAGCCTTATTTGCTAGTAGTACCTTATAACACCAATCCAAAACACAAAGGCCACAAAGGCCAGGAGTGAAAACAATAACCGAAATATAATGATATCGTATTGTCAAAAGTCTCACAGTAATATCATGGTCTTTCACAATTTATATCAACTTAAAAGTCTCTTCACTTAAATTCATTGTTATGGTGCAGTAATAGCTAAAAGACCATCATCCTTTGCCATTTTAGTGCAGAATACATGAAGAAATAAATTAAGCACTTCTTAATTATTATTTGTAATATAATAGTAGTTCCAAAAGCTTTTCAAGGCATTAAAAAAAATTATAAAAGTAAAAGTAGCATATTTTAGTTTTTTAGTAATATCGTAAAGTGGGATATGAATATGGTTACATCCCTAGTCGTGACACCAAGTGAGAAGCGCTGACGAGGCTCTAGCCACTGCTCCCACAACATCAGCTGAGCCTGGGAGGACTGCATTCATTGTACAACCTTGTGTAGTGTAGTGCAGCTCATTTAGCCACCGAGCTGGACTTCTCACCAACTGACCTTCCTGTCCCGTTGTGCCCCCCACCCCACAGCGCCCTCCTCCGCCCCCGTCCCGATGTGATGTGACCTTCTGAGACACACACAGTCCCCCAGCCTGTCACCGCGGAAACAGAGCCAACGAGCCGCATACTAAACAAGGCGCAGGTCAGTTTGTACAAGCCCACAGTGCAGACGGGAATGACCTCTGCTTTGTCACCAAATATGAAATAAAGGGCTGCAGTGAAAGGTATGTAGCAGGCTTTGAAAACAGCACACCTAAAGCCATTATAGAGCCTGCCCACTGTTTTCTATGTGTCATTTTCTGTGTCAGGTTTAAAGCATCATTAGGAGGGAGAGTGACCCAGCCTGTAAGCTCTAGGCGTTCTACACTAAGCCTAGATTTAGGAACTGTTCCAGCTCCATCTGGATGACAAGAGCGCATAAAATCCCTACCTCTAGCTTTTTAGTTGCAGTAATCGTCAGATAGCCCTGTCTGCAATTAAATACCCCATAATACAGTCATTGCATTGTCCTTTAAAAGTCCTCTCTACCCAATCAGACGACCGCTCAGGCTTAGAGGTATTAAAGTGTGACGACCGCTAGAGATCCTAAAATCATCAAGGTCATCTTTTATGAGCTTTGTACAGCAGCAAAGTAATCATAAAACTGTGGGCTTTGTCTGTTTTGTTTTTTTCACTTGTGTTTTATTCACTGAAAAACATCCTTAGTGTGCACGGGCTTGCATCTCCATGAACATGACTCTTATTTGTCCTGGATGAAGGCCTCATCCTGCTTTTTTCCCCCTTGTTATTATTGTCATGTTATTCCTTTGACTATTATATTACACAGTATGGCATAAAAATCCTTTATGTCCATGAAGAATGTTCCAAAATATGGTTTTCACTTTCTGTTTCAATGGAATCATGTTTGTGACATACCACTTCCAGAAAGTTACATACTGCCTCTTCAAGGAGCAGAATGACCTGGTGTTTTGAATACTGTAATATAGGAATGGCACCAAAGATAAAATTCTGATAAGCCGCCCTAGTGCTTGATAGTCACAGCAAGAGACACACCCTTGGGTTAACATGATCAGTTATTAAATTAATACGTTTATTAGTTAATATATAATCAGTCCTGTACTCACACTGCATAATCTTTTAACCTAGAACTAGTAATGACATATAGAATATACAATAAAAATAATCTTCTCATAGAGGCTGTTTAAAGACATTGCTAGATGCTCAGCCAAGGCTCAATAGAGTTTAAAAAATTACACTAAAATAAGAATAGCAGATAAAATACATAAAGATAGTATTAATTAGAGCAGTATTTACATTTATAAATGAAATAGAACTCACTCATTTGTCTGTCTCCATAGCTGATGGCTTCTGCCAGAGGACTCCATCCTTGGGCGTTTTTCACTTTTACAGGTGCATTGTGGGCGAGGAGCAGGAGGGCACACTCTGATCAAAACAAAATTAGCAAAAATAATGAATACTTATTTTAACACTTTTGTGCAGTATTCTAAATACCACAAGTAGTGCAGCGCTTCTGACTAAAATAAATGCCAAGCATGTTAATTAAAGGACTACTTTTTGAGGCAGCCACAGGATCACAGATAAATTATCATCTTTTTTATCCATGCTGATAAATAATACAAGGGTAGAACAGAATGAGTGATCACTAGTTTACCTTTGTGCCCAAGCATCACAGCAAGATGAAGAGGTGTGTTGCCTAAAAAAAGAAAAAAAATAACACATGAGCACGAGTAAGCTCAGAGAATCTTTGACAGTTATTAAAAATGTATTTACTCAAACAACATTAAAGGGCCCATATTACACTATTCTCTGATCTATGTTATAATGTTCTTTCCTCAGAAACATATCACAAGTTATTTTTTTTGTTTGATTCACACATATTTAAACAAACAAACCCCATTTAGGCTTAGTTCTTCTCTCAAATGGGAAACGCTATGCTCCACCTTGTGATGTCATGTGGTAACAGAGATGCTCCACTGTATTTTTAAACTCCACACACCTTCACTAGAATAGTTTGGATGATTTCAGCTCTTGAATTCCCCATCTTTGCTGAACTAAAGGTAAAAAACTGAAAACTACCGCTTCATGATATTACAAGGTGGAACAGAACATTTTGATCTTTGGTGACATAGAGATAGACCGGGATTAATCAAACATTTGTGAATGAAACAAAACAAAAGTCCACATATATTTTTGACAAGGTAACAACATTATAACATGGCTTACAGCTCACAAGAATCCACTTTGTGCAATATGGACCCTTTAAACTGATTTAAACATTAATGTCATTGCAGATTCTTTACCATCCAGATGAAAGAGAAAAAAATGGCCATTACTTTTTAATCCAGTCCAGCAATGTTAGTAGCTGGATACAGTTTACATAACCACCATTACTCCACAAGATTAGAAGGGCCATCAGTTATAAAACATTTATAATGAAAATGCACTGACCATGCACATCTTTCTGCAGGATGCTATGGCTCCTGATGAGAGAGGACAGGCGGCGGACATCTCCTTTGAACACGCACTCGTGGACAGGGAACTCCAAAGTCTCACTGGTCAAGATGATGGGGTTCTTGTTATTATCGTTCACCACTGTTCCCACCGATGCCGAGTTCCCGTTTATGTTGTTTTCGTTGAGTTGCTGCTGTTGTTGCAGAGCCGATGCTTTGTATGATTTCTGAAAGAGCTTGTTGGACTTGAAATGGTTACTCGTACCGTTGGGAATTGGTGCATCCTCGTACGTGTCCATAATCTCCTCATTTTTGTTTGTTTTGTTGTGGTCTTTTCGCGTGGTGCGGATCTTCTCACCTGTCATGATGGTTACTGAGCGTTTTTGATCTTTTGCTACTAACTACGATGAAAACTAAGGGATGTTTTGGTACAGAGAGTACAGCTTGCTCTTCCCCGTATCAGCTTTGGCTCATACAATGAGTTTCCGATAGAGATAAATAACAAAATATACCTTGTTATTACAAAGGCAGACCTGATGTATTCTGCATCAGTACCAACATTAGCTACTAGCATCCGTTAGCTACCTAGCCCACAACAAAATTGAATATGGTGGGTGCGGTGATGTAAAAAGAAAATACGACTACACGAAACGGAACACAGACACAAACTAAATGAACACATAGGTAAAACCGGAGTAAAAGGCCGCTACATTGTTCTAAGATTAAATTCCTCTACGGCGGATGATACGATTAAAATCTGTACCGTTTATCTTCGCTTTGCGGCAAATTTCAGGCAGACTGTGCCCAATCTGCGCCGCTGCCTTTTCTGCTTCAGAGTGGACTCTGCGCATGCGCGAACCACTCTGCCATTGTAGCTACGGCAACTCCATTGGTTCAATTAGCAAACACTTCGCTTTAATTTACTATTTTTTTAATCACATTGCACACGTAAAACATTGACATAACTCTGCCTGGAACTATGTAAACCTTGCAGAGATAAAACAATGCAATATTTGTTATTTTGCATCACTGTCACCCCAAGTACATGAATATTATTATTATTGACAATTATATAAAACAAAGCATACATATGAATTACATGCTGAAATTGATCTAATTAACCATAAAACAATACTAGTCTTTATTATAATGCATCCATAAAAGTAGAATGATTCAAATTGGGTAGCTGACACGCCTCTGAAATGGTCCTTGAGTTCTCGCGAGATTGTGGAAGAACGAGAAGAACAGCGTGTGTCATCTTCATGGGACGAACTCTTGATTTTAGCGGCAGCGGCTAGCTCCTTAAAAACATTCAAATCATGGCAACGTCAAAGAAAGGGAAGAAAGTAGTAAATCAAGAGGAACTTCGGCGCTTGATGAGAGAAAAGCAACGACAAGCGTCCGAAAAGAAGCGCGTAGACTCTCCTTTTGCCAAATACAACAGTCTCGGCCATCTCAGTTGTATTCTGTGCAACATGCAGGTGAAGTCCGAGCTACTTTGGACAACTCACGTCCTTGGTAAACAGCATAAAGAGAAGGTTTCTGAGCTCAAAGGGGCAAAACAAGGACCCCAAAGTCAAGCTGTGAAGAGGAAAACTACGGAAACGGACGAAGTTAGTTTTAAAAAGCCTAAACCCGTACAAAGTGCCACCCAATCTACTTCTGGGCTGCCTGCAGACTTCTTTGAGAAACCCAGAGGCAGTGCTCCTTCAAAACCAGCTGGTGCAAGTCTGTTAGGTGGAGCATATGATGATGATGATGATGATGATGAGGACGACGACGACGATGAGGAGGAGGATGAAGATAAAAAATCCGTATCTACAAATCCTAGTCAGAAAGCGGAGGTTTCTGGACTTCCCGCTGATTTCTTTGACAGCGCAATCCCGTCCGTGCCAACAATCTCCCACTCAGGATCCATCCAAAAAGCAGAAACTCCGGAGAAAGAAAAGCCAGAAAAGAAAGATAAAACTGCAGAATCGTTACCAGAGGGCTTCTTTGACGATCCGGTGACAGATGCCAAGGTGCGCAATGTGGAAGCGCCCAAGGATCAGATGGACAAGGAATGGGAAGAGTTCCAGAAGGAGATGCGACAGGTGAATACAAAATCTGAAGCTATAGTGGCTGAAGAGGACGAGGAGGGACGTCTAGAGCGCCAAATAGATGAAATAGATGAACAAATTGAGTGTTACAGAAGAGTGGAAATACTAAGGGACAAGCGTGATTTGGTTAAAGGCAAAACGCAGACGCAAAAAGCGGTGAAGATGGAAGTCGATGTCAGTATGGAGGAAGAGGAGGAGGATGAAGAGGAACTGCTGGGACTTCTATCGCAGGACTGGAGGGCTAAAGGGGCATTGTCATAAGTACATGTGCTTTGTACAATATTTTGGACTGATTCATCAACACTTGTGTGCTGTAAATATATTTGATACTAAAGAAAAATGTTCTTTTGGCTTTTTTTTTTTTACATTGACCACAGTACATAGTGTTGCCAAATGCAGTAGTGAGAGTAACGCATGTAATGTAATTCTCTTAAAAAATTAAGAAAGTTGCTTAGTATGATTGCAACCAAGAACCTGTGTAAACCTGTACTGGCTATGCACATAACAATGTTTTGGATTTATGTAGTGCCTTTCAAGACACCCAGAGCGTTTACATTGCATTATTCATTTACTCCACACTCAGTGATGAGCTTCTGTTGTAGACACGGCTGCCCTAGCAACAGGCAGGGCTGCCAAACTGCGCCACTGGCCCCTCCGACCACCACCAATCACTCGCTCACACAGCATTCCTAATAGGTATGGTGAAGCGTCTAATTGACAGTATGCAGTAGACAATGTGGTGCCTGCTATTCCCAGCAATTTCAAATAAAAGTACCAACCAGGCTCAATACTGCTTAGCTTCCCAGATCAGTTGAGATGATGACACTATCGTATGATCACGAAACATGGATCAGTTGCCAAAAGAAAACTGACATTAATGTCAGGGAAAGATGGAGCAATAATCTAACCTTGCACAGCAAGATGGATTCCCGTGATATTTGTGAGTTCACTAACTCAATACACCGTGACACACATATCAATCTGGTGTGAGCCAGGTTAGCAATAATGAGGAAGAGACTGCAAGCATCTTTCTGAGGTAAAAGTTTAAACACACCACTTGATAACAACCTAGTAGTAAACACACTGTAAACATACATACATTTTCACTGTATTTATTCATTTAGGTGTTCACACTAAAACATTCATTAAATCTCCATTATACAATAGCAGCAAAGACCCAAAGTCAAGGTTTCGACAAAAGAATTTGAGCTCAAATAACCATTGTCCTGCAAAATAGTATGTTATAATTATAAATAATTATGTTCATGTTATGAGCAACATGCAAAGCTTTTTAAATACACATTATTTACTAAACTCAACATGATCAAATGAATCAAGTACAATGTGATGGTCAGTGCTTTAACTACCTGTTACATTGTGTGATCTAGGTGCAGGCAGTTTAAAATCTACTGCAAGGTTAGGATATATTGCTACATAGTGTATAAATATGGAGTCCATTCAATATGTGTTCATAGCCCTTCAAATCTTACACTGATATTTTAAAAGAAACACAATATCTTATTGTACACACAAAAAACTAAACAAACAACTTGGGAATTAAAATTATTACAAAGAGGAAATTGTGGAGTTGTCTTAAGCTAAAAAGAATGGCTATACATTGTAGTAGAATTGGAAATAGGCTACAAATGAAACTCTTTAAATCTAGTAGTCTTCGGTAAACATATATACACCAGGCTATATAAATAAATTGTAATAGGTGAATACAAGTGTGTTTGGGTTGCAACATTTGTAGTAATAATAGGCTAAAAACTACATAACACTCACATAAAAATATACATTAAGGTAAGAGAATAAAGTAAAAGAAAGCAAAAAATATTGATGAAAAACTGTCAAGTTGTACCAGTAGTGTAAGAAAAATAAACTGAGATCACAACATTTACCATGATGAATTGAATATAACTGAGAACATCATTTTTGTAATAGGAAGAAAAAACCTTGTGATTTTAGAGACTTTGCCAGTGTCACATCACCACAGTCTGATTGATAAATGTTTAGTCCATCAAAGTGCAGCAATTACTGAAAAGGAGTTTGGTGAAGTCCAGACCATAGATCCTTCTGCTTCAATACTGTTCACTGCATAATCACAACAGAGCTCATAAACCTACAGCCGCTCGCAGCTCTATCATAGAGTACTTGTGGTCTCCGTCAATGTCAAAACAAGACAGTGTACGAGCACTGGGAATACGCAGTCCCAATATTCGCTTCAGGTCCTGGTAGGAGAGCAGACTGGACCCCACCTCTGCATGTTGGAAAAGGTCCTCGAGGTCTGGGAATAAGAGGCAACATTCATTTCAATACATTATAAAAATATTATTTGACCATTGTCGGCTACAACTAATATTTTCACAAACAAAACTAGTATTTATGTATGTTATTTATAGGGATGTATTGATGCAGATACAGGCATTGATTATCGGTGTCCATACTGAAAATTTTACTGGATCGAGTAAAGATTCCATGTTATCCTGGTTGGGCCTTTAATTGAATGTAGTAACACTGTTTACAGTCTTACTACTGATTTTGTCCTAGAATTACATACTGTATGTCATACAAGCGGTCTAGTAGTTATTTAAAGGACAAAAAACAGCGTGACAGACACATACACACATTGGATCCATTTTGTAAAACTGTTTTTTAAGGAAATAAGTGCCATTTTCTGTCCCTACACTTGTATTGGTTAATATTGGATTCAGTCTAAATATTAATATCGGTATTGGAACTGAAATCTGGATCAGTGCATCTCTAATTATTTTGCCACCAATAAAATTTTTCAGCACAACTCTAACTATTACACATTTATTGCATCTACTATTTGCACTTACTGGAGATCTCAAGAAACTTTTTTTTTTTTTAACCTGTGTATTTCCATGCAGAATGACAATCTATCTTCAATTCAACATTTACATTATGGCTTGTTTCTGAGACAATGAATAACCCTAATAACAACTGATAAACTAAACTTGCTGGCAGTTACTGAGTCAACTGCAGTAGTTCATGTGAATGTTGTTTTGTGTGGTCTCTACAATTCTAACATTCCATCAGCAATCGTAGTGCATAGACAAAAGAAAACCTGATTAAAGTGTGACAATAACTTAATTATATGGCAACAGTCTGACATTTTACTGTTAACAAGCGACAACAGTTCCAATCACGCCTTATTAAGATGCCATAAATGACATTATTTCTTTACTTGCATGTCATAACACTGATTATTCTCTATGCTATTCAGACAAATGTGAAAAGCACGCACCTTTTAATGTAGCGACTCCAGGCAGAGACACTGGTTTCAGACACGCTCTCCGAACATCTCTCCTGGAGCGTTTTGGAGAGAGGAAGCGCGGATGTCTGCTCATCTGCTGCTCTGAAGTGGGCACTGCTATTGAAATACAAAGACATTTAATTACCGTAGGAGAAGGTAATATTATAAATGCACATCTACCTATATTAGTGCTCTAAAAAGTATAGATACTAATAGATTAATAGATAGTAAAACTAGTATTGAAACTAGACACTCATTTGTGCAGGTACAGATACTAAAAAAGTCCTATTGACAAGACAAAAATTAACCTTTCCTGAATAGCTTTAGAATGAGCTTGAGCTGCATCAATAGAGGGATTACACTGATATAAAAAACACATGGTAATATAACAGAAAATACTATGATTTAATGTTGAAAATCATTCAGTTTCTATTGTCTTTTTTATTGGGCGTTATTCATTATCATTGTGGTCTGTTCCTTAGCATCAAAATCTAGTTTGAAATGTCAGTATCATGACACTAATAAATGGCCAAATGTCATACCCTCCACATGGACATGCTGAGGCGTGGCTTTGGTTGTTGTGGGATCACTCTCCTCTGGGTTTTGAGTGATGACTAAAGGGGTGTCCTGTAAACACAAAGAAACACATGAGCTCAGTATCTATAATTAGCCTACCACCATTAATGCCCTGATGTTTTACAACCTGTCCTGTACAGTTTGTTGATTAATGTTTTTAATTATGTGTCTTAATTACTGTTATTATTATCACATTGTCCTTGAGTGCCCAGAAAAGTACAAAAAAGTAATGTATCAATAATGCAATATATCAATAATTATCATAATAAATATATACAGATATATTCAAATCAGTCATGAGATGTGTTCAGTCAGTCCTCCAAGACCAAAAAATTTAAAATGTTGCAAGAAAAAATAAAAAAATAAAAAATCTGAGAAACCTGAAATTATGAAACGTTAATATGTTTTTGTTTGTGGGAGAATTATACACACAATCCTCATAAATCCATGTAAGAATCTGTGACTGCAAAGAGACAGGAATGATTTAAATATTTGTGATTATGTTCTTACAGCGGGCTTTGGTGTTTGGTTGGACCGGTTCTCTAGAGAAGAGAGTCGGTGGGTAAGATCTGCCACCGTTGAGAGCAGCAGGTGGATCTGCTCATCGGTCCACGTGTGGTGCAGCTCCTCTGTCTTGTTGGCTTCGTTTACGGCCTTTTTTAGGTCAGTTAGATCCTACAGACAAAAGACAACAGGGTCATTATGCATAGAAAATACCACAGTTTACATAGCACCTAGTAACCTAACCAAAACTAGTACATTTTAAACTTAAAGGTGCATTGCGTAACTTTTCTGGTAGAGTTACTTGTCTCCATGGAGATGTTATTGCTTTACTGCCGATATTCCAGAGTATGACATAAAATTTTTCCATAGAAACAAGCAGGAGACACCATCAGGCCAATTTACAGGTGAGATCTGTGAAGAGGTTACCCCACTCACAGTAAGAATGCATGTTTTTGTTCAAGGTATTTTTGAGTAATTAAAAACACCCATAATTGAAAAAAATGCATCTTATATACATTTCATATCATACTGTGAAAAATTACAGACAAAGTAATAGCATTTCCATTGTAGCGGACACCCAACCTGAAAAGTTACGCAGTGCCCCTTTAAAGACCCAGTAAGATTTTTGCTTCATTAGAATATTTCAGGGTACAAACTATGAAGAAGTTGTATTACTGATTCAAGTCACACAAAAATAAACAACGGCCATGAAAGAACTGTTGAAATATTATACGTTTCTAAGAGAAAAACACATAAATATGCAAATAAACAAAATCACTAAACATAAATCCTTAAATTATTTCACAAAGATATGTACATTTCACTTTTTCAGTTGAGCGCTTAGACAATTCCTCATTCCTATTTACGTGCATCTCCATTTGAAGAACAATGCTCTTCAGATAACTGACCTAGTTTTCCTGGGAAAAGAGATGGCATCTAAGGTCCCAAAATAGATTGGCACTTGTTTCATGCATTATAAATGACAAGTGAGCGCCTGAGCCTTAGTGATGACAGGACCTTCTTAACCCTTTGACTCTGTGGAAGCTAACCTGACAAAAGCAGCCAAAAGACTCAAGCTGTAGCGGGTAACACATAAATAACTACTTAATCTTCTTTCACCTGGATTTGAGCCATAGACATCATCATTACAACAGAAAAGCAGGCTGGTACGCAAATGTGGCACTTCAACTGAAATATTTGCTGGATCGGGTATCAGTTGGATGATGGGTTGGGCCTTTAATTGGATGTCATAATTAAGGATGTAATACAAGCTGATTTTATTCTAGAATGTATCAGTGTTTGAAATTTTACTCATATAAAGTAGTTCAGCAGCAAAGAAAAAAATAACATCAATGGATACGTTTAGTAATAAGTTAACTGTGTTTTGAAGGTCCTATATTATACAAAAATGATTACTGAGAACTTTAAGCCATGTTATAGAGCTGTTACCTCCTCATAAACAAACCTGGCGTAGTGTTTTGTTTTTTGTGTTTGCGTTTTGTTTGTATATTTGAATAAACCTGGTTTATTAGCCTCTCTATATCTTTATAGCTCAAAATGCTCTGTTCAAGTTAACATCTACTCTTGACCTTTAGTTCAATAGAGATTGGCCATTGGCAATCATCCAAATGATTCTAGTAAAATACAGTGGAGGACTTCCTGTATTGCCACATGACATCACAAGGTAGAACAGTGTGTTTTCAGTTTGAGAGAAGAACTCAGCCTAAATATGCAGGGTTAGTGTGTTAAACATGTGTGAATGAAACAAAACACAACTCCAGGTCTGTTACTGATGAGGAAACAATATTATAAGATCATAAAATCATCAGAAAAAGTGCAATACGGCCCCTTTAAGGAAAAAGTGCCATTTTGGAACAAGTTGGAACAATTCTTTCATCTCAATTTGTGCCATAGACAGTGTCATTACAACTGAAAGGCACAGAAATATAGAACTTCAACTTTTCACTTGCTATTAACAATTAATTCACAGACCATAATTAAATCTTTTCATCGCCATACTGCTTTCATGAATGATAGATGTAAGGAAAAGCAAGCTCCATACGGGTTTTATCATTGAATGTAGATAAGTAAATAAAATAGACATGCCATCAAACTAAATAAGTGAAACTCTGCCTTGGCTCATAAAAAATCCATCAGCTTTGCTCAAGTGAAAAACAAGAGCTTAAAGCGTTTCCCAGATTTGAAGTGGGGCAGATCAACTTCTTATAGCAACAGCTCAAAGCATGAATAACTTTGCAAACAAATTCTGAATCATGTGCATCATAGATTTAAAAATATGTATTAAAATGAGATATGATTTACCATAGTTTTTTTCATTTCACTATCTTCTTTCTTCTCAGTTTCAATGGCATCCTGCATAGTCTTCACATCATGTTGGACACTTGTGAGTGTGCTCCCAATAGTAGCCACACTCTAAAAGTACAAGTACAGTTTTAGTTAGAAATAAAAATGTGGGGGAAAATACTATAAAGTTGTTTGAAAAAAACAAAAAACAAAACCTGACCTTCTGAAGCTCTTCAACTGTAGTGGGAAGACTGATTAGGTCTGCTGCTGATTTGAGGTTAGCTTTCAAATGATTGACAGCAGAATCCAGTAAACTGATCTGCAGAAGAGACAAAATCATTAGATTCAATTAAATACTTACAATTACTTAGTATATTTAATTAAATACATCACACAGCTACCTAACTGCAAAACACATTGTATATTTGTTGACTATACAATATTTACAGTGTGAAAATTTCAAGGATGTCAAGATTATTAGGTAATTGGTAATAGTTATTTTTTAAGTCACAATATAATCATAAAAGCTAAAAAAAAATAAAAATAAAAATGTGAAAAGAAAGAGCAAAAATAAGTAATTTTCATTTAATCTTAACTCCAAAAAAGCACAATTAATTCAGGTAGAAAGCTTTTTTTATCTGTCTGTTTATGTCACTTCAACTTTACATGATCATTCACAAAGTATGATTTTATAAAGCTGGTTACATACTGTAACATGTTTGGTAATGAAAATGAAAGAAACTGAAAGACTTCACTGATGTTTGGTCAAAGTGTCAATAACCCTGAAAAATCGTGGTGTTTTTTCTCAGAACAATTGTAATACTAAAATTTATATTGTGGCATCCTTAATTATATTTGCACTAAATTCGAATCAAACCATATAACTGTTTAAAACTGATGTCAACAAGTACAAATGTTACACAATAGCAGGTACCACATGTATTTCTATGTATGAAATTGATTCAGATTAGATATCACAACATTCATGCAGTTCTTCATTCAACTGTTTTGGATAAAAAATGTGTTGGTGTGCTCATTTCCTTTTTCATTCAAGTGTGACCATTGTGAATAACTGATGAAGCATTTGAAATACCTTCCTGTTAATTTCTGTAAGGTTAGACCAGAGTTTGCTGAGGCCTTTGTCTCCTTTCTCAATGTCATCCAGCTCTCTCTGCTTGTTTTTCAGATCCTCACTTAGTTTCGGTATTTCACTTGAAGACACTTTTTGGCTGGATTCCACTGTCATTGACATTGAAAAAAATATGAATTGAATCAATTGTGTAAATACAGTAGGTCAACAGGGTTTGAACTACTTTTCCAACTTCTTACTGTTGTGAAGCTTTTCTTTAAGTGCATCTAGGTCCTCTTTAAGGGCAATCTGCATCCATATGAGCCCAGCACAGGCCATGACACAAGCAGCGAGGATGATGAAGAGAAACAAGGGGTAGCAGACATTGCAGCACTGTGCGTAGCTTCTCCTGTGAAAGGATGAAATGCAGTAACATTAGACATGCTCGCTGCACTGCTCCCTCCATTATTAATGATGCAGAATCAGTATTTTCAGATGGGAATATAAAAAGCTGACTGATGAGTAATGGTGGTTCAAAATAAGGATAGACATGTAACATGAACAGCTTTTAGAGTAGTGTTTGTCAAACTTTATCCAGTTAGATTTAATGATTTCAAACAACATCTACTTCTTCAAACAAACTAACCAAAGAGCATTTCAGTATAATAATGTGCATGTTTCATGTTGTTGCATGGACCATCAAGTAGTGAAATATCAATCTAAGGGTGTTAATAGTATACCTGGCTGAGAATTTTTGACTACTCAACTTTATATAAGTGAAACTTAGAAAGTACCATTAGGCCTGAGAATAAAGCATTGACTGTACAGTCTATGGATCAAAGTTGAATCGTTAACCACTACTGACATTGGAAGTCAACCTATAGTAAATAATGACACAAAAGCGAAACCACAACCCTGCTGAGTTGTTTCTATCCGGCTCCCCACTTCCTGCTGCTCCAGCTGCACTCTCAATTATGACAGGGTCAATAGAGGCCAGTTTTATATTCACATGTAATATCCCATTATTAAATGTTATTAGCAGTCATGCTGATACTCACTTGCCGAAGCTGGTCGCTCCGTTCATGTTGTTGAACTCGTCATCCTCGGAGCTGGATTCGGACTCGGAGCCGGGCGGCTCGGTTCGGAGGAGTCGGTGTCCAGAGCCTTTTTTGGTTTTCTTCCGTTTATTCTCCCCAAGTCCAATTAATGCGTTCAGTTCCTTCCTCTTCTTCATTTTCTTCTGTGGGGTCAGCGAACCCGCCGATCCCGATTTAAAGCCGACTAAATCCAATGTTTTATCCAGTTTGGTAGATGTTCTCGTCTCTTCCGTGGATAAAGCTAGGCTAATGTTTTAGCCAAACAGCGCCGCTGAGATGCATACAGTACAGTGTATTATGTTAGCACAATCATATCTCAAGATCACGTTCTTTCATTAAAACACACGTTATTCACAAACAAAACGATCCATTACTTAGAAATGGGACTCACCAAAAATAATCCAGGGTTATATAACTTTAACTTCTCCCCACCGGGTGAGCATACTGTAAACGTGAGCTAACCTAGCTAGCAGCTGTCATAACGCTATCGGGAGCTGCGGCGCTGCGGTCCTGCGTTTATTCAGCTACGATCAAAAATACAAGCATCTGACGAGTGCATTTTGAGAATTCTACATAGACAAATAATAACCCCATAAATAATCTGCTGTAACACAAATGTGAGTCGGCCCGTGTCCAAAGGGCTTGAGTGTGTATTGTTTAGCAGGCGTCACAGTAAACTCTCAGCTGATTGGAGGAAAGAGGAGGAGCTGTGCGTGACGTCCTCCGCCCCGCTGCTCTCGCTTCTTTTGGCCTCGCTCCAAAATGAGAAGACTAGAAGAACCGTCTGTGTTTACGCTAAGGTGAGTGAAATGTTTCCTCAGATGATCCAAGAATAATTAACACGGGAAAGTACAATAAGTACACACTGGGTTTGTTGATTTAAGTTGGCAAAACTGTGGGATAGGAATGCTGTATCCTATTTTTTTTTTTCTTTTTTTCTGTTATAAAGTAGAAAAAGTCAGCTCTCAGGTTTATTACTATTGGAAAAATTGGTGATCTTCAAAGGTCAAGAATAGCGTATATTTCTTTCAAATTTGTGTTCAGATTATGGTGGCAGTTAAGGTGATATACAGGGCCTATTCGGTTTATTTTTTCAGTCTAAAATCACAATAGCAATCGCCTCACTAAAGGGCCCATATTAGGCTATTTTCTAATTTATGTTACAGTGTTGTTTCCTCATCAAAAACATACCTAGAGTTGTGTTTTGTTTCATTCACACATGTTTAACACACAAACCCTGCATAGACTGAGTTCTGTTTTCAGATGGAAAACACTAAAACGGTTGCTGTAAACTTGAAAACTACCACTATATGAGATCACAAGGTGAAACAGAGCATTTTGAGCTTGGGACATTAGACAAACTTACTCAGACATGTGCAAATGAAATAAAACACAACTCCATGTATGTTTTCGATGAGGAAACAACATTATAACGTGGCTTAAAGCTCACAAGAGAGAATTTTAAGTAATATAGGACCTTTAACAAAATTCTTTATTTTACCAAATGAGAAATCCACACAGTGAAACAGTAACTGGTCTTACCTGTCAAGTACAGAATGACATTTTTCAGTATTTTTAAAGAATACAGAAGTGTGTAGGCTATTCTGAATCCAAGGTAACGATTGGTCAATAAAAGGCAAGAGAAAGAGAAAGTGAATTTATGGTTGTTATGAACTATATTTGTGCAATGAGGCTGATGCAATAACTTGGACACTTTATGGTTGTGTAGTGCACAAAATGGACATCCACCCATCCATTTTCTTCTGCTTTATCCAGGGCCGGCTCGTGGGGGCAGCAGTCTAAGCAAAGACTCCCAGACTTCCTTCACCCCAGACACTTTGTCCAGCTCCTCTGAGGGGACCCCAAGGCGTTCCCAGGCCAGCTGTGAGACACAGTCCCTCCAGCGTGTCCTGGGTCTTCCCCAGGGCTTCCTTCTGGTGGAACATGCTCAGAATGCCTTCCCAGGTAGGTTCCATGGAAACTGCCTCTGGGGACAAAATGGACATTGGACATTAATAATGGACACTTATTTGTCTTCTGATGACGATGATGAGCTCTAACTGTGATGAGCTCCAACTGTTTTCTGACTGTAGTGTGATGTGTGTGTTAACTGTGTTCTTAAGCTGCGGGTAGTGAGTCCAAGACAAATTTCCCCTTAGGCATAATAAAGTTTATCTTGATCTTGATCTTGAAGTAGTGAAGGAGAAGAGATCCATTCCCATGAACTGAGGGGCTGTAGATTGATATTGTGGCCTATATTGTGGCATGTTTTTAGACACTGAAAGACTACATAAATATTTTTAGTTTAGTTTAATGAGAGGTACAGGACTACATTCACGCCATACTCCATACAACTGTACAACAATTCACCCTTATGTGATATGTCATATACTGTATGTCATAATTCATCTCTGCACTGTTTCTCCTTACCCACCTCTTTTATATATTTAGTGATACAGTATTTCTATATTTTATTATCTTGTACATTTTTATTTGTATAATTTGCCTTATTTAACACTTTTTATAATATTATTACCATTAATATTTTTACTCTTTGTTATTATAATATATGGTGATGTGTGAGCTACTGAGCCCAAATCATTTCCCTTGTGGAGCAATACAATTTGTCTGTTACAAATAGCCATATGGCCAGCATATAGACCAGATTAATTCAATTGTTAAGACTGCTGATATTTTTCCTTCTCTACCTATTTATAGTTTACCAAAATCTGTTTCTCTTTCATATTTTTGCTCACCTCTTTAGCAGCGGTCCCAGTGAGCCTGTGGCGCTATTGGGCCGACCCAGCAAGACACTGGCCCCGCACGGTACATCCAGCGCACGTTGGCCTTTAGCTCTTTTTCTCTGAGCTCCGAACCCCTACCGACCTGCTCTTGGCTTTGAAAAATTGTTCTTTTATGTGCTGTTCCCACACTATACCATCACTATAGTCATAACAACAACAGTGTATGAAAGCCTCTGCGGTGGACTACTTTACAAAAGCACCAAGACACTCTGCATGTCTGCGGATTGAGTCGCGCGAGTAGATAGAGCCCCACTGCTGATGCTTTATTACCAACAGAATAGATTTGTCATGCAATGTCTATCACATCACAATAAAGACCCACCCACGCACGCACAAAGCTAATATTACCATAGATTAGAGTCCTGCTTTATAACCAAGCCTCAGCTGTCGATACTGAAGCTTCGTAATTGTCAGTGCGGCAGGCGTATTGTGCTGTCTGAATGTATTTACCATGAATCCGACGGTATCACGTAGGTATAGCAAAACAAAATTCAATCAGCCACTCGCCTCTACTAAGAACACCTGGTGGGGGGGACAAGCACCACGCTGGGGGCATGCGCAGACCTTCTCAGCGTGGGCCCCGAGAATCAAAGCAACCGGAGCGTTTCATCTCCTCGCTCCAGCCGCCTCACGTTTTCTGCTTTTTTCCCCCCCTTAATCCATGGTTAAGTCTGCAAAAGGATGCCACTTCACCTTGCACCTCCATAGCTACTGGGTTGGGAGGAGAGGGCTGGTGGGGGTAGGCCAAGGAGCGCTCCAAAACACTTGTTAACGCACTTTGTTCACAGCGGGGAGGGGGAGTCAGACGTGATCCTCGCCGCAGATGTTCGGGGCAGGGCCTTTGGGTGCTGACAGAGAATGTAAACAGGGGAGCATGGGTGTAATCACAGAGGCTAATTGCAGGTGCTGTTTTGGCTCAGGTTTGAGGTGTGATTGTCAAACTCCTGCCTGTGTGTTGTTCCGCCGCCAAATTTTGACTCCAGGCGATTCATGTTTATTTACAAATCAGTTAGACGTGTTGGGTGATTCAACGTTGCATGTTTGTTGCCACAATTTGGGGAAGAAAAGATGAACTCAAGATGTTTGACAATTAGCTTTCAGTTGGAAAAAGAAGATTTTTTTTTGTTGAATTCCAGAACAAACACAGTCCCATACTAGGAGTGGGATGAGATACCATTTCCACAAAACGAAACAAGACAAGATACTGGGTCCACAAGAACGAGATAAGATGCGATTTAGAGATTTTTTTATTATAAATTGTGTGGTTCAGTTCACTGTTTTGGCCTTATCAGTTTTGATTACTTTATTAAATATTTTTGCTCTCATTATAGCAGTGATTTTTGGATCTACAGCTTCTCCAGAAATGTTACTTGCCACCACTTAACCCCTTTTTTGTCCAGTCCAAATGTAAATGCACAGAAAAAAATAAAATAAATAAAAAATCTCACAGGATCATTTTTTTTTTCTTGTCTGCACAATGTTGTGACACAAGATCTTTTCCCATCCCTATTCCATACTAATACACCTAATTTGAAATGTTCTACTATTTTATTTCCAAAAACTACACTGTCAAATGACCCAACATAACATGATAGTGTATTATTCATGTGTTCCAGCTTTCTATCAAAGACACCATTTTGTGAACTTGTCTTTGACCGTTCACAGGATACATTTTGTTTTCATTACTGGCGACAGTCCCATAGTTTCTGACAATTAGATTTCAGCAGGAAAAAGAAGCAATTTTTTTTTTTTTTTACTGTTGTTGAATTCCAGCACAAATATAGTCCCATGTTCATTGCACAATATATGGTATCTAATTTGAATACTTTCAATGATTTCCTTTCCAAAAAAAATTACACTATAAAATGGCTCAACATCAAACATCAAAGGCGCCATTTTGTGGACATTTTTGAACATTCAATGGAGACGACATTTTGTTTTAATTACTGGCAATAGTCCTAAAGTTTCATCACTCTGAATCTCATGGATAAGAAAGTCAACATCTGCTCATTAAAGGGCCTATTTTGTATTTAGGTTAGAATCTAATGCCGACTGTAATGAGTTATACACTGGCCAAATAAAATAAATGAATGAAATGAAAACAAATTCATGAATACTGTGTTATTGTCAATCTGATCTATGTTATAATATTGTGTCCTCATCAAAATACATGGAGTTGTGTTTTGTTTCATTCACACACGTTTAACACATAAACTCAGCATTTAGGCTGTGTTCTTTTCTCAAACTGAAAACACTCTGTTCCACCTTGTGATGTCATGTGGTAATACAGGAAGTGCTCCACTGTGTTTTTAAACTCAACACAGCTTTACTAGAATCATTTGGATGATTTCGGTCCTAGAATTGACTACATCTACTGAACTAACTTCATGACATCACAAAATGGAGCAGAGCATTTTGAGCTTCGGAGATGTAGACAGACTAATAATAAAGGGTTACTCAAACATGTGAATGAAACAAAACACAACTTCACTTATGTTTTTGATGAGGTAACAGCATTCCAACGCTTAATGGCTTAATGATCACATGAATCAATTTTATGTAATATAGGATCTTGATTGAGCCAAAGGAACTGCAAAATCCCATGCACATCTTATTTTATGATATTATGCTAACACAAATAGACAAATATAAAATTACATCATGTGTAATGGGAACAAGCCCGCACAGTTATGACCACTGAATTCACAGCTGAATCTTCTTGCGTGTGTCTCAGTGTCTGGAGTTATTCACGGCACATGGGGATATGAAATATTAATCAGCCAAAGCGTCTCTGATGAAACAGCAAAATGCTCCCAGTAAACAAGCCTTTTTTAGGTTTAACTCGCTCTCATTTAGACATAAGTAGTGAGCTGA